CTAGGCGGTGTTAAGAACATTTTCCTGGCATACTAGCCATTCTTCGACGATGGCAATACTGTGCGTCAAACGCTCCTCAAAAGATTCTTCGCACTCCACTTCCCCAGCACCCGACGACTGCCGCTGCAGCACCTTGTCAGATTGATGGACGTCACTTGCCAAAACATAGGACATCGACTTTGGCACCTCGCTGGTCTGCTCGAACTGCGTTGTGATGTTGCGCGGACCCACCAGAGGGCAGGAGGAGTTTGTGTCCAAAGTCATCTCGCTCAACGCCTCTGCACCTCTAAAGTCCTCCGTCAGGGTGTCGTTGGAGCTCCCAGACTCGCTCTTCATCAATAGACCGTTTTGCGTCACCAACGATGCGTTCAACCTTCGATCGGCCTCACGAAACGCCGAAGCCGGTGCTGCAGGAGTGGAAAAGTGGCGGCGTAGCTGCGTGCCCTCGGTGCGCACAGGCAGCGTGGAGGAGACCGTCCTACGCACCGTTGGTTTTTGCTGATTGCACGTGGTGGGAATGCGGGAAGGGTGTGTCGCCGAGCTTGCAACAATGCAGGAGTTACACCTCCTCTCCCGCGCAGTGCCGTGCCCCGCCGTGCTCCCTACGCGACGGCTGTTCGCTCGGCGGTGACTTGATGAGTTGGTGTTACCCATGACTAGAAAACAAAAGAGAGGTGCTTCGCAGTGGAAGAAAACGATTGCTTTGTGTGTCAGGGAGTGAGCGCAATAATAAGAATGATCGCTGCCGCTGAGTTAAAGCAAAGTTAACGAGAACGGTTAAAAATGATATCAAAGAAGCATTTAAAGTTTAGTAACAGCGAGGTGTTCAAACAGGGAGCTGGTAGCTCTTATTGGAAGACATAGTACGCAGGCAGACTGCCACTTGGCGTATCGGGGCGTATTCTGTTGGCGAATTTCGAGACGAAAAGGAGCCGTCCAGGAGGCCAGTGATCAACATGGAAGAAGAAAAACAGTTAGACGACACTACAGAGAGACCGTGAAGAGGAGTGAGAAATGTGGAATGAACAATCACGGTGCACGTCCGTGGAGGCAATCAGACGCCACAAAGCTTGGCAGAAACGAAGAGGTATAATAGCGGAAACGGTGTTTCGCGTGGTAGTGGGGCCCACGGTGGTGTGGCAACGCAGCAAATGATCCAAAATTCAGCCCTGATTCACAAAAAGCACCTCTTTTCAAAGGCGTCAGGGGAATTATTCGACTGGCTGTTTAGTATTTGATATCATCTTTTTTTTCCGTCGGTGTGAAGCTCCTCTTCCACACGAACAAGGAGCGAAGCGCGTGCCTCGCAAATACGATGCGGAAGGGATGCATGAAACGAGTCGAGACAGAGAAGCGGTGTAGCGGGTAGCAAACCTGTCGAGACGAGAAAAGAAACGTTCTCTCTGAATTCGTGTTACTTCAACTACCGAACTCTCTGTGCATCGTCTGCGCGTGCGAATCGGCAGGCCTCTCGTCTTTCACTCCCAATTGCACGGGAAAAAAAGAGCTGTGCTTATTTTTTATCCTTCCACATTCTGTGTTTCGCTCGGCAGCAGAGGCCTCGTCGGGGGAGGCACCTTGCGCAGCCACGAGTTCTCGCCGTACTTCGCAAGCGACGCCGCATCCGGGCGGATCAGCCCGCGACAGCACGCAGCTCCACACAGACATTGAAAAGGCTTCATCGTCCCATCGCAGAAGGTGGCGTAGTCCATGCTCAAATCCTCACCGGCAGCGATGTCGCGCGCCGCGATGACGTTGAGGGAGTGCGGGGCAGCAAAGAAGCAGTTCGGGTCGCAGGAGTGGTTGATGGGCCGCCAGCGCCGCGGGTCCTCCTCCCAGATCGCGTACAGGTGGCCGTCCGAGTCGAGGGGCCAGGCGTATTCGGTGAACACCTTCTTCGAGCGCGCGTCCCAGTGCTGCTCGACGTGGGGGCGAGTCACGATGGCAAAGTTGCGGCATTCGTCCTCGAAGACGATTTCGTCCTTCTTGATCGCCTTGGCAGCGCAGAGATGATAGCCTTTGCGGGAGTCACTGTGCAGCTTGATGGCGAAAGTGGGATCGGGGTGGCGGCTCTTCGCCTCGGCCACCAACGACGTCAGCAGCTCCGGCCGTGACGGCGCAGCATCCAACAGATTCACAGCTGCGTCGGTCAGCGTGAGAAGCTGCGCAACGGGGGGGTTCAGCACCACGTTCTGGAAACACCACCTGTCGGGTTCGCTGCTCAGCGTATTCAGCGTCAACGACGCGATACCGCAGTCGTAGAGGACGAAGCGGCTGACGGCTGCCCCGTATTGCCGTGCCGCCGCCTCACCGTCTTTCCACCACGACGGAGGCTGCGACGTGGGCTGCACGGGCACCACCGCCACGGCTCCCTTCACCGAGCCGCCCGCCACCAACACATGCATGGCGCACTCCGTCGAGGGACTCACCTGCCACGCCACCACCTTGCCGTGCGCGTGAAAGGCCCGCAGCAGGGCGTCCTCCACGCTAGCCTGCACGGCGCACGTCTCCTCGTACAGGCCCAGCACGGCGCACGCGCTGCGGATGTGCACTGGCGCCTGCAATGCCGCTGCGGCACGCCTCGCGGCTGCCTCGCCATCGATGATGGCAAACGGCGGCAGCGGCACCTCAGCGTAGTAGAGCATCATCAACACGATGTCGAAAGAGTAGTTGAGCGCCTTCGCGCGGCAGCCCGTGTAGGGAAGCGAGCACTGATCGAGAAAAACAGACGCCAGCGCGGCGGTGACACCGTCAGGGCTGTCAAGCTCGTCCGCGCACAGGTTCACCACCGCCTCAAACTCGGCAGGGCCGGCGGCATAGATGCGGCGCACGACGCTCTGCAGCGCCGTTGAATCCTTCACTGGAAAGACAACACATGGAAAGCTACAGGCGCGCTGAAAAGCCTCCAGCTGCTCCGCATCCGTACCATCGTTTACGACGACAGCCACTGGACGCCGTTCTGACATGGCAAGTAAATGCTATGGCGGAAGTCTGACTGCTTATCTTCTCTGTTTGTCTTCGCAGGGTGTCTACGTAGCTCTGTAGACGCTTGGCGTTTACTTACTTGCTTCCTTCTTGCGAGCACGTGGCTGCAGTGTCCGTACGCCACCTCGTTCCTGTCTTGGGGAAATGCGATCTCAACCCTTTCAGGGTCGATCTGACCTCACCGCTGCGTGGCTGCCGGGTACTTGACGGCGTGGAAAGCGATAGTTAAAAAATATATACAATAAAATTGGATGTGAAAGAAACACACTTCCAACAAATCAACGCAACGAAGTAACCAAAAAAAAGGGGGGGAGGTTTTAGCTGAGGCCTTAAAATCTGTCTACAGACGATTGTACAAGTATCGAACGGTGAAAGAAAAAATGAAAACCTGCATTCGATGAAGGCAGCTGAACGATCCGCTTCGTGACGATCGAAGGACGATATGGATGTAGTGGCGAAAGCGCAAAGGCTAAATACTTGATTGAGTGTGTTGGGTAAAGAGAGCTGTACTGTGTGGAAAGATGAGCCGCGTAGGCAACATCTGCGCGCCAGAAACGCAAACCAAGGAGCAGAAGACATACGAAACGCAAGGAGGCCGGAGGTGGTCGGGGGCGATCGGAGACGACAAGTTGTAAGGAGAAGAAAGGGCAAAATTGGCCCACGCTTGCAGCGTCAGTTTTGTTTGTGCTGTTTTTTCTGTTAACGGACACAACCCGAGGAGTGGCAGGTGACAGACGGCTTCTCTTCTCGCAGCCACAGTGTGTTCATATTTTCGAAATCACATCTGCCATAACGGAGTGGAGTGCATCGTGTCTTCATACTGGTTTCTGTTGCTAGGTATTTTAACGGTGAAGGTGCGGGCGACAGAGCACATCATTCAGGGATGCCAAAAGAATCGCATGTTTTCCTTTTGTTATTGTTTTTCGAACACGGAAGCAAACCTAACGCACACAGCACCGACGAAGCGTGGCGTGGCGAGTCGCACAGCAATGCGAGTCTCATGCAGCACTCAGCAAGCAACAGCGATACCAGGAAAAAAAGGTTCCTTCTGAACCAACCAACTCCCCCCTTCTTTCCCTGCAGCTAAGCCACTCACCGTGAGAAGATGAGTCGGCAACCAGCACATGGAACGTAAAGTGCCAGCAGTACGGCTGCTAAGAGAAGGACGTAGAAGAGCGGCCCCAGCTTGTACACGTAGAGGGCGTGCAGGTGCTGAAGATAGTTAAGAATGACCTTTCCTGTCAGCTTCGACTCGCCATAGGTGCGGGTGGCAAAGTTGAAGCTAACCTCCTCGAAGCGTTGCACGTGGCACTTCACGAACAGCTCCAGAGCAATTTTGTACCCAATCGGATTCACCTCTTTCGCGTGCTGCTTGAACACTTCATCGCGGATGCCGAAGAAGCCAGACATGGGATCCGAGAGGGAGGTGAGGGGCCGCGCCAGGATGCGCGCTCCCCAGGAAATAAGGCGACGGTGTGCCGGCCAGCTCTTGTCAATTTCAACACCGGCCCCGTAGCGCGTGCCGCAGACAAACTCTACCCCGTCACGACTCAACGCCTTGAAGAGCGAGGGGACCGACTGGGGAGGGTGCTGCAGGTCAGCATCCATGACGATCTTGTAGGTCCCGCTCGTCGCGTGCAGACCATGAATTACGGCGCTGCTCAATCCGCGCTCCGTCGTGCGGACGTCGATGCGCACGTTGAAGCCTTCCTGCTGCAGCTTCTCAACTACCTCGACGGAGCCGTCGCGCGAGTTGTCATCGACAATCAGCATCTCTGTTGCTTCCACTGGAAATCCTTGATCCTTCACTGCGGCGAAGACCTGCCGAGTCAGCGGCTCCAGATTGCCGCTCTCCTTGTAGGCGGGGACAACAATAGAGTACTGCATTGCGGCTTTCCTCAGAAGAAAAAATCAGGGTTCAGCTTTTGTCGTTGCTGTTTTTGAAGAGATACGTGTAAAAGAAGTATGCTGTTGGGAGCACATAGGGGACGGTGCTTTTTCCCTGTCCGGCACTCGGCTAACCTTCGTGAAAGGGGGAAGAAGACCTTCAGAGGGACTGAAAACGGTGGGTGCGCGTAAACACCACGGCCCATTCGCGATGAAGAGAGTAAAACAGCGACGGCAAACGGAGCGAGCGAGAGTGGGCCACACACACGCCTTGAGAGAAGTTCCAACAGGGAGGAGCACGAAAGGCTTCTGACATCGAAGCGCACGGCGAGGGTGGAAAGCGTCTACAACAGAAGGTTGCGAGAGCTTAAAGAACGAAGCCAAGAGACACCTCCACATAATACAAAAGAGTCGGGCGTTACCACGACGCTTCTATCTAAAGTACCTCGAAGCACAACTTTTCTTTGACTTGCCTTCAAGCGTGTTGCACAAACACAAAAAAGGAGGAAACCGGCTTTTCGCACTTCGGGCTTTCCTTGCTAAGGGTTTTTTTAGTTTGCCTTTTTCCTCTTGATGCCCCACCCGCAACACCGAAAGCGCTGCGCTCTTACTGAATCTTCAGCAGCTCAATTTCGAACAGCAGTGGGGCGTTCGGTGGGATATTCCACGCAGGGAAGCCGCGAGCACCGTACGCGAAGTCGGGCGTCATGAGCAGCTCGGCCGTTTCACCTGGCTGCATCTGCAGCATGCCTTCATCCCAACCGCGGATGACCTGTCCGAGGCCCACGTTGAAAGAAAAAGGGTTGTTGTCATCGTGGGTGGACCAGAACTTCTTCTTACCATCGGCGAGATAGCCAGTGCAGTGCACCGTGATCGTTTGCCCAGGCTTCGGTGTGGCGCCACTGCCCGCCTTCTTCACTGTACGCGTGACGCCCATTCGGAGAAGAGATAATTTGAAAATTTTCGAAACCGTTGTATCGCTAAAGCTGTTGGAGAGCAGTGGGTGCAAGGAAGGAGGAGGGGGGGGGGGGCGGAACAGCTGAATGGAAGCGAAGAGGTGTGAAAGAAAAAACAAAGAACACACGGGAAGAAGCCACGGTGAGCCCCGTGGCGAAACCAGTGATAGAAACCGTGCAAGTAATGGAAAACAGAAACAGTTCTGTTTTCTTCTTTGAGTCGTTCCTCCCAAGATTATCGGCGCAATGCAACCCACAACGGTTTTTGTTTTCTGGTGTCGTTTTTTTGCCAGTGAAACGCATGCGCGGAGACGCACCGAAGAACACCGTGGGTTACACAGTAAAAGCAACAGCAGAAAGAAAAAGAGGGAGAGAGAAAGCCAAACCTGCTTCCTTTGAGCTAGAATGTAACTAGTGCATCTGGCTTCGCATGCGCTCCTTGAGAGCATCGTTCTCAAGCTCTAACTTCCTGTTGCGTACCTTCAGTTTTTCAGTTCGCGTTTCCTCCAGCAGCAGTTGCTTCCGCATTTCCTCCCGCCGCTGTGCGAGCACCGCCACGCTGCCTTTCGACTCCTCCTGCACCGCCTTGAGCTTCTGTTTCGCAGCAGCCACTTCATTGTGAAGAGTACCGCACTCCTCACGTGAACGCTCGAGACGCTGCTCCAGCTGCCGCCGCTCCGCCTCTAGAGACTGGCACTTGTCCGCGAGTGTTTGCCGCTCCGACGAGGCCGCGCCGCCGGTGCGAACAGCAGCAATAAGAAGAACGGCGTCGCTGTAGGAACACGTAAAGCGCGGAGACAAGTGAGGGACTAACGCGCGAAGTTCATAAAAAGCCGCCTCATCCCGCTCGCTCCACGCGTCCTGCGGTTGTTGCACGTTACTGGAGGACGTGGGAACGTCAGGGGCGGCGTTGCTGCTTCCTCTCGCCTCCCTGTGTCGGCCCGGAGAGGTGCCACTTTGCATATCACGGTGCATCATCTCGAGTTGCTGAAGGCGATGCGCCTGGTCCGAAGAGGCCAGGTTGGATGTGACGGGCGTGCCGACTTCCACCGCGGGCACATCCGGCAAGTCATCATCGTCACTGCTAAAGAGCATTGTGCTTTTGATGAGAATTACTTCAGAGAGGTAGTTGCGATATGGCCTTAACAGACGGCCAGCGATGAACGTTCGCGAGAGTGTTTATATGCAAAATGCCAAGTTGAGGAGGTCCTCAGGTGTGGGTTTTTCGTTAGCGATGAAATCGCATATCGCCCTTTTCGTTGTTGTCGCTGTGCGTATGTTAACGGGAGAAATACTTAGTCTAACAATAAAATAAAGTCTTGTTGTTCTACTGTGTGCCGCCAAGCGGGGGGGGGGAGTGTATTGCTACCGCTGTATCCATGTGCTTCAAGGCACACGTCCGACGCAGAACACGATACCGCACAAACACGAAAAGAGAAGAGGAGGAAAGGCGAAAAGAAAGAAAAGGAACGAATGCTGTGCCGCGTAATATGTACTGAGGAGACAAGAAGGGCGAAGACACGGCGGGGTGTGCAAACACCCTGAATGCTTTACCAACACGCTTTGGAAAAGGAGAGGAACGCCACATCCACCGTCACCCAGGTCTCCAAGCGGAATGCGAAGTCATCCCTTTTGCATGAAAGAAGAAAAAGAACATGCTCGTGGCCTCCACATGACACCCAGTCGTTGCCGGTAACGTCTTCTTCTCGCAGAAAAGGTTCAAAGGGACGCTATCGTTTCCTTTGTTTCTTCCCCCAACGCTATCCGGCCCACAATCGACACAACAAAGCGTGGCGGCCTTTCCGGAGAGTTTCGGACGTGGAAAGGGTTATGATGATAGCATCCCTTCTACCCCGTGCCATCCGTGTTGTCGCTTGTTTACATGTTGCTGAGGTGTTATAACATAGTTAAATAAAAACAAAGGGTAATAAATAGGGGAGAACCAACCGCACGCCGTTCCACAATCCCATTACTTGCTTAAAGTCGCCGCACGCACTATATTTCAGCGTCGGTCTCTTATTGAACAACCCAACTCAGGAGTGCGGCCGCACGCGCACGCAACCCGGGCAACGCAGTTTTCATTCCAGTCAACAGCGACAACAACAAAAAGCACGAGCACAACAGCTTTCTCACCACAATAAGTTGTCCTTCTTTAAACCCACAGATTTTACCTTCGAGTCTCGTCCCCCAAAAAAAACGCCAAAGAGTTTGGCCGTCGCAGCATGCAGCGCTTCATTAAGTAGCTGCGTTCGTAAGGTGCGCAAGAACCCTCTTATCCAACGTGCATCACATACGTGTGCGTGTGTGTGCTGCGCCGGTGAGCACCTCAGTTGTCGTTACGGTTAAAGAGGTTGCTCGTCATGGGCTGCGCCGCGACCTTCACGTTGGGCCGGCGGCGCGGGGCGTCACCACCGGCGGCGTTGGGGGCACCACCGCCCTGCTGCAGGTTCGGCTTGCGCTTCTGCTCGCGCTGGTCCTTCGTCTTCTTGCCGCCCTCCTCACGCTTGCGGGCCTGGTTGAACTTGCGCTCCGCCATCTCAATGTCGCGCTGGGTGCTCTTGATCTTGCTCACGAACTTCTGTTCCGTGCCGCCGAAGGTCATGCTCGGCACCACCTCGACGTTGTCGTCCTGCACGATGCAGTCGAACTCAGAGCTGACGCGGTACTCGCCTGTCAGGAGGTTCGCCGCCTCGCCATCGTGCACGAGCTGTCGGGAGCGCATCTTCAGCGCAAACAGCGGCGCAAAGCCGTCGTCTACCTCCAGCAGCGTCTCCAGCAGCTTCATCTTGGTGTTCTGGTACACCTTGAAGTACCCGCGCAGCTTGATGATATCCTGCTGCTGCTGCACCGCACGGCGGAACATGCGCGCCTGCAGCTCGCGGCCCTCCGTGCCCTTCACCGGGGATCCGTCGGACGGCGGCACCGTGAGGAACTTCGGGCTACAGCGGTCAAATACGTCGCGGAAGCGCTCCTCGTCGCCGCTGCGCAGGCTCTCGCGGTCGTCTTCGAAGGTGGCTTGGCGGCGGTGGTCGAAGTAAGAGCTCATGTTCGTAATCGGCATGCCGCCCAGCACGCGCGCGCAGATGAACATGTACGCGGCGTCCTGCTGAACCCGCTCGGAGAAACGGCGGCCGTTCAGCTTCGTCTGCACGCAGCGGCGGAAGGCGTTGCTGGCGTCCTCGAAGCGGTGAATCATCAGGTAGCTGAAGCCGATGTGATAGTTGATGGACACGGCCGCCGGCTGCACACGATTCAGCACGGCGCGGCCCCTGTTGTACACGTCAAGCGGCTCCAGGTCCTTGAGGGCGGAGTAGTAGTCGCCGAGCAGCACGTCCAGCTTCGACTTGGCGGCGATTGCGTAGAAGCCGCTAAGTGCGCCGGTGCTCTGACCCTTGAGGATCTCCTCCAGCCGCTCCGGCTGCTCCATCGTCTCGCGCAGGTGCGAGCGGTCAGCGACGTCGTTGAGCAGCCGCGTCACCTCCGGCATCGACCAGACGCCCTCCGACGTGAACACCTTCTGGTACACCACCGTCATCTGGTAGAGGAACTCGTCGAACATGTCCCACAGCATCCAGCTAGGCAGCTCGTACGAGTTCAGCAGAGGGAAGAGCTCGCTGTACATCTTCCACGAGCCCTCCGCGTCGGACAGCTTGATGGAGCTGTTGCCGGTGAAGAGGTGCTTGTAGAAGAGAAAGCTGTAGACGAGCTCGGCCATCTTGTTGCCGCGGAAGCAGCTGGAGACCTGCTCGAGGCGAAGCGCGGGCCAGGAGCGGAACTGGCCATGACCCACAATGTAGTAGTTCTTTGTCAGGGAGTCGAACTGAACCTCGTAGAGTTCGTGCATCGCACCCGCGTCGCGGCGCTCGACCGCGCGGCCGAGATCGCGGAAGAAGCCATACACGTCGCGGGGGATATCGGTCTCGATATCGGGGTTAGTTGCCATCTTTCAAAACAGAGTTCTGGGTTTCTTTTTCCTTTTTCTAATGTGCTGCTCTTTCTTCTTGAAAGTTCACTCACACACGAGATGCAGAGGAGATATTTTAAAGTGTTAGCTGTACAACGCACAACAAGATGTGTACGGGAATGTGTGTGCGTGTGTGTGGTGGGGGGGGGGACAGAAAGCAAGATAGTTAGGGGAAAGGGGCAGATGAGAAGAGCGCGAGTGGGCAGTTGCCAGTCGAACGACAGTCGCACATTTCCAGCGTCACTTTTGTGCTCACGTTGGAGTACTACTGCAAAGGGACATGTGAAGGAAGTCTTTCGTTGCCGAGAGGAGCAGGAAGAAAAAAAGATAAGCGCTTTCCATTCGTTCCGCGTACCCCTTACAGATGCAGCTGAAGCGGCAGATATAAAAAATAACAACAACAATTTCTGCAAGTGATCACTAAATCAAGCCACTTCTGTAATACTTCTTGTTCCTCTAAGTGTGCGTGTGTGTGTGTGTTTCTTCCTTTTTTGGAGGCAGACGGCGTTGGTCTCCTGTCCTGTATTCTTTTTCAGTTGTCGGTAATGGCCGTTGCTTCTGCAGAGTGAGTTTAGTTGAGAATGGATTCCGTAATGGCCACAAAACATGTTCACCTCTGCATCCGCACACCATCACACATTTGCACACACATTTTTTTTAAAGGGAGAGGAAAAAACGAAGAATAACGTCAAAAAAGTGGCAACACACCATTGGCTCCGTCCGATGTCCCTGCATCGTGGTAGCACGTGTTCGTTCATTGATCTCGGAAGCTGCGCTCTTCACGCGCAAAACAAGAGAGGAGAAATCGCTGCGTTGACACATATCCAGCCAAGGGTTCCGGATTCGGAGGTTTTCTTTCCTTTCTTTCCCAACAGCATTACTGTACTCGAATTGCAGTCGACGATGACAAGAGAAAAAAAAAACACCGCGATCTAACAGGCAGGCTAAACGGCAAGGAGTACGCAGCCGTGGCGGCCGCAATTTGACCTAGAAATCTGATCTCACACACCTCCAATAAGAGACAGATGCTCCGCAGTAAACATAATTGAAACAAACATTAGTAATAAATAATAATTGATAAAAAGAAGGAAGGAAGCGAAAAATGAGCTGTGATTTTCAAACAGTGATTATGGTCGTTTTCATAAAATGAACAGAACAGAAAAAATAATAACTTACGTCTTTTGAGGAAGAAGATCCTTCTTCGCTTTTCTTTGCTTTCTCTTGCAACGGAGTTCAACGTGGTTCTGCCATCACACGCCCTTGATCTCCTCCACCTCTGAGGTGTACGCGCGAAATGAAAGGAAAAGGAGGTGACTTGTGTACACCGCCACACACATACACGCCCGCACACGATGCAGTACCTTCAACAACAACAATAAAAAAAAGAGAAGGGGAAGAAGAAGAAGAAACTGTGCGTGCGGCACAAAACAAAACACGGTGGGGCGGGGACGGGAGAAAGCTCTACGGAGAAAGAACGTCAACACGTGGGAAAAGGAAACGTTTCTGGTTTGATGAAAATAGCAAAACAAGTGCGGCACCGTTTGACGCAGGACTCCGTAGAGACGCATACCGACTGTGTACGAGCGTCGAGCCAAACGTGCAACAGGAAAAAGCAAGTACACAACTGCGAACCAACGGAGGGCGATAATTCGACGTGTGGGTGAGTGGGTGCACGCCGCTTTTTAAACGTGGAACTGAAGCTTAGAGCTTCGCGTCCATCAGAGGGTGGAGTTGCTTGTAGAGTTCGGCGAAGATCACGCGGCGCTTCTTGTACTGCTCGTGCTTCTTCATATCGGGCGTGTGTGTCTGCTTCAGCGGCAGATGCGGCAGCATCTCCTCCAATGGGCGCTGCTCAATCGCGATCTGCGCCAGGCGGCAGGCGCCGAGGGCGGGGCCAACCTCAGAGCCGGCGCAGTAGTCCATCGGGTAGCCGCTGACGTCCGCCAGCATCTGACGCCAGAAGGGGCTGCGCGAGCCACCGCCGATGAGGGCGATATTCGACGGCTTCACGTTGCAGCGATGCACGGCGTCCATGCCCTGCGCCATGGCGAAGCTCACCCCCTCCAGCACCGCACGCGCCAGCTCTGGGCGGCCGTGGTGCGAGGTGAGGCCGAAGAAGACGCCCTTCGCCGCGGGGTTGTTGTGCGGTGTGCGCTCCCCGGCGAGGTAGGGCAGGAAGAACACCGGTCGCTCATCGAACTTATGCGCCCTCTCCGCCTCCCTCACGAACTCGCCTACCGACTTGCAGCCAGTCAGCTTGGCTGCCCAGTCCAGGCAAACGGCGCAGCTGAGAATGACGGACATCAGGTGCCAGCGGTCGGGCAGGGCGTGGCAGAAGCTGTGGACCGCCTCGTCGGTGTTGAACTTGAAGCCGTCCGACACAATAAAGTACACGCCCGACGTGCCGAGAGAAAGCATCGCCTGACCGGGCTTGAAGAGACCCGCGCCGACGGCACCGGCCGCGTTGTCGCCACCACCGCCGACCACCGGCACTCGCTCCATACCCCAGCTCCGCGCCACTCTCTCGGTGAGCTTGCCCGTGATCTGCGAGCCTTCGTACAGCTTCGGCATGTTCTTGCGAGAGAGGCCCGTCGCCGCGAGGATCTCGTCGTTCCAGTCACGTTTGGCGGTGTCGAGCCACATCGTACCCGAGGCGTCCGACATGTCGGAGGCGAAGTCGCCGGTCATCAGGAAACGCGCGTAGTCCTTCGGCAACAGCACCTTGTCCACCTTCGCAAAAATCTCCGGCTCGTGCTTCTTCACCCAAAGCAGCTTGCCAGCCGTGAAGCCGGGCATCATTAAGTTGCCGGTGATCTCGCGCGACCGCGGCACGACCTTCTCGAGCTCGGCGCATTCGCGGTAGCTGCGGCCGTCGCACCAGAGAATGCAGGGGCGGAGCACCTTGTGGTTCTTGTCCAGCAGGGTGGCGCCGTGCTGCTGGCCTGAGAGGCCGATGGAGCGCACCTTCTTCATGTCTTGGCGCTGCTTCAGCTGCCCCATGCAATCGTTGATCGCCTTCCACCACGAGGCGGGGTCCTGCTCATTCCACAGCGGGTGTGGGCTCTCCACCGTGAGCGGAGCGGAGGCGCTGTCGACGATGCTGCCGTCAGTGCTCATCAAGGCGACCTTGATGCCGGACGTCCCCATATCAATACCGGCGTACATTTCGAGAAAAACGGAAAGTGTGGATGGGACAGGTAAAAGAAAAGGTGTGTATGGTTGCACGGGTGTGGTTATTTGAACGTATTACAAGTTTTATGCAGATCTTTTGTCTGAAGGAGTCGGTATAGAGAAGAACAGGAGAGAACAGGAAAGCGTATTCACTGCGCGTGAGGAAACAGTAGCGGCAATGGAAAAGGGGGGCGGAAAAACAAAGAAGAGAAATGGAGGAGACAGAAGTGATGTGTGTGGTGGGGGAGGGGGGGGGAGGGGAGGGGGGAGAACTGTTTGTCTGTTCGCTCGTGTTTCTCCATCGAGCCATGCCACGTCGTCAAAGTATGCGAACACCACGGGGAGAGAAACAAAAAAAAAACGTTCTCCCTTTAGATACGGCGCGTCAAGTGGCAAAACGAAAACTCACTCCATTTCCACTCGTGAGACTGACGTGTCCAAACGCAGGCATTACGCAAGAGGAGAGCAAACAAAGAAAAGAGAGGGAAGAAGGGGCTTCATCTGCGACTGATGTGTATTGAACACCGAAAATCAGAACGGCAACGTTGCTCACGCAGCCGATGCGGTGGCCATCACCATCTCTTCGCTGCAGAGCAGATTACTGTTGCGGGCCAACCCGTAGTGACCGCGCAGCGCGCGCAACAGTGACAACACACCCTCTGCGCTTCCGTTGACCAGTGCCTCGTCTAGCAGAGAAAGCTCCCACACCACACCAGCAGAGGAGCGGAGAAACGCCAGGCAGCGTCGCACGTTGAACAGCTTTGCTGCCTTTTTTGTAGCCGGCTGCACGCAGTCCAAATAGTCGCAGCGGCGGCGCTCGAGCAGACCGATGACGTGCGCCAGGAGGACGCCGTCAGAAAAGATAGGGCACGGCTGAGACAAGGCGAAATGGCGGGCATCGAAAGAAAAAGATTGGTCGATGGCGGTGTAGCGAAAACCGGGCCCCACGAGGCAACGCAACCACTGTGATACAGCGTTGTCTTCTGAGCGCAAAGCACGACGCGTCTCTTGCTGCTTCGAAGACGGTGCACTGTTGGATTTGTTGTCAAGACCCAGTCCAGGGTCGAAGTGAACGGAAGGAGACCGCGAGGGTGCCGCTGACCCAGAGTCTGACGCAGTGCTGTGGCGACGGGCCACATTCTTCGCGACCGTCGCTGGTTCGAGCCGCCGCAGCGTAAGCGATGTGGGAGGGGAGGCAGCGAAGGATGAGCGAGAGTGCGCAGCGGTGGGGGTCTGCTGGAACGAAGGAGTCGCTGCGGAGGCACCGGCCAACGCTGCCTGGTGGGGCGGCTCATCGTCCCTCGCTGCGGCAGGTGATTTCTTCCGCCGTGCACTTCGTGATGGCGGCAGCAGCAGCGACGACGGTGTCCTGCGCGGCGTCCCTTCCAGCTCCGCGCGCAGCTGCAGCAGCAATGTAACGATGTGAAGCCGATCGCCTCGCAGCACGGCAGCCGCCGACTCCGCCGTGAAAAACTGCAGCGACGACTGGTGCACCGACACCGCTCGAAATATGCGAAAGGCAGCGGATATGTTCGCCATGCAGCACGACACCGTGCGAGGATTGTCAAAGAAGGTGCCGCGGGAGGCGGGTTCGACCGCGCAGGCGGCGGCCTCTGCACCGCTACGGCGAGCCAGCAGCACCAGCAGCACGCCGTTGCACAAGAAGGGCCAAACGGAGGGCAGCAGCAAACACGGAGGTGCGTCGATGCGGGCCACGTACGTCTTCCAGTCAGCCATAAAGGGAGCCGCGAGGGGTGAGGGCAGAAGACACTCGGGCCCGGGCAGGCGGTACAGGGCGGCATCGGGAAACACACCACAGGTGTGGAGGAACGCACAGCACTCCGCCTCTGCCGCAGACAGTTTCAGAGGAGAGAGGAGAGAAAATGCGGCACGATCCGCCGAGGGCTGCCAGCACATTGGTCGCTTCCACGCCGGCAGCTCCTCTGGCGAGGGGAGGTAGGTGGAGATGAGATGCACAAGCAGCTCTAATAATGCCGTAGGGGTGGATTTGAAAAACACATCCTCCGGCAAAATGGACCACGTAGAGGACGGCATATGCCCCTGCGCGGCAGGCGGAGCCCCGCGTAGTGCCGACAACGCCTGGGCGTAGTTCACGCGGACCTCCCCAAGTGTGCGGGGGCATCGGCAGGGCACGGCATCTCGTCGCAGCGGCTCGTCTCCCTCCAGCAGCAGCGTCGACACCAACTGACAGAGTGCCGTACCGTTCATGACGGCATCGGCAAAAGCAGCGGACACATCGACAGCTCCCTCGCTTTCTTCCTTTTCAATTGCGAAGTCCATGCTGGAAAGAATGTTCATGCGATAAAGGTAGTCCCGCACCGCGCGCCGCTGTTCTGCGCCTCGTGGGCAGTTCTCACGCCGCTGCCAGAGGCTCGTGGTCTGCACCTCAACTGCCATCGCTGTTCGGCCTCTTTCGGCCATGTCTGCGTGGAGCTGCTGAGCGGCTGGTGAAAGCCGCCGGAGTGCCGTCTCCCACCGCGACGGCTCCGCACTGGAACAAGGCACCGAAGTGCTGTGTGACAGCGCTGGCGACGGCTCCACAGCCTCTGCGACCCGCGACGTCTTGGTCGGCGTTTCACTCCGTCCTTTCGGCTTTGGCGCCAAGGAGTTGGAGGGCGCGTTGGCCATCGGTGTCGTCCGCTCCCCGCCAGCCCCTCGAGAAACGGAACACTCCGCGGATGTGCGGCGCGCTACGTCACCTCCGTTATCCCTGCTGGGTGAAGCCTCCCAAAAAACGACACACGTGGCGGGTGCAGTGGCCAACGGACAAAATCTGAATGGCGGCACTGAAGAAACCGCTGAGGCCTCTTGGCCCATTTGGCTCTCCCTACGCGTGGCGCATCGTTGCACCTTGTCGCGTAGGTCGGGCGACCGTTTCCACTCGTGTAGATCCACGCGCAGTCCCTCGAGCACAAACTGGGCGGCGTCAAAAACGCTTGCCATTCTTTTTCTTTGTTCTGCAAAGCGGTGGCTTTGGGTTCTACGGGAGAAGCAGACTCTAACGTTCTAACAGAAGCGTCGGGAGTTGCAGAGGAAAAAAAGGATCTATGGTTGTAAGCAGTTTTCTATGTTGTCTACGGATTTAAGCAGTTGTGAGTGTGAGAAAAAACTAAAAGGAAAAAGAAGATACCGTGTGAAGGGATATTTATTGTGCTTGTGCTGCGAACCTCTCTCGCACGTCGGAAAGGTTTCCGTCGCTACGCAATGAATGACTTTGCGGCTCTTGGAAGTTGGCAAAGTCGGGCTGCGCACAGGAGATTCATAGGCGGGGAGGAAAGAGGAGGAGAAGCGGGACAGAAGAGCGGATATAAATGTTAACTCTGCAGAACGTTGCCTCTCCTCTCCCAACACATGAGCAAGCTTAGCGAGTGTGCGTACGAGCACTCGCGAGGTTCGAGCATATATTTAAAAAGGTTCGAGTGTAGGCCAGTGTACGCCCTGTTCCCCCCACACGCATGTAGAGGCGTCATGGACAGCTGTAATCTGTGAAACGAGGTTGGTCTTTTTGGTTTTTTTGGTGGATATTGGCCGCCCCATCCATTTTTGCGGCGATGCCTCACGCTCTGTGTCCGCGAGGCGCGGCCAAACGCGTTGCGGAAGCGGTGGCCCACGACTGAGCGAAGCAAGCTCTGTATGGTGGTGGTGGTGGTGGTATCGCCGACGTAACAGCCGTAACGCTCCTTTGCGGCTCCACCGCAGCGAGCAGCACTGCGAGTTAGCTGCTCTCTGAGCCAGATCTCGTCGAGGAGCTCTTCGATGACTTGCGCTTGTCGTCGGCCTCCTGCTCCTCCTCCGACCCATCGCTTTCCTCCTCGCTCGAGTGGGAACACGTGCAGACATTATCGTAATTGTAGTCGAAGTGCGACCCGCTTTCCTCCGAGTCGAGGGCGAGCTCGTTGATGTTCAGCCGGTCCCGCCGCACCAGCCCACACTTTGTGCAGTGCAGCGACGTCTTGTCGATGCTCGTCTGCTCCCGCGCCCGCTTGCGGTGAAGGGCGGCCAATTTCTGCTTCTGTTGGTGCGTGCGCATCGCATTGGCGTCCATCACGGCGAGCTCGGCAGCGGCAATTTGGGTTTCAGTACCGCGTATCTGCCCATTCAAATTCCGCACATTTGCCACGATGCACATCACCTGATCTTTGAACTCTTCCTCCGTGCCATTGTTGGCACGCGCGGCCGCCACCACCGCCGTGGCGTACGCCGTCGCCTCGTCAGCCCGGCCGTTGAAGTCGTCGAGCCGCTGAAAGGTGGTCGACAGCACGCGAACTATCTTCTCGTCGCGGCTGCCAGACGGCGATGAGGTGGACGACGCCATCTTGACGCGATCAGTCAAACAAGGAGAGCAGAAAGTGGAGGAAATGAACGGGAGGGCAAAGTCCATACGAGAAGGCGCTCACGAGTAGCAGTAGGGAGGAAAGGGGGGAAAGAACAAGCGGGGGCAAAAGTGACCAATAACACATAAACATGAAAAGCTGACGTTTCCTTAGACGTACGCTTCATCGCGTGTGCGTTTCGGTATGTATTTTTGGCGGGCATCGTCAGAGTAATTGGTCGGATTTGGGGTGCCATCGACGTGGTACTGCATTCATCCAAACGCGCATTCGGTAAGGCTGCGGAACCGCCCCTCTGTGACTCTTTTTACTCTAAGAAAAGGGTCTCACTCGTGTGCCCGCTCCGTTTCGCTTTGAAAGATATTCCATTCTTGGGTGGTTCCTGCAGTTGTCATGCACATGAGCGGACAAGAAGAAGAAAAAAAGAGCAGCAATGCCAAATAACCTAAACAGGAAGATAATTAAAAGGCACGCACTCGACCACCGAAAGCGGGACCGCCTCTCGCCGGAACAAAAAAAAACCTGCGTCGAAGTCGCACAAAATGTGCATTTCTTCTACAAAGGCGCCTCTTCATGCGCGAGACACCATCCAGCACGCGACGCCAAGCGCCCACGCCGCCAAAGAGAAACACGTCAATGACAACGAAAATATGACGAAGCCCGTCAGCAGCATCGAGCCTTCGATGTGGCCAAAGACCATGTAGAGTACCTGGCTTGCCGGGTCAGAGAAGTAGCCTGGGTTCATTACGAGTGTGTCTCGCGGAGGCAGCAAACCCGCCAACGGAGGGCGGAAAGGGTCCTTCCAAAAACCAGCGCGCACCGTGGAAGCAGGCGCCACGACCTTGCGCGGTATGTCCGGATCCCGAAAAGGAATACGCGGCGGCGACGGCTGCGATGTGCCGTGGCGCAGCTGGTACGTCCTCTCCAACTGACTCGAGGGGCCGTTGCGCAGACGGGCGGCGTCAACGGCAGCACGGCAGCGGAAGGTGTCGTAAGTTTCGCAGTGGACCAGCACTGACAGGTCCACCTCGCGCAGCTCCGCCAGGGACAGCATAGAGCCGTACACCTCGCTCATGAGCGAGTCCTCATCCGGCTGAAATTGCTGCCACACCTCCCGCAAGATCTTCGCCGCCTTATATCGATGGTGGCGGTAGGCGGCTGTTAGCGGGTGATGGACGTAGTCCGCATCCATGGGCACGGTGCGGAACGTGTAGGCGACCTGACGCACTATCTCCTGGGCCTCTGCCGTCTCGTCCTCTGGGATGCAGGTGACGACGTACAGGGGGTGCTGGCCGGGTTCAAACACACGCGGAATCCTCGTGGCGTTCATCAGGGCGAGATACGTCGACACCTGCGCACCCTCCACGGCTCGAATGGCGGCGTTGAGTTCCCTCAGGTGATCATTTGCCGCAACGTTCCTCAACGTGAAGTAGCAGGAGAGCAAAAGAGTGAGGAGTCCGATGAGGGCGCCTACAAGAAAGAAGCGAACCCTCGTCTCCGCAGCCGGGTCAGGCGGTGGTCTCCGCATTTCGTGTAATTCTTTTCTTCTCTTTCGTTTCGAAACAACACGCACCGCGAAGAAAAGCGCGTGGTTGCGACTTAGTTAAGCAGGTGCAGATGGACCGGAAGTGCGAGGCCGAATGAAAACGATTGGGATGCGAGGTGCGGACGAATAGCAAAAGGAATCGCACGATGAGACAACATCACGCAAACCGCGACGAGCACAAGTGGCACCTAACCTCTCACTTAGCGAGAAGCTGTCCTCTGCGTTTAGCGGGCAGCACTTTCGAATGCACAAGCCACGCTGCTCATCGATCTTCGCTTCTTCTTGATGTCAGTGAGACAGTTCCACTGAGCAAACTCTCTCGTTCGCGAAGCATGAAAGGAAAACTTGTTCGCTGCATGAATTGAAACGCGCATCACGGGGGAACCGTGGGTTGGAAACCTTTTTCTTTGGCCTTTCAAACGTGAAGCCACACGCAGCCAATATCTGCCTCTTGTATCGCAACTCACGTTAGTACGTACGGCACTCCTACTGCCAGCACGAATTGGACGAGGCAGTCGTGAGAAGCGCGTCAGCAAAAAGGAAGCCACGAGCAGCAGGTCTGTGAAGAAGAGAGACGGCGCGAAACAGGAAAAACAGCGGAAAAATAAGAAGCAAAGAAAAACGGCAGCAAAACGAGAGAAAAGACGTGAAAAGAATCGACATCTTCGCTCTCAGTACACAGCACACGTGTACAAAAAAATAGATAATAATAATAATAGGAACACTAAGTAGTTTCGCTGGACTGTAAAACGGGGAGACAACAAAGACAGGGAAGATGAATGCTGCAGCCTGTCAAAATTACGTCGACGGAATCGATACTCGCAGCACAAATAATACACAACGGTGAGTGAGAAGGCAGAGAAAAGCACTCCAATCTCTACAAACGTGAAAGAGAGAAGGAAGACGAAGAATACGAAGCGAGCACCTCCTTTCGCCTCCCGATTACGCATCCACCGCGTCAGAGCCGAGAGTGGCTGCCTTGGCGGCGGTTGGCGTCTCTAGCGGATCGCGTGCCACAACGTGCGTCGGCTCAAGCAGCGTATCGATCTCCGCGATGCGGTCGCTGCTGGGCGTGGAGCCGAGAAGCTCGTTCGCCAACCGCGCCACCAACTCGCACGTGATGAAGGACGTAAGCCCCCACACTAACTCTCCCGGAAAGTCGTCGGACAGCATCGGCTCATAGCCGTTGTCATCCGGCATCGGCGCTGCCTTGGGAGACGGACACACCGGCGGACACAACACCGACTGTGCAGAGCTCGTGAAAAAGCAGGGGAAGTAGCTGGGCCACTTGCTGGAGAAAGAATGGTACTTGATGACGCGCGCATGGTGATGCGGCGCGTCCAGCATTAAGGAAGAGAGATGCAAGTAGTGCACCGAGTCTACCTCGTCCGGGCTCGCACAGTATGGCTGCGCGGGGTCCCGCGAGACGGCAACGAAGGGAGTTACGCGCGAGCCGCGCTGATTGGTGCCGATGGCGGTCATCGAACCCACCACCTCGTAGGTGGAGGGGAGAAGGCCGGTCTCCTCCTGCGCCTCCCGCAGCGCAGCCGTCTGCGGCGTCTCACCGAGGTCGACGTGGCCGCCGGGGAAGCTCATTTGGTTCTTGTGCGAGCCGACCTTGTCGGTGCGCTTTGTTAGGGTGATGCACATGTCCTGAAAGCCCTTGCCGGTGGTGGTGGGGGAGAGGAAGACGAGCACCGCGCTTTCCCGCACGGAGGAGAGCTTCATGGGCGACTTCTGGGGAGAAAACCCGACGGAGGCGCCGGTTCCGTTGATGATGTGCAGGTAGAAGTGATTGGGGTAGTGCACCGCCTCGATGGGGGTGCTCAGGGCACGCCGCAGCAAGGGAATCCACTCTTGCGTGCTTTGCGGCAAACTTGCCGCCAACGCTGCTCTGTTCATTATGCTTTCTTCCGTGTACACAGCAGAAAGGGAGGCGAATAACACTTCAGCTTTGTTTGTGTACTCAATCGGGCGCCAGCTACGCTGTTTCGCCCAATGCCGATGCTTCAGTGGATACGAGTCAAAGCAGAGAAGAAACTGCAGTTGTGTGGATGGGTGTGTACGTTTATCGCCAGAAGGCAAGCGAGGCAAGAACAGAAAGTGAAGAAAGAAAAAGAGGGAGAGCTCAGGCGATGGCGTGGCTGATGGAACGACTCGGGAGGAACAAACGAGCAACATATGACAAAAGGGCACCCGCGATGTGGTGAGAGAGGAGAGTTGCGCGGCAAACTTCTGCGGTTGACGAGCGCACTTGTGTGACGCAGGTACAGAAAAGTGCTACTGTTGCAAGAATAAAAAAGAACAAAATGAGCTACGGGAGCCAAAGTAAATCGTAAAAGCGCTCAGTCTTCTATACCGATTCGAACACAAGTGAGAGAGAGGAATCATTTTCCCTCAGCTTTACCTGTTGACTTTTCTTTTGGCTAAATCAGCCCATTCGCCGCAAGATGAGCAGCGTAGGCATGCAGCGGGTGCTTGGAAGCGAGACACCCGTAAAAGCGAAAGAGGGGCATTACGAACCCAGAGAAACAGAAAGAGTGCACCGCAGTCCTCGTACTGAAAGTCGAAGTCCCCAACAGCATTGAATGCTATGCAAAAAAGAGAACAGACGGACATTCAAGCGGACTTGGCACACACACACACACACACACCATCATCCCTATCGCCTGTTACTACTCACCACCAAACTTGACACCCTGATAGGGCTGCGTGGTGCTCCCGTCAAGATTGAAGAGCGTTACCTTGAAGGGGCGCATGGCCGACACCGGCCGGTGATCCAGCGCGTGCAAATACGTGCGAATTGCCTGCTCCGCGGACAGGCGACCCACATCTGCGACAGGCACAGTCGCACCCGACGACCGCGCAAGATACACCGGCTTCGACTGCCCATAACTCAATGCCGTACCCTCTGCTAATTCATCAAACGTCATTACGGTTCCCTTCGTTGAGAGCATCGCGGTAGTCTGCACCGCACCGTTATCGAGAATAAACCGGAGCAGCCCTTCCTCCACCTGCTTGAGCCCTCCCTCGGTGGTGCAGACCAGCACGGAGTAGTCGCTCGGCCCGTTGTCAGAGACCACGACGGCGTGGTTGGGGTGCCGTGTCACGAGGGACTGTAGCATCGTGTGCGCCGCCTCTGCCGAGAGGCGCTTGTGGATCGCCGGGTTGTAGAAGACGTCACTGTGCGAGGTGTAGAAGCGGAGCAGCGCGTTGGTGTCCTCGCCACTGGTGGGAGCGCGCTGCGCGTGGTAGACGGCGTGATCCAGAATGAGGCTTGACCACAGAGCGGACTGGCGGTCCAGCGTGGCGGGCGAGTGCTGTTCCGTGAAGAAGGGCGGCAACCCAAAGAAGCTCCAGTGCTCGGAGGTCATTCTCGTACGAATGCTTGTGTCGGCAGCGAAATCAAGCTTTGTCGAGAAGAAAAGAACAAGAGATGGGGCGAGGGAAATAGTCGAGAGCGACGTTCGTGTCGAGCCTGTTGTGGAAGTACAGCACTAAAACAGCATCACCTAGTGCATTTCTTAAACTTGGGTTCACCAAGAAAAAAGGAACCCACAAGCAACACACGCACGCACACACACACAGCAAAGACTCTGGCTTCGCGGTCAACGCCCAATACATACAAATACAGAGAGCAGAGAAAGAACGAAGCACGTCAACTGAGACCACCACTTTTGTCTCCGCTTACTAGAAGGTGCATTGCCAAAGCCGGTACCACACCGACCGTGCTAGCCCCTCTTATGCAAAAGAATGCATGTTTTTCCTCGCAAAATAGCTTTTGCTTTCAATACAGTTTTGCGCGTTGGGAGATAAACAGCGCAGAGAATAACAAAAGAAAAAGAGGGACACACGGAAAACGAAACAAAGCGAGATTCGCTGCGTCAAAGAGCATCCGTCAACACGCGCGCGCACACACCGCTTGACGAAAGATGCCAAGCTGATCTGCACAGCACAAGTGTACTTCGCTTTCCTCGTCCGCCACGGTGCAGCGCATTGCTGGCGGATTTTGCCTTTCCTTGGGCACCTCTCACTATTGCGCTTCCTTCTCCGATCTTTTTTCTCTTCTTCGGCCAGCCAACGCACATACAAACACCTAGGTCAGAATGAAGACGACTCGATGACGCAGCCGACACCTTCCATCCAAAAAAAAAGAGTTCCTAACAACAAAGGCACACGATACGCAGCGTCTGCTCGTCTCCTCTCCTGCCTGCTCTGTCAAGGCCGTCACCAGCAGTCCGATCATCACATGCGGTCGTCGTTTCTGTTCAATGCACGCTGGGGATCAGCTCCACGCCATTCTTCGTGACGCCCTTCACGAAGAAGTGCGCGTTGCTGATGACAACACGCCGCTTCACCTCATCGCAGCACTTTTGCATCAACTCCAATCCCTCCTGCTGCGTCAGGTCCGGCCGCCACAGGCGGTCTAGCACCGCCGTGACAAAGGAGGCGCCGTAGCCGTGGCAGCCGTAGGGCACCGCCTGCAGCGTGCCGAGGTAATCCATGTAGTACAGCTGCGGTCCCGTTCTACCATCGTCGTCCTCCGACGCGGGCACGTCGTAGCCGGCGAAGAGGCAGTTCACCTGGTAGGCGCCTTCACGCGAGCGAATGGCACCGGCAAGCGCGTTGCGCATGAAGTTCGCGGTGGAGTCGCAGCTGCTGTGGCGGCCGTGCTGACGCATGCGGTTGAGCGCCAGGTTGCACTTGATGTACTCGGTGAAGTTCACGCGCGGCCCGTTCTCGCCGATGCACGCCACCAGCTGGTGGTCGTCTAGCTGCGTAATCTTGTCTTCCTCGTCTGTGATCTTGATGTAGTAGAAGGCGTTGAGGCCGGCCGCCGCCACGAGCACGAAGTCGTTGCAGCGAAACGCAATCGCAGTCTCCGCCATTCTGTAAGAAATCCTTTCGTTGGAGTTCTTTTTTTTTTTGCACAAACCGGATGAACGGAAGCGGAAAGACAAAAGAAGCGGCAACAGCGCAAAATGCTCTGAGAGGTAAACAAGTCGCACCGAATAAACGAGGAAAGTGGCGTGGAGGAGGAGAGAGGGACGAAGGCGAACCAAAGAGCACGAAGCACTGTATGAAAAAGCAAAATAAAAATGTTTCTCTCAACGATGAAAACGTCAGTAAACGGTAAAAGAAAAAAACGTCTGCTTTCCTAACGATGCACACGATCTAGTTGAGGAGAAAGACACAGGGATACGAAAGAAGTCGGAAAGGGGAAAATGCGAGAAGGAGCAGTAGGGCGTGAAAGGCGACACTCCGAGAGGAAGAAACGACGTCACTCGAGGAACGTCCATGTCGCTCGTTCAACCCCGCTGTGTGTTCCCACGGAGTTTTCGAATGAACGGCCGTCAAACATATTATTTATGTAGATATTGCTTCTTTGCACGGCATCAGAGATTGCAGAGCGCACTCGAAGAATGCGTCCATTCCGCCAAAGTGCAGAACACCTAGCGCATGTGCATTTGAATAGTTCCTACAAAGTGACACGATCTCTTTGCGTGCGCTTGGGACGTTGTTGTTTACGTTAACATAAAAGAAATGAGAGAAAAGGTGGGGAAAGCCAGTGAGGGAACCGCGAGGCAGCGTAAACGAGGCCCAGCCGTGCAGCAAACGCCGGGCGTCATCACAGACTGACGACAACAGACATGCGCCAACGCTTCTAAAACTCGTGAATCTTCTACTTCTTCTTCTGCGCCTTTTCCAGAAAGTCACGGCACGGTCGATACGATTTGCGGTGGATCGGGCTGAGGCCGTTTTTGGCGACGTACTTCATGTGGTGCTCCACCGGGTAACCCTTGTTGACGGCAAACGCGTAGCCGGGATACAGCGCATCCAAGTAGCTCATCAGCTCATCGCGCGTCACCTTTGCCAGACACGAAGCGGCGGCAATGGAAAGACTGCGCTTGTCGCCCTCGATGATCGGCTGCACATCGCCGCCGATGCTAACGCTAGTGAAATGGTCGTAGCTCGGGCCCGGCACCGCGTGCCCGTCGATCAGCACGAGGGGCGGCTGAATCGGCTCCGAGTCAAAGTAGTCCGTCGCGCCCTTCACGAGGTCCACGCGGTGCGGCACCTTGTAACGCTTCTCGCCGTCGTGCTTCGCGGAGATGCAGAAGCGACTAAACAAGTACTGCGCAATCGTCGACGAACGCGGTCGCGGGGCCACCTCCTGCGAGAAGCGCGCGTCGTTCATCATGTGCCAGATCGACAGCGCGGAGCGGTGCATCGTGTTCATCGAGGCGTTGTATATGTTGTACTCGTCAATGTACGTGTGGTTGGCGATCCCGATCGACCAGAAATACACGTAGTTGCCGGCGCTGTTGTAGCCGTGGTAGGTGACGAGGTACGGCGTCTGCATCGAAAGCAACTTCTTGAACGGCAGCTTGGACAGCTTCACGTGCGAGTCGAAGCGCTTCCCTGTCGCCACATTCGGCGGGGCCTCGTCGTTGGCGCAGTGGTGCACCACAAACTTGCGGCTGCCGACGATGTCGAAGAAATCGACGTGTCCGGTGATCATCGCAAAGACGAGATCGCGCTGCCGCTCCGACACAGATTTGCTATCGAAGATCTGAAACTGCTCCGGGGCCTCGTAGAGCTGCTCAAATTCGTTGTTGAAGCTCGAGACTGGGATGCGGCTGACAGCGGCGCCAACCACCGGGCCAGCCAGCGGCCCACGGCCCGCCTCATCGCAGCCGATCGTGATGGCCGTCTCCTTCACGCTGCGTCGCAGTCGCACGCCGTTCCTCTTCATCTGCGACACCGCCGCATCGCGCTCCTTCTCCAGCTTGCGCCGCGTTGCGGGCGAGATGCCGCTCGTATCGACTTGAGGGACGCTGCGGCCGGAGATGTGCGTCAGGGGGAGTAAGCCGTCGCGGGAGAGCTGATAGCCAACGAGGTCGAGTGTGCCATCCAGCGTTGGATCGCCCGTGTCGGTCTTGCGGCGCCCAACCTCGACCTTCTGCAGCGCATTCCACGTCGGCGGGGGACGGAAGGGCGAAAATCCAAACTTCTTCTGATGGAGGAGACGGCGCGGTGTCAACAGCGCACCGAACCTGGCAATCGACTCACGGGGTAGCTTCGCCGAGCGCGATGGGGCTAGAAATAATGACATTTAACTTTCGATCAAACCGTCTGTGTGTAACGTATGTGACGCTTGTATGACTGTATGTGTATGTGTGTGTGTGTGTGTCAGCATGAGTCTTCTGAACACCTTCTATGTGTGAAAACAAGAATCTATGTCGGAGCTTGTTCTGTTGCTGTTGTGAATCGCTTCGTTTAGCTCCTACTAGATGCAACGACAAAAAAAGAGCAGAAGAGAAACACGGCGACGTGCGCGGCTTTAAGTGCGGAAACAAATGACGAAACCTCGTTTGAGGTCAGCCGTCCTTCTCTAATGGCACAAGATAAAATCCACGGCGAGGATTTCTAGGTGGAAGAAACCCGGTATTTTTCCTTATTTCTCAAACGTCAAGAAGCCGTTGAGTAGTCGTGGAACAACACTTCTGTAAGCGTCTGCGGTTTGGTTATCTCTAATGAACGCCAGGAGAAAGAACAAAAAGGAAGTTGATTTGAAACAACTGCCGTCACGCTCTCGGGGATGACGACCCCTTTTATGCAAAAGCGCAGGTGCGTGACTTCAACACAACACAACAAGTCTATGGCAGGCTAAGCAGTTGTGTGTGTGTGTAATGAAGACATGAGAAACCAGCAACAGCAAGAGAGAAGTTGGAAGGGAGAAATTGCGCTAGGGGTAGCCCTGTCCTCAAACCGGCTTGACAGCTTCTCGTTTAGCGCATCCGATGAAGCTGGCGACGTCAAGTGGGTAGGCTGAGCATGTAAAGAAACGGGTATGAAGCCGAACGAAGAGCGTATGAGACACAGAGTGAACTGCCGGCACCACAATCGCCTCCTTTCGCTCCCTGTGGCAACCACAGATCTGCTCTGAGGCAGTCCAACAAAACAAAAGAAGCACGTTACCTTCCACACTCGATAGGAGAAGGTTGAAGGCTTTCCACTGAAAAAAGGCCACTGTTCCAATCTTTTTTTCCAGCGCACTATTAATTCTTCTTGATTTTGTTTTAGCGTCACTTATGCATTAAACACAGCTTTACAAACAGCAAAGTAAAACACCAACTTAGTCAGGTTACTGGTGGGATACAACAGCGGCAACGAAGAACGCGTCGTCCTTGTTGTGCGCCGTACCTCCGCTTTTACAGCGGCTGAAGGCGACGCTCCGACGGCAGCACCTTGAAGCGGCGCTTGATCACAACGCGGTGGCGGCTAAACTTGTCGTCCGGGCTGAAGCGAGCGGGGTGGGCGCTCAACGTGGGCTTGCCCTCCGGGTCGACCTTCTTGAGCGTGTAGACACGCTTGCCGTCCACCATGTACACCTGGAGATGCATGTTGACTTGGACGAGAGTGGGGAGGTGGTTGTCGAGAAATTGAAAAGGGGTTGACGGCGAGAAGGAGGTCGAGTACAACCTGATCGAGTTGCGCGAAAAAAAAAGTGAATGCTGTCGCAGTAGAGCGAAGACACGTGCGCGTTGTTCGTGCGTGTGTGGTGGGCAAGAGAGGAAATCGAAGGAACGAGGGAGACACAGGACAAGGAACAAAGCAGAGGTGGGAGAGAAAGCGAGGGGGTGCGCGGTGAAGAGGTCGGACATGAGGGCGCGGTTGGGTGTCGCTAAAGTGGAAAACAAACAGCGCGTTTCGCCCGACGCTTCACTTGAACCGTATGAAGTTGGGAAGAGCATGCTGAACACACAGACGGATTTCTCGTTGCCGCTTCCTTTTGTTGTTGCTGTTTTTTTGTTTTTAGTTTAAGATTCTAGAGACGGCATGCCCCGCTGTTTCCATCTTGCCAGAGTGTAAAAGAATAAATCCCCATGCACATCAAAGAAGCGATTTGCTTTGTTCTAGGAAGTACTATATAAATCGTACTCTGTTTGAACCTCTAACGCTCTAACCTGCGCGCGGGTGTATGTGCGTCCGCTACAGCCCTGTGGTACGCGCGAGGGTGAAAGAAGAAGAAAAAAAAGCGAACGTAAAGGCAGTGGACGGAGTCCAGCAAAAACAAGTTCTAAACCTCTCCACCAGAGAGCAAAAAGAAAGTAACGGCAAGCAACGAAAAAATATGTAAGTTAGTACGGTTCCAAGGAAGAGTTACGAGGCTTTAGGTGTGCTCGCAGCATCGCATCGTTGCGCATAAGGCTGGTCGTGTAGCAGGTATTGTTCAGAATGGAGGTGTAAACGCTCTTTGGCAAAAAGTGAGGCAGACTCGCACCGCATTTCGCCTTCTTCGTCATGGCCGTCGATTTCGGCGCTGCAACGGCAGCAGCGGCGGCAGCGGCAGCGGCGCTCACACGATCTGCGACGCAGCGAGCATCCGTGCGCTTCTTGTGTCTCGGTACACACAGGTCATCCAGCAAGCAGGCGCGCTCGGCCGACCGACGTGTGTGCGCAAACACAGCGGAGGTAATCTCCAGCCGCAGCATCGTCTCCGGCAGCCGACCGATCATGTAGTAGTTGTACACGTCCAACTCATAGCGGGAGGGGACGGGCGCGGCCGGCGCACTCGCGGGCGAAACGGTCGATGCATGCTTGAAAGCGTCAAAGCGCGTGTGGATCGCGCGTTTCGCCTCTAACACCTCCTGGATCGCCTTGGCGACGGCGCCGGTTGGTGGCGGCTGCTCCGCCAACTCCGCCTCGCGCTGGGCCACCACCTTCGCCCAGTACTCCTTTTCCTCATCCCTGCGCACTTTGCGGTAGTTCAACTCTACCACTGCCTGTACGGACCGGCGGTGCAGACGATACGCACGTTGGATGCACACCACCCGCATTTCTAGCTCATGGGCAACGCTGAGCAGCCGGGTGCGTGGCGCACGCAGCAAGCGAAGAATCGCGTTTGCTGCCCGACGCTCCTGCCGGCGCCGACGGGCGTGTACTTTGGCCACGATAAACTTCGCCACCGTCGCCGTCGCCCGTGCCAGCTGCTTGCGGTAGCGGTACCGCCTCCACAGCGGAAGGAGGAGTAGGCGGAGGGTGCCGTACGCAGCAAACATGACCAGGTTGAGACTTGTGTACGGCGACAGCGCCGACACTTCGCCACAGGCGTCGGCACCCGCGATGAGGCGCAGTGAGCCCTTTGCGTGCGACGACAGCCGCCGGGACGCCTCGGCAGGCGACGAGTTCTCGGTGAGCGAGGGGGACAGACCGTCCTCGTCCACCGCAGCCGCCACCACGGGCGAGGACACGTCCTTCACACTGAGCAGCCTGCGCGGAAATACTGCGCCCGACCACCGCCGCGCAGGGCCGTGTGACGCCACTGCGGTTGGTGGTGGGGAAGATGGTTTGGTCGGCCCGGCGGCCGAGGCGGCATCCACCGTCGAGGAGGCGCGCGGGAAGATCCCTGGCAGCTGATGTTTAGCACTTTTACTGGACGATCGCCGCGTGGGGCTGAAACCGGGTCCGGGGATGTACATGGGCTGCGAGCTGCGCAAGGAGCGATCCCACGGCGTGAAGGTGGGGGAGGTGAGTCCGTATCGTATGGAGCTTTTCGGCAGGCTCAACGCACGAGCCCGCGCTTCACTGTGCTTTCGCGGCTGACCGGTCAGCCCTTTCTGGCCGTGTGGCAGCGACGGGCCTGCCGGGGGGAGAACCGCCGTTGGAGCCGTGTGCCTCCGTTGCATCTTTATTTGTTTCTTCGCTTCCTTTCCTTCTACCTTCTACCGGCGTGCAAACAAATATGGTAGTCCAATACTAATGTAAAAAGTAGGGCGTGGAAAGAAAACAAAAGATGGAGCTGTTTTGAGCAGAGAGGCAGAGGAGCTACGTGTCTTGGGCAGTGCACCGCGTGAGAGCGGTGCTGCGAATTCAGAAGTTCCTCATCCACCCGAGAGAAACGCCTAACAGGCAACAACTACACATACACTGTGGTGGTGATCAAACACCAACACACAAGCACACCCGATACTCGCATCGATGCTACCAGTTGAAGCGAGCGGCAGCCATAACGTCAGCGACGGCCGTCACACATGTACTTTTTGAGGCACAGCCGGCGTGCTGACAAACACATTCCAGGACATCAAACGGAAGAACGGGGCGAGCAAGACAGACACAAAGACCCCAGTCCTCTCCATGTCTGTTTGATGGCTTTTGCTTTCTTACTGAGTCGAGACTCGACGTTATTACGCAGCTAGTAAAGAAAAAAGGAGGAAAGAAGAATTACAATAAAGCACAGCCGACAACACGCCAACCGCAATCGCAACGGCAAACAAAAGAAGAAGTGACGGCGATCACCGTCGGCAGCAACCAAACACACCGCCACTTCAACGCCGAATATCGTAACTCTCCGCCGACACTTTACCCTGTTCAACTGCGCCTCGCTGCGGCGGCGCCCTTCACGCGCTTCTGCGCGCGCCACGTCTTCAAGAGCGTATCCGGGGCATTTGCGTACGCCCACTTGTGGCGGTCCTTCACAAAGTTCAGCTCCTCCGTGAGCTGCTTAAAGACTTTGCCGTAGTCCACAGGCTGTCCGGGCGCCTGCTGCATCTGCTGCTGCATGAGGGCCGTCTGGTCGCCCGACTCCACGTCCTGGCCGAGGAGCAGCTGCAGGAGTCCCTGGTTGCCCGACATGATCAGAAAGTACAAGCTCAGCGAGGTCACGTAGTTGCAGTTGAGCACGTCGATGTCGAGGCCGCGCTGCATCATTTCACGGAAACGGTTCGATAAGGAGAAGGGGAACTTGGCCACGACGAAGCCAGAGAAGAAGTACGAGACGAGCATCATCATGCCGATGTTCGGCACCATCATCATGAACTGGTTTTTCATCATGCCCATCATCAAATTCGGGTCGTTCATCATCTCCATCGGGTTCGGCGCCTCCATCTCCTTGTTGAGCACGCCGTTGATCATCCGCTCCGCACGGCGCTTGAAAGCATCGGGGGATAGCTGCGAGCCGGCAGACAGCAGCTGGCGACCGTAGTTCTGGATGTTCGTGTTGCAGATCTTACTCATGTTTGGCTTCGGCGCGGAGTTCATGAGGAGACTGGCGTAGTGGCGCAGCACCCCAACGAAGAGGACGATGGCGATGAGGGGCAGGAGCACCCAGTCCCGGATGCTCGGGTCTAGCAAGATGTTCTGCTCAGCCGTCATACTTACGTGTGTGTGCGTGTGGAGGAATACGAGGCCTCAGAACAGGGAGGAAAAAGAAGCTGCAGCTCAAAAAAGGAAATGAGGGAGTGGATAGAAAAGAAGGGAGCGGGGTTACCGGGAATCATCGTGAGGAGACGAAGGCAGGTAGAGAGGAGGAGAGAACTGTTCTCTCTTGGGGGGGGGGGAGGGGGCCGTTATCACAGCTCGGCAAACAACGAGCAGGAGACTCACACTTTCCTAGCCGCCATTGTGCAAAAGCCCTAGATGGGTTTACGGCTCCCCTCGCCTTTCCACTGTCTTCTAGCGTCATCGTTGTAGCCTGCTCTGCTTCTCTTACGTTACCCTTTGCGGGTTCACAAAGAGAGGGGGTCGTGCCAAAATGTCAGCCGTTCCCTACTAGCTTGATGTTTTGTTGTAGCCTCAGTTTTGTGTTTTCCGCCCACGGTGTGCAATAGTTAAATAATAATAAATTTCGAGCTGAGTCTCTTGCTTCTCGCGCACCAGCATCAGGCAGCCTCGGCGCTGAGTGCACAGAAAAACACGCTGCTTCACAAATCGGCAGTACGCCGCGACAGGCAGAGCAGCGCAAAGATGCACGTGGGCACAACGCCCACAACGTGCGTGAAAGAAAGAGTTGGATGGAGGTCAAAAAAAAAAATGAGAAAGCCACACATCTGCATCATGCAAGAGAGGGAGGGATGCAACGCGGAGCAGAGACAATTGTCTGGGGATGGGTTTGACCAAACAACTTCACGACTCTCAAAGAGAGCAAGGGGGAAGAGATGAGAACCGTCGCTTCAGACTTTGACTCCTACGTCTTTCCAGTCTGCCCACCCGCAGCTAATTGGCACTTGCTTCATCGTCCACTTCAGGGAAGATTAGCTTACTAAACGACATGACGCGTTTCCCATATTTGTTCGGTGGGATGGTGGAGAGGGTGTCCTGCTCCCACAAGAAAGATTTAAAGAAGTTTGCCGCCTTCTTCTTGGCGCTGTAGGTGGTCAGCATGTCAATAATGCCAATGTAGTAAGTCTCCTGATCGTTGAGGCTGTGCACGCCGTTGACGTACTCGGAAAAGCTGCCCGTCTCGGACGTGGATGCATCAGCAAGGTCGCCCTTCGCCGTCTTGCCTTCTGGCGACGACGGCCGGCGCTCCGCCTGCGGCGACTTATTCCGCTCGCCCGGCAGACTCGCCATCTTCATATTTTCAATCACGTACCGCTTGCCCGAGCGCGACGTCTTGGTTTCATTGTACGCCACACCAATGAGGAGCGAATAATCCATCAGACCCGCCTTCATGAGAAAGTCGTAGTCGCTGAAAAGCTGCTTCAGCAGACGCCTACGCGTTTCCTGCGGGAGCCAAAAGAGGCGCGTTAAGTCCTTGTCGTGCAGCGTAGAGAGCTTCATGGTGTCCTCGGCGCCCTTCACGACTACCGTGTCGTTCATCACCTTCTCTCCCGCGGTGTCCTTCCCTCCGTTTGTGGTCACGACGACGTCCATGTTGTGTGGAGTCTCTATCAAATACGGGTCCGGCTCGTAGGCGCGGCGTATGAGGTGAGGGTAGTACAGGTACTTGCCCGGCTTCGGTATTCGGCCCTTGATGTCCCACTTCTCGTGCAGCACCGAGGCGGCGCCAAAGACGTCGTTGAAGCAGAGGATGTAGCCGACCTCCTCCTGCACGCTGACCTTCATTAAGAGGTAAAAGCGCATGAGAAGGCTGCTCGGGTTGGCAGCGATGTGCTGGGTGTACTCCCACAGCACCTGCAGCAGCACATGAACCTCCTCCTCTGCGATCGTCTTGCACATAAACGCCATCGCTTTCGACTTGAGGAAGAGCGCCTGCGAGCGGCCCTCGCCGAGCTCCATCTTGAGGCGGTCCTCCGGCAGCGACCACTCCTGTGCAAAGCGCTCCTCACTCACCCCCTCCACCCTGCGCAGGAAGGAGAAGACGGCGGGTGCGTACTCCGTGACGTGGACGCTGGCGGTGGACCCGGCCTCGCCTGGCGCCGACACCGTCAGTTCTAACGTTTGGTGGCAGTCCTCCGGTTGGATGTTTTTTGCGTACGCCTCGATGCCGCTGGCGGTGCGACGTATGGCCGTGGACGCGTCTGCCGAACGCTTCACCTTGGCCTCCGCCGCTGCCTTCAACGCGGCCGCCACCTGCAGTGCTGTGAGTCCCTGCCCGCTGGTTGCTGCTCCTTGCCCCATTTCCTGGAGTGAATTTGAATTGCAATTGTAGTTTGATACGGCGCTGCCCGCCCTTTGTATATGGCAGCAGCTGTGAAGTGTGCATAAAGGGATGAGAAGAAGAGCAGGCAAAAGAACGTCGACTGGGAGAAGCGTATTCCGGCCACCGTGCACGCTACATTTCCTTTCATATATATATTGGCGCTGTCACTGGAGAAGACGGCCTGTGGAAAAGCAACAGCAGAAAAGAGCACTGAATAAAAAAACTCCTCCGCCAAAAGTGCTTCCGCGAGAGAAGAGAGTGTGAGCGCAACCACCGCCGCATTCCATTCTACGATTCGTACTGTTGTTTTGCTTGCCTGTATGGCCCATCGCATCGCTCCACATCATCGGCACACTCTTTAGGAGCCCCAATCTTACTTTCAAAAAAAAAAAATGGCAAGTCAATTTTTGTGATACTTCCGCATCAGCTTCTCCCTAAGTGAAAGCTCACCCTCGCTCTGAGGCGGCGGCGGCTGTTGGTGATGCTGCGGACGCTGCTGCTGAGGCGGAGCCGGCGGAGCAGAGAAGGAAGCCGCCCCCGCATTTATCGGTGGGTTCGCTGACTGCTGGTTCGCCTCGTCACGGCGCCGTTTGTGGGACAGAATTTGCTGCAGAATGTACGCCTCCGACGCCTGCTGCGACGGTGGAATCGGACCGGCAGCAGACGAGGGCGGAGAAGGACCTGCGGTGGTGCCGTCAGAAGGCAAATACGCATTGGCGCTGCTCAGCGCCTCGCCCTCGCTGCCGCCGCCGTGGCCTCCACCAAATATTTTGGCCTTCATCGCTCGACGCCTCTGTTCCCGCCAGTCGTCAGCGTTGGCACACAGCTTCAACAGATCCGGGTTGACATTGGAGAGATCGCCGTCGTGGTCGTCCATCGTTACGCGTGCGCCTCGGTTTTTCTTTTCTTCCTCTTTAAGGCCGTGTATAAATGAAATAAATGTATCTTGTGGATTGAACAGGCGCAGTGCTACACAGTTTAGCGTGTTACTGTCGGTCGGAGAGCCGATGTAAAGCGAATCCTTCTTGACAGCACCCGCTCGTCAAGAAAGGGGGAAACAAGAGACGTGAAGCGCAGAAAGCAGACAGAGAAGCGCAAAAGGGCTGTGTGTCCATTTTTCGTTCCCTTCAAGGCATAACCCGCAACACGCGCCACAACATCCGTCGTCGTTGCAAGATAGACGAGAAAAAAGACTGCCGAAGGCGTTTTTTCAGATCATCACGGTAAGTGTTCAGTCTCATGTGTAAACCGTAAGATCTGTGGTGAAGACGTTCAACGTATATTTTTTCTTCTGAGATTGCTGCTGAGCGAAGGCGGACGATACGCTTTTCGGCGTTGTGAGTCAAGGCCAGTCGCAATACCGCTTACTGGACAGCAAAAACACTTCTCTCACCAGGCTCAAGGAAGCATAGAGAGGGCTTTGAAAAAATCCGCAGACCTCCCAAGTCATCAGTAACAAGCTCCGACCCCACGATCAACTCCCAAAACTCCTTCATCAGTCTCACATTACCGACACACAATCTGGTTCATTGTAACTATGACAAATAATATCTGTGTATGATCATCGAGAATCACGGAAAGCATGGATAGATTCGAATCATGACAAGCATCTACAGCACCAGCTGGGAGCACGCAGTCACACACGCGCACACGAAGCAACAGATCAGTTGTAAGACCAAAAGGTAATGTTCTTCACGAAAGGGATCAGCTCAAACAGATCGCATAAAGTGAATATCATCATCGTGTTTGTTTCGCTTCTCGATGGTCGCCAAGGACTCGTGCACTCTTGGGCTTATTTTCTGCGAAGCGATCCAACGATGAAAGGGGCATCCTTCGCGGTAAGCATCACCCGTGTACCTTCAAGGCTGACCAGAATACACTGTATCGGCTGGTTGAAGCGCACAACGACCATTACTCCTTCCGTTTTGGCATCAAAGCCATAGCGGAATGTCAAGGGCAACACAAGCAGTCTTCCACTGTTTCTCGATCGTTCAAAACGGTTTCTACATCGAGCAGCTCACGCCGACTACAAAACCGTGTGACGTTCATTGTAACTATGACAAATAATATCTGTGTATGATCATCGAGAATCACGGAAAGCATGGATAGATTCGAATCATGACAGGTGTGCGAACACAACGAAGCACGCAGCTAGTGGGTCTCGATGACATTGAATAACTTTGCCAGACATGAGAGTAGAACGACAAAGGACCTAAAGACATCTGACAGCAGAAGAACAGAGAGAAGGCCCTCTCAACGCGTGAAGGCGCGCTGATATCAGCATCAGCAGACACACAGCGTCGGGTGCTCAGTTCATTGTAACTATGACAGTAATATCTGTGTATGATCATCGAGAATCACGGAAAGCATGGATAGATTCGAATCATGACAAGCATCTACAGCACCAGCTGGGAGCACGCAGTCACACACGCGCACACGAAGCAACAGATCAGTTGTAAGACCAAAAGGTAATGTTCTTCACGAAAGGGATCAGCTCAAACAGATCGCATAAAGTGAATATCATCATCGTGTTTGTTTCGCTTCTCGATGGTCGCCAAGGACTCGTGCACTCTTGGGCTTATTTTCTGCGAAGCGATCCAACGATGAAAGGGGCATCCTTCGCGGTAAGCATCACCCGTGTACCTTCAAGGCTGACCAGAATACACTGTATCGGCTGGTTGAAGCGCACAACGACCATTACTCCTTCCGTTTTGGCATCAAAGCCATAGCGGAATGTCAAGGGCAACACAAGCAGTCTTCCACTGTTTCTCGATCGTTCAAAACGGTTTCTACATCGAGCAGCTCACGCCGACTACAAAACCGTGTGACGTTCATTGTAACTATGACAAATAATATCTGTGTATGATCATCGAGAATCACGGAAAGCATGGATAGATTCGAATCATGACAGGTGTGCGAACACAACGAAGCACGCAGCTAGTGGGTCTCGATGACATTGAATAACTTTGCCAGACATGAGAGTAGAACGACAAAGGACCTAAAGACATCTGACAGCAGAAGAACAGAGAGAAGGCCCTCTCAACGCGTGAAGGCGCGCTGATATCAGCATCAGCAGACACACAGCGTCGGGTGCTCAGTTCATTGTAACTATGACAGTAATATCTGTGTATGATCATCGAGAATCACGGAAAGCATGGATAGATTCGAATCATGACAAGCATCTACAGCACCAGCTGGGAGCACGCAGTCACACACGCGCACACGAAGCAACAGATCAGTTGTAAGACCAAAAGGTAATGTTCTTCACGAAAGGGATCAGCTCAAACAGATCGCATAAAGTGAATATCATCATCGTGTTTGTTTCGCTTCTCGATGGTCGCCAAGGACTCGTGCACTCTTGGGCTTATTTTCTGCGAAGCGATCCAACGATGAAAGGGGCATCCTTCGCGGTAAGCATCACCCGTGTTCCTTTACAACTAGCGCCTTTGGTCCGACTAAACTAGAGGTCGCCTTGCATCTTGTGGGTGCAGCAAAGCAGTCCTGCTGCGTATTGCAATACTCAAAACTGCTGAAAAGGAAGCTGCAGATGTGAGAAGTATTATGTTCTATGGTGTACGTAAACGCTAAGGTAGATCCGGAGAGAGAGAGAGAGACAGGCGACAGTATGGAGCGAACGACCACCGATCATTAAAAAAAACTGGAAAGAAAAAAAGAAAAAGGGGAATACGAAGCGCTCCATGCTTATTGGAGATCAGTGACAGCTGCCTCTCCGCCGCCGACGTGCGCAGGCCAGCGGCACTCAAGACGTATACTGCATACACACTGAGGAGAGCGTGAAGCATGCAGAACCTATCGGGAGGCGTTAAGTGGAGCATTGAGTGCACGGCAGCGCAGTGGCACCTAAGTAACGGTTACGCCTGAGGTGAGAGACAATAAAAAAGGTTATCGTTGGGTTGTTTCTCATCTCGCCTTGGACAAGCGTTCATTGCTTTTCAGCCGACAACAACCAAAAATTGCAGTCCAATGAGGCACACGCAGTGAGATCGATGTCTGCGCTGCCGTCGACTTGACTGCCCCATCGACGCAAATCGACGTTGACGCTGCAGTCCATCACGCCGGGCCATCCGCTTCGACAAGGTCAGGCCGCGCCACACTCAGCAGCTCGTACGGATCGTACCACACCGGAATTTGGAGCTCGCCGCATCCCTGCGGGGTGGCAGCCAAAGCCTTCTCGATGCGCTCCTGCCACTCCCGCTGCGTCGCCACGGCGTAGGTCCGCTTCGCGTTCAGGAAGTGCACGGTCTCCTCCTCTAGCTTCGAACACAGGGGCGGCACGCGCAGCTCCACCGGCAGTCGCACCGCGGAGAAAATGTTTACACGCGGCACCACCCACTTCTGCATGTCGACGTTGTCGCCCAGCAAAGCGCGCAGGTCGCCCGCCTGGCTCTGCGCCCGCTGTCGCTTGAAGCCGGCCCCGCCCGTCTCGTCCGGGCGTGCAGTTCGGAAGATAAAGCGCTGCTCCAGCACGAGCAGAAGCGCCCCCCAGGCAGCACGTTTCGCTTCCGGAATGAGAGGCAGCGTACGCAGCCACGTCAGATCCGGGGTGCGCTTCTGATCCATGTTCGTCTGCCAGGCGTGCTGAGACGTGCTGCCCCACGCATTCACGCGCCACCGCGTTAGCTGCTCCACCAACTGCATCAACGCCTCCGCATCCGCACCATGGATGCAGTGGGAGGCGAAGCGGCGGAAGGTCAGCAGGCCGCCTAACCGCTCAAACGCCGTCTGCACCCCACCGCTGGAAGCGGCCAGGACGTCCATCAAGATGCGCATCTCTGCCGTTTCTTCCGTCATCTCGCACAGCCGCAGCAGCCCCGGCAGGGCCTCGAGGCGGTCATCGGGAAAGGCGCGGGTGGCCTCGCCGCCTTTTACGTGTGCCAGCACCGAGAGCCAAAAGAGGTGCTTCATCTCGGGCGGCATCTGCTTCACACCGGTCGAAGCGAGCGGCGGAGCGGCGCTCGCCTGCACTTGGCCGTGTGACCCCGCTGAGTGTTTCATTGGCATCTTCACCGGCGGACGCGCCACCACCACGCCGGGCGGCAGCGGAACTTTCACACCGATGCTGCCGGGCAGGCGTCCCGCAAAGGGCGGCCTCGCCTCTTCTGCCACCGTGCGCGTCGGAGACATGGCAGACGGCGGCTGTGGACTCACTGCCGCTGCTGCTGGTGCTGCTGGGGGGGCCGCAGCAACGTGTGGCGCCGACAGGGACGGCTGCAGCTGCACCGCCAGCTTCACCCCCGCCCCGCTCGTCAAGTACGTCTCGATCTTCAACCGCCGATCTTTCGCAGATGGGAAGCGCACATTCGTCGAGTGCTGCTCCCCCACGTAGCGCGTCCCGCCCTTCTGCCAGTCCATGTACTTCACGCGGTACGTCTGCTCCGACAGGATGCCCACCGGCACGCGGCTCTCGATGATCAGCAAAGGGGCCAGCTGACCCACAAAGCCGTCCCACAGCGGCTTGAGCGGGCCGGGCTGGATGGAGTCGTAGAGCAGCTTCAACATGTCACAGCAGCACGCGAAGCAAATCGCCAACTCCCCGCTGTTTTTCCAGGTGAAGCGCTGCATAGCTTTACCGTTCTTCTGCGCGGAGAGGTACTGCTGGCGGTACTCCCGCCGCACCTCCGTCACGAACATCTCCACCGCCACCCGGAAGTAGTCGAGCATGCGATGCCGCCCCTCCGGGTAGCGCTGCTTGTCCACGCTGATGCGTCGAAGCACCGTCGGCACCTGCTGCATATCACGCAAGGGCGGCAGGGGGATGTACTCGTTGTCCGGTCGCTCAAACCGCAGGTCGGGGTTTAAGTGCACGTAGTGCTGCTGCGACGCTTGGGCCGTGGTACCGCCTGACGTTGTATTATTTGTGGCGGTAGTGGTGGGCGAAGCCGCCGGACGTCGGGTCTCATTGGGGGAAGCGTCGCTAGAAGAAGAGGAGCTGTTGGAGGAGTCGCTGCCCGAGGATCCAACGGTGCTGGAGTCGTCGCTGTCGCTGCTGGGGTCGGTGGTCATGGTGCTCGACGTCTCGGACGACCTGAACGCCTTTTCTTCCGTCTTGAGCGCGCCGTCACGCGTACTGCGATTGAGAGGCATTGTCGTTATGTGTGGGCGCGGGAAAGCAACGCGGAACACGCGAAGGAAGTTTCTTCCTTGCGTTCACTTTCACTGTATGGGATCTATAGCAACTAGGGAAGGCAAACACGCGCAACAGCGGATGGGCCTTTGAGAGAAACCAACAAAAAAAAATGTGCACAAGCAGATCACGAAAGAAGCGTTGTGCAAGAAACGGCTTTCCGTGAGGTGCGGTTCACCGCTTCAGCTGCGCTTTAAAGAGGGATGTTGCCCAGCAAAGGAGGGAGAAGGCAAACGAGGACAGTAAAGAAAGCAAGGGTGCGTAGATGGTACAGGTCAATTTCACTCTCCCACAACGGCCGCTACCGACAACACTTTAAAAAACAGGAGGCGGTCCCATCTGTGCACCTCGATGAAGATCTGTGGGCGTCCATTCAAAGGAGCAAAGTCGACGCACCAATGCAGCGTCGCACCGCGGCTTTTTTTTTTTGCCACGGCAGTCCGCACGTGTCAGAGGATGTTCCATTGAACGCCATAGTCTTGCAAAGGCATCGCGCTTTCGAGAGGCAAATATGAGCACGTAGGTTGTGTTGTTGTTGAATTCTGAGTAGCATATCCGCATCTGTGAGTGCGTTAGCGTGTGAAGCACGCGAGAAACCACCTTTGGAGGGTGCCCCAAAACAGCTGTTGAATGTACGACCCACTAATGAAGGCCCGCCCTACTTTGCTGAAGAAGAACGCTTTACAGAGTGCGGCGTCGGCCAGATGGAGCAGAGGACGAGTCCACGCACGCACTCCACCGGCACCGGCCCACACCGCCGCGAGTCTAAGCTGTCCTCCTTGTTGTCTCCCTCCAACCAGATCCACTGCGACGGGTTGGGGACGCGGTCAACGCAAGCGTCCCAATCCTTCGCCCGCACCGCATTGCGTGTGACGTAATCGTAGTACGCCTTCTCCGACTCCAGCACCCGCGCAACCGTGGCCTCGCCGCTTTGCTTTTCATCCGCATGCGAGAAGTACGGCGTGGGCACCACCTCTACATAGTGGTCCATCCCCCACCCCTCCGCCTCTGCCTTGACTGTGGTGCTCTTCGTCACGCGCTTGCACACGGAGAGGTCCTCGGTAACTTTCACCACCACAACATCGTCCGGCTTCACGAGCGGTACGTTGAACCACCGCCGCGCCTGCAAGAGGGAGAAGGGCACGAATAGTAAGTAGTCACCGGGGTGCAAAGTGGGCAGCATCGAAACACCCTTGACGGCGCAGCTCACATCGCAGTTCCACCCAATGAACACGCCTAGGAGGATGAAAGGAATGTCACCGTACTTCGACGTACGCATCGTTGCCCACCATTGCCGCAGCGCCATTTGTGTTTGCGTTCGGGGGAGTTCAACCTAAGCTCATTGAAGAACAATTAATGTGATGATAACGGCTCGCATACGAAGAAAGCAGTGGCCCTACACACCCAATGAAGAAGATCGGAAATTGAATTGGGGAGTTGATTGACTTTTCAGAACCGCTTGGAGGGAGGGAGGGAGTCTCCCGATTTCGGACAACACTCGGTGAATTAATAATGATAATTGAAGTTCCTTAAAGAAAAAAATGAGATGGTACGAGAGGAAAGAGATTATGTGGAGGTTTTGCGTTAGACACGGTGGTGCTTTGCGCTTCTCTGAGCCTTGCGTCCGAAACTCTAAAGGCCACAAGAAGAGGCGGTCTCCCCTGAGCGAGAGGTACGTACACACCAAGAATAATAATAATAAGAAGAGGTGAGCACAGTTTCGTGCATGGCTGCAGCAATTTAAGAAGTCTGGGTGCAACACACTTCTTCGGAAAGGCGAACTGGAAAGTGCGGACACGCCAAAACTGCAGCGTTCTTTCGCTACAGCGTTCTGCACGCTCGTAACGCATTTTTGTTGTTGTTGGTACTCTTGTGGATGTTATCGTTGGGGACGTCGGGAATTAAAAAAATACCAAAAAGCAAAATAGCAGTGAGTTTGGAAAGCATTAAAGCAATGACTTCTGCACAGCAGAAATGCAACACGATAAAGCAAAATACAAGGCGAAGGCCTGCGTCAGATGTGCTTTGGGGGGGGGGGGTTAAAAGGTGCACGAGTGGAAGTGTGTTACAGCAGGCACCGGCGCCAGAGGTGAACTCCATTCTGCCCCGCCTCTGTCATGTCTCGGGCAACAGAGCTCGCGCGCGGTTTGAAGTCGCCGCGCGCATCCTCATCAGCGACTCCACCACTGACTGCTGCAGTGCCGCTTCGCGCTGCGCCGTGACGCGTTCGAGGTGCCGAAACGCATCTCCGCCATGCGCGTCGCGGCAGCACAGAGGAGGCGGTGGAAGAGGAGGGAAAAGAGTTGGAAGAAACTGACGAGCCGCTGCTGCGTCCCTGGCACTTTCAGCGGACGTGTGGGGTTGTCGCTTCGTCGTCGCCGAGTCGGCCTGTTGGCGATCCGTGTTGGTGAGACCGTACGCGGACACGATACGCGCGCTCAGGTGCTCGGCCGTCAGCGGCTGCGCTCCATCCTCCGCAATGGCAGTGGTGCGCATCAACGCAGCGTGGTAGATCAAGGCAATCTTTGGCGGTGGCAGCCGCGCAATGACAGAGGCGGTCTCAGAACAGTCAAGAAGGGCGCGGCTGTAGACGGCGCTCAACGGCCGCAGTGTCTCGCTCTGGAGAAAGCTCTCAAAGTTCATCTCTGACGCAAAGAGACTCTGAAAAGATGCGACAAGAGAGAGAAGAAAAAAGGCTTACTGCAAAATACGAGGTCTTCACGAAGCAATCGAGTAGGTGTCTCAGAGGAGGGAAAAAGAGTGAAGCAGCAACCGCACAAACCGCATTATTGTCTAGAAGAAGACAGAGAAAAGAGAATAGCGTTGTTGAGTCATTTGGAAAGCACTTTTTGAAGAACTCCCTCCGATGCCGAAGAGATAAAACCAAGGTGACTTCCTTAACCTCCGCTCACCTGGCGCACACACACACACACAAACAGGGAATGCATCAAGGATCTTTGCAACATTCAAAGTTTCCCTTCTGCTCCCTTCAAGGCTGCTACCGTGGCTGTACACTTCAGCAGTGTTGCCCACTTATACGATTACTGTTTTTCCTTGTTATTGATCTGAGATGTATGCTTAACTGACCAGCAAGCAAGACGATGATAAACGAGTACAACTACAGGTGACACAGAAGCTATCTACGGAAGCCACAGCACCCTTCTCAGTTGATTTAAGTGCTGTGGGGAGGAGAGAAAAGAGGGAAGAGGAGCAGGCGCCATTCTTTCCGAGAAATAAAAGCGACGCGTCAAGAGCTCCTCTTTTTTTTTATTTACTCCAAGACGGTCTCCGTGTTTCACATTCTGAGCGACAACAAATAGAACCGGCTGTGGCGCAGATGATTCGTGCGACCGCGACACACATACAAGCACATGATAAAAAAGCAGTAGTCTTCGCCACGGCCCGAGCAATAGCCACAGCAAAACCTTTTGCACCTCAGCTGTGCTCAACGTGCTCGTCATCTCGGAAAAATAAAAAGAGCACTGAAAAATGTACAAGGGGTCTGCAATTGAAAGGCAAGACTCATCGAGTGAGACCGCGATGAAAGAGGAGAAAACAAAAGGGGAGGTAATTGACATGCTCATTCGCTACACATGCCTCCCCGCCTCCCCCCCCCCCACTTGATTCATCAGAAGGACTGAATGGTTAGTACACGAATGCGGCCTTGAAAAGGGTCATACGTGGTCAGCTTCAGCGGCTGCCCCTCGGACGACTGAAGAGCCGCCTCGAAGGCCGCCGGTGTCGTCACTGCAACGCGCCCGACGTGAGATATGATGTGCCCCGTCCCCAGCTGGTGATTTGAGGCGGTGGAGTCGGGCAGCACCTTCGCGAGCACGACGCCTTCTTCGGCGCCTTCGACAGCAACACCAAGTCGCTCCGCGCCCGTCTTTGGAATTGCGATAGAGGCAGATGGCGGGGGAAGGGGAGGGGATGGCGTAGCAGCTTGAACTTCTCTAGCGCTGTTGCTGTCTACTGGCATCGCGGATGCCTGCGTGCGAGAGGGTGGTGCTGCTGACGCCTTGGGCGCGTTATCAAGAGGAAGTGAGTTCGCTAGCGCTGACGGTGTCTCGTGCCCCCGCACCGATGGCTTGATGGGCGGAGGCGGGGTAAGGGGAGGAGCAGCGGCGACGCTCGTCATGGCGTGCTCGCATGGCGTTGCTGCCGCTGCCGGTGGCGATACCGCTGCTTGCAGCACCCCGTTCATTGCCGATCCTAACGTGGCGACAAGCCGCTCTACCTCTTGTAGGCGCTTTTGAAGAGTGTCGACGTCTGCCCTCGACGCCACCGCCGCCTCCACGCAGTCCATCCTCTCCTGCACGTACTCCACCGCGGCCAGGGCGTCGTGGGCGTCCTGCAACGGTACCACCGCCGTCGCCTCGTGCGTCTGCGCGACGAATTCCGCGAACGACTTCGCCAGCGCCTGCACCTGCCGCTGTGCAGTGAGGCTGACCTCGTGCAGCTGGCGCACCATGTCTCCCACGTCCTCCTTGATCGAGGCGCCAAACTCGCTGCGCATCACATCCAGCTCGTCGCGAGTCTGAGTCACGACGCTCGCGCAGACGCGGTCGCGAAACGCCTCCATCTGCTCCTGCGTCTCCACCCGCATCGCCCGCAGCTGCTTGGCGGAGGTGGCCATTGCAATCTCGTTCATGTTCTTCAAGTCCTCCGCGTAGGTCTGCAAGCTTTGCTCCGCGGCGATCAGCACCGACTCATGCGAAGCGCGCAAGGCGTCATCGAGCGCTTCGGAGTCTTCGACTTGTCGGTACAGCAGCTGTGTGCGGCGATCCGCAGCGTAGCGCTCACTTGCCTCGCGCGACGCCCGATCTGGACGAATAGCGGAGTTGGCTCGTGAGGACGGGAGGAGGCCGGCTTGGGTCGTCTCGAAACCGCTAGCACCGCCACCGTCGCTGGAGCGCAGCTCCGACTTGAACAACTCCGTGTCATTGGCGTGTGCGACCAAGAAAGACAAGACGTCGACGAGGTACGAGGGACACGTGCCGCTGTGGCACAGCAGATCAAACTTGCGGTTTAGAACGGTCGTCATCACCTCTGAGAGAATAATAATATCAAAAGGATAAAAGAGATCAATTGGAATTCAAAAAAGGTTTCTACGCTGTAAAGACGGTGATTTGTCGGCTTGTTCTGGTTGGTGTTGCTGCCTTTGTGTGAACGTCGGCTCGTTGGGGAAGCGGAGAGAGCACACAATATGTGACTCTTGAGACGACAGCCACCACGCCGACAGAGGAGGGCGTTTCGCGCCACAGAGAAGAAATGAAGAGGCGAAGGGGAGGCGAGAGTCGAGAAGTTTGCCTGCGCGTGTTCGTTCAGCCTTCGGGAAAATTCTTCTTCCGCCCCTTCAAGAAGCACCCCTTCCGACACTCCGCGCAGCACAACGAGGCGCTTTCGCGACGCCAAAGCAAGAACACCGTAGGATAGGAAGAACGTCGCCTCTGCTGTGTTCCGTGTAGGTGCCCATCGTTGCGTTTCCTCTCATTCATCTCGCTCAACACCATTAGTGTTATCACTGTTATGGTTGCCTCTTTACGTCTCTCCATGAGCACACCCATCACGGTCCGAGACTTTCACAGAAGGAAGACAAAACGAATGCAAAAGAAAGAACTGAGAGCGCGCCAATGAGCCTAAAAGAAAAAGAGAGAAGTATTCGTCACTTTCGAAGCAGAAAAAAAAAACATCTTGTTGTCATCACGAACCCATGAAAGCCAACGGCGGCCGACACGACGGGAGGGAGGTACCGCAATTCGCAAAACAAACAGCAGAGAAAGAAAACGCACGCACATCTTCACTGTGTTGCCCGTTTTATTAGTGCCATTATTCCTGAACAAACTGGCACCGCTTCTTGTCTCGCAACGTGCTAATGAGCGACGTGTAGCGCGCCCGTACCGCCTCTCCGTCGGGCGAAGGAATCAGAAGTCGCTTCGCTATGAGCACAAAAGGTGTGTTGCGCTCGATCATCATTTCGAGCATGAAGCACATGCCGCGCTCCGTCACACGCGTGCCGCTCACATCGAGAAAGTCGATCTGCCCTGCCTGCGGAGAAAAGCGAAGTGTGTGGACGAGGAAGATGAAGGCGGAGTCGTCGAGGAATGTGTTGTCCACCGCGTAAATGCGGCGTGCGTTTGTCATGCGTCCGTTTGCGATCGCGATCACCACGGGCAGCACAGGCACGCACTCCAAGTGGAGATCGGGTGGGTTTGAGACGAGCAAGTCGACCAACATCTTCTTTTCCTCCTCCGTCTCCACCTCTCGCGCGAAAAAGCGAAAGAGCTGGTCAATGGAGAATTGCGTCTTCGCGGTTTCCTTCTTAATGCGCTCTAGTCGCTGTGCCTCCTCGATGATTTCCTTGCGCGTCGCCTCCGCCTCTCGTTGCAACTCTGACACCGTCTTCCGCTCGCCGTCGCTGTACATGGTGAAAGCCGCTAATTGTGGCTGCGTGGAAAACAAAAACAAAAACAACAAAAAGAAACGGTTTGCAATATAAAGAGACAGAGTAAGGGCTTGACTAAATCGCCTTTGTTCTTATCGTTGCACTGCGAGCCACCTTCGTGGCACAGCAAGTGAAAGTAAAAAAAAAAGTGCACGCGTTGGCGCTCACGCAGAGAAGCAGAGGTGGAAAACACTTCTCCGTTCGTATTTCTCGAGGTTCCTTCGCGGAAAGAAGCCCAAACGTGCGTGCACCGGATTGACGAGAGATGAAGAAGACAAGAGGCAGACAGCGAGAGAGAAACCAAAAGCACGATGAAAGAAAACTGAAGAGTTACAACAGGTGGTACATGGAGGCGCATTAACGGTGTCGTGTGAAAGTGGAAGTTCCGCTGTTTCTTTGTCTTGCAACAAAAAGCACGCATCGAGCGTTCTTCGCCACCCACCGCGGGTCAGACCGTGAGGGCAGAGACAACAAGGACGAAGAGAGGAGAAAAAGGTGTTCTTGACCTGAACCCCCAACACACACACAAGAAAGGAGCAATTTCTGACGAGCAACCAGCAAAGGCACAAGGCGGTTTGTTTTTCCCCTTTCTCTTCTCTCTGTCGTTATTGAACAAACGAGTCGATAGACATGTTTAAGCGAAGTTGCATTTTCAGCGTGTGCGGACCGCGACAAACGTGGAGGCACACGCGCAAATGCACCTAAAAGAAGTTAGACTCGATCGAGTTGTAAGTGCCAACGGAGCACACAAGCACGCCGAAGATCAGCGTCGCCCAGGTCAGCGTGAGGTGCCGCCAGCCCATCGCTTCCAGTGACCAGTAACCAGAGCGCAGCGCGAATAGCGCCGGCAACACGAAGGAAAGCGACCCGCCGCAGACCCCGCCGAGCAGATCAAAGAGGACGCGGATGTTCGGCACGGCGAGACCAATGAGAAGCGCCAGCAGCGCCAGAAGACCGGCAATCGTGCTCGAGAGCCAGTCCGGCACGGGATTCTCATCAGCGCGGTAGCCGAGCGCCATCACCACGGAATCACGTGTGGGGAAGATGGTCATGGGAAACGCCATGGTCACCGCCACTACCATGCCGAGATAGGCCACCTGCGCAGTCGGCGAGCTGAGGTGGTCGGCGAAGTTCACCAGTACATTTGGGTTGATCGCCCCGCCAAAACTCATCGCGCCGAAGACGCCCGTGGTGATGTATACGAGGGTGCAGGTGGACATAGACCAGAAGGCGCACAAGCACATGCGCTGCACGGAGCGGTCCTGCAGCTCCTCGTAGATCTTTGGTGCAACCGGCTGGCAGCAGTAGCTAAAGACAAATGTGGCCAATGCGCCGAGCGTGCCGGCGTCCCACCGGGTAAGGTTTGCCTTGGCTGCCTCGTCCACGATGCTCGCCACTCGGCTCGGGTGCTCGTTCTCCAACACCTCCTCAGCGAAGCGCACGATAAGGCCACCCGCGAGCAACAAGGTGGACACTGTGCCGACAATCGACGCGTAGCGCAGCGTGTTGATCTTGCGCGCCAGGGACAACGGAAACATAATGAAGGCCCAGAAGATCAGCATGGCGAAGCGCCGGCCAATGATGTGGGATAAGCCCGCCGCGTGAATCAGCGGCACTACAAAGTCGCCCATCACCACCACGTACATCACCGCCACACCCCAGCAGAAGACGACAATTACGAGGGCCGTCAGCTTCTCCGCGATGGGGCCTACAAGATCCATGGCGAGCTCCTCGTAGGTCATTAACTTGGTCAGAGCGCTCACCTTTGTCAACAGGAACACGCTGTAGATGGTCAGGGTGCAGACGACGAGCAACGTGAGGGTGCCGGTGAGGGTGCCGCAATGCTGCATCGCGTAGGGCAGCGCCAACACACCGGCGCCGCAGGTGGCAGAGGCGAGGTTGAAGGCGCTTGAGACCATGCTGCCGCCTTCAGTCATGTAAAGTTTGTTGTAGAACATGGGCGAGAGGGAGAGCATGCGTAAGTCACGGCGAGTGAGCACGGGCACACTGTGCGCACGACGGAGTTCGTTGCTGTTTGACCGCAGCGAGTCATCGGAGCGGTACGCGGCATGGGAGTAGGACATACGAGTGCGGGTTTTGTTGGGCAGCATGGGGCTCGTCTCCCCCAATTCACCCATTGCTGCTTCGTAGCCCGGCACATTGCTGCTACTCATCTCCGAGTATGGCGACAGCTCGTCTGTGGCTACCCTAGTCAATTAAAGGTGCGCCACGTTTTCTCCTTCTGTGTGCTTGCAACTCTCTCCGCGAAGTCCACGATGGTGCTTGGGGCAGGAAGAGACCCAACAGGCGAGAAGCGGAGAAGCTGAGATGGAAAAAAAGGAAAGCTACTGAAAGCAACAATACTAGAGTGTGATGTATTTAACAAGGGAGAAACACATTATACACGTTGGTTCAAGTGGGATCAGAGTAGAACGTTGTCACTATGCAACGATATAAAGAGTAGTGGTGAGGAAAAGCTGCGTGTGCGCGTGTATGTACGTGTGTCTATGTGTGTGTGTGTGTGTGTATCACGAGCGAAACCCAGAAATGAATGCGTCAGTGAATCCGCTGTGAAATAACAGCACAGCACTCTGAGTTGAACGTTACTGAGTTCGGAAGAAGACGTGTCGAATAGGCAAGTGCTTATCGTGCTGTATATATATGCTATTAAAGAAGGAAAAAAGGAATGTGTACGTGTGTGCTTGGATAGCGTACACCTTCTCCGCTTCCCCCTGCGTGAATCTCCGTCGGTATTCCCCCTTCTCTTGTGAACATCGGTAGAGAGCGTGAACAACGAGAAGAAAAGTGGCAATGAGTTCGCCCAGCAAGCAGCGACCCGTAACGAATCATCCTTGTTTGCTGCGAGGCAATTCAGCGGCCTCACAGCGGACGCGGCGAACCCGGAGACGAGGGAGCCACTTCGGGTGGTCAAGTGAAAAAGTCAAGGGCGCCCTTAGAGGAAGTTTGATCCAATGATCAACGCCCTCAGGTCGGCAGAGGTGGTGGTACTGGTGATTCTCTCCGTTGGGGTTCTTATTTCGTTTATTGAATAGAAGCAGTCGTCGAGAAAAGAAAAGAGTATTAAGCACGGGAGATGCAACGATCATTGATTTCCATTCACAACTTCAGTGTGGTGTCTGTAGAGCACCTACACATAACCAAGTAGTTCGCCAAGAAGACAAGAGAAAAAAGATTACGACTTCTTTGCGCGCTTGCGGTACGCTTTCTTCGACTTGGCTGCGCCGGATGTGGCGCTGATGTCCTTCAGGCACACCTTCAAGTAATCTAACTGCATCTGTTCAGACTTGCCGGACTCATCCCGCACGACCACCGTCGGGTCTTTCAGCAGCACCGTCCACACCCCATCACAAACGCGGTAGACAGGGAAAGCGATGTTGCTGTCATCAAACGGTGCCTCCACGGCCGGAGAAGGAGACGACGCAGCGAGGGTGTGCTGTTGCTCCACGTCAGCCGTCGCTAACGGTGTCACATCCTCTGTAGCCTCAACCGCCTGTGCTGGAACGTACAACTGAGGTGCTGCAGTGGACACCGCAGCCATCCCGCCACCCGCCACGGAGCTTGGCGGTGGCACGTGGACGGAGACGTGCGACATCAGCGGTGCCTCCGCCACGGCGGACACCATCGACGCGTCAAAGACACGCCAAATCTCCTTCTCTTGCCGGGCGGTGAGGCGTGGGTTCATCTCGGCCAACGTGGACGCCAACGCCAGGCCGAGGATGGTTTCTCGGTACATGGTGTCTGCGTATTTGCCCGGGTGACGGTGCGAGCGCTTGTGTAGGTGTGAAGGCGTGGGTGGGTGGGTGGGTGTATGCTCCTCTGCGTCTGGCCTCGTGACGGTGCGGAGGAGAACGTTGCGTTCTTTCTTTTCTTTTGAGAGAGCAAGAGGGCGGAGAAGCAAAGGTGAAAAGTGAGGGGAAGACGCTCCACGACAACAACAATAAGAGAGGCAAGACAACTAGTTGAGACTGCTGAGCACAAGACCAGATTCAGGTATTTCCTGAGAGAAGAACATCTCTCCATCGTCGGCATTCTTTCTCGTTCCTACGTACAAGGAAAAAGAAAGCCTGCACTTGCAGGAGTGCTGTGGGCGCGTGAAGTCTACGTTTACTTCTCTGTGTGCCTGTTTCCTCCTCGTATCGTAGGATGCGATAAAGGAGGGGAAAAAAAAGAGAGTCATATTTTTTACTGGTGGTCGCTGAGAGCCACGAAGCGTGGGCCTGCTCTGCGAAACAGCGAGGGCACTTCCTTCTTGGCTGCATGTGCTATATTGGTCGTGCGGTCGTGCAACAGAGCACACACACACGCACGTTGTGAAGACTCCACGGGATTAGAAGGTGAACACGGGGAGAGAAAACCGCGCTACAGGCAAAGGAGGTGGGCGATGCGGAGTTGGCTCTGTTGACGATCGAAGGTGAAGTTCATAGCGGCTGGTCCATCAAGCGACGCAGCAGAAGAGTTCTCCGACGGGAAGCGCATCTGCGTTCGTTGCGTTGGCATTCGTACCCAAACACACACACACACACACACACACACACACTCCGCCGGCAATCGTCTTCTTCCTGGGGTGTCCCTACTTCGCACCGCGCACGCAACATCAAGAAGAAGAGGAACAAAGAGAAGATTTTTAAAAGCGTCTGTGATTACAAGAGAGAAAGTTCATGGAGGGTGCAGCAGCAGTCGAAAACAGTTCACAAGGAAGGGTCTTTCCCCTCTCGAAGGCTGCACCGTCGCGCAGAGACACAGAGAGGGAAAGACGTGCACGGCACAAATCCACCCCCATTTATAGGAGCTGCCACGACAAGCAGCGTACTCCGGTAGCATTAAAGTAGCGGATCCATCGACGAGAGGAGAAGGCCGGGTTGCTGCAGCAATAGCTACCAATTGCCCTTTTCTGTTGGCATTATTTTTCAACCTTCCTCACGGGGCTGCAGTGGCCACGTCGATGCCGTACGCCTTGCGTACAAACTGCTTTCGTTCTTCCAGCATCGCCTTGTCCTTGGCGGACAGCCGAGTCTCCGGCGTCACCTGCATCAGCGACGGCTTGGCGCGTGCCTCCTCCAGCATCTTCGTCTGCGCCTCGTTGTGCACGTTCAGCGTGGCGTACGCCCACAGCGCGTGAATCCGAGTCGCCCCGTCCATGGCCGCACCCGGATGCGCCGCAAAAATCTGTGAGCACACGTAAATCAGCTCGTCGTTGCGCTCCTGCACCGCCGCGAAGCTGCTAAGGGTAACCGCCGCGTCGGCCGCGTCGACGTAGCCGACCTGCTTGTACAGCATCGCCACTCGCGAGGCGAGCAGTGGGAAGAGCTCGGCGTCGAAGAGGTCAAAGGAGCTCAGCGCATTTAGCACCGACGCGATCTCATCGGTGCGGAAGTCGGAGGCGACCTTGCACGCCCGCTCCGCCAAGGCGCCAAAGACGTCCTCGGAGATTACGCTGGCTTGGTAGTACGCGTTCGTAACCTTCGCGATGGAGGCGGCATCGAAGGTGTCCACGAGAGCGACGGCACGCGCGCCGAGCGCCTCCATCACGTCTGCCTTGCCGCGGCCCGCCCACGCAATACACGAGAGGAAGGAGGCCAGCAGAGGCGCCTGGAGGTCATTTAAGTGCTCCAGCAGTCGCTGCTCGTAGGCGCTGAAGAGCTCCTCGTCGATCTGATGCAGCTCTGTAAACGCGTCGAGGATGGTGAGGGCGATGATCGGCGACGCCTCGCTCACCTTGCGCAGCGCATGGTCGCGCACCGTCAGCATGAGCGGGCTGTGGAGGTAGCGCACACGCGACACGGCATAGACCACGTTTGCGATGTGGGCCAGTGACACACGCGTGTCCTTCAGTACAGCCGCACCGTTGTCGCACATCACTTCATACAAGCCTGGGTGGTGTACACCGGAACGCCCGTAGGCGTTGATGAGCACCGCCGTTGACACCGCATCCATCGTCGATGCTTCTGCCCGCACAAAGGGAATGAAGGTAAAGAGCACGTCGTACAGGTACGGACTGCGCAGCACAAGGCAGCTGTGCACGATGCGTGCAAGAGAGGCCACGTCCATCGACTTCTCCCCCTCCGCGGAAACACTCGCCTCAATTACAGCGGCGAAGGGCTGCCCTTTTGAAGAGTCAATTCGCAGCTGGGAAGCGAGGTGACACACCTTGCTCGCCACCACAGGCGTGTAGGCCGTTTGCAGATCATCCAGGTGCTCCACCTCGTAAAGCTGGCGGCCGTAGCGCAGCAACTCCGCCCGCCTATCCTGGGCCGTCTGCAGTTGATGCTGCACCTGGTCGACGGCGGAGACAAAAGACTCAGTCGTGATGAGACGCACAGAAGCGAGCACCGGACGGAACGCCCGCCGTGAAAGAAGACGGCGCATGACAGCTGTAGATTGGTTCGGAAAGACTGTGATGCGACTCCCTCCTTCTGTCTTCTCTGAAAAGAAAAAGTGCTGACAAGATTTAAAGGAGAGCTTTCGAAGCGTCAGGTTAATGCGGAAGCGCACGTTTAGAATAAAAGGAGGGGGAATAGTAAAGAGAGGAAGGAAAAAAAAGTCAGCGTGCAGGCTGCAGCAAAGGCAGACGCGCGGCTGGCGGGCAGAAAAGACGCGAAAACGCGCGTGCCACAGCGAGTGCCACTACAACTCTTGCTGTGGCGACGGTTACACATGCCAGCGAAAGCAATCCAGTCTGCCGTTCCCAGAGCTTTTAAGGTCGCTAGTCACGAAAGGAAATTCGAGGAACACATGAAGCCTTTCCTAATCGCCCTGCGGCTTCCAAGTAGATATCTATATATATATATATATATACGTCTTTTTATCGTTGTTGCTTGCTTGCTCCATTTGATGAACTTCTCGTGGGGTTCACGGCCCACATCTAATGCAGTACACTCCTCAGCACTTGGCCATTTAGTTTCTTTTCTTTTTACAATGAAACCCTTCTATGTCGATGCATACACATACCGAGAAGTCAGTTCCTGTACATGGACTAAAGAGACGCACGAGTGTAAGAGCGCGGTATCGATGGCCACATACATGTGAAATCAGCGTTTAAAAGAGAAGGAAAAAAGAAGAAGACTATAAATTTGTATTTGTAGAAATCAAAACGAAAGCTCTAACGATACAAGTAAATCTCAAGCAAATCAGATCAGGTAGACAGCGTGGAGCGTGGCGCATCGGAGGAAGTGAACAACGCAGAAGGTGACGAAAGACTTTGTAGTAGAGCGCACTCGTCATTCGCCCTTGTCACCCACGCACGTTCAGGCGAAAATAACTGCTTTTCTCAACTCACTTCAGCAATTCAACGCATGCTCGATGAACGCAGCAGATTTTCGCTCGTGCGCACCTCAAAAAGTGTCGTCTCAAGCAAGGGATAACCAGTTATAAAAAAAAAACGAGAACTGAAATACTGGTACAAAAAAGTAGGGGAGGAATGACAACGATGCGATCACAACAGGCCAAGGCTCTTCATGTACATGCGTGACTCATAGCTGCCGTAGCCGTCGCTGAGGGAGTCGTCGTCAGCTGCGACGCGGCCTTGTGTCCCTGCCCTTCCCCGAAAGGCGCCCCTCTCACTGCCTCTGCTACCAGCTGGGTCCGCATGCGCAGCGGGAAGTCCGGCCGGTGGGGCCGAAGCGGCCTCCTTCGTATGCTCGTGAGCCCCTTGGTCAACCGCTGCCGATCGGTTCTGCGTGTTGTCCTGAAGACTGCTCGTTGCCGTGCTGGGCGGCGGCGGTGGCAGCGTCCCTTCCCGTCCGCTGCGGCTGTCCGCGACGTCGGCCAGCGTGCTCGTGGGCGGTGCGTGGCGGGGGATGGCAGAGAGGCGACTCAGCGGCTGCCGCGTCATCGTCGTTGCGGCGGCCGACTCTGCAGAAACTCGTCGGTACGGCGGGACGGCGTCGGCGGTGGTCAGCGAGGCCGTCGTGGGCGGGCTGACAACCGGCGGCTGGCGCGGCTGCGCCGGGGCGGGTGCGGCTTCTGAAACAGCGCCTGTAACGCCCACAGCGGACGCCTGACCTCCCGTTGCGCTCAACCCCGAAGTCTCCAGCCGCGAGAGCTGCGGTCTCGAATCGGCGAGACTCGACCGTGAAGCCGCCGCCGGCATCTGCAGTCGGCTCTTCACCCCGGAGGAGTTGAGGAGGGGGTTGGCGCGTCTTCCCAGCGCGCTCGTGTGCGACGAGGTGCGGCTGTGCACGGCGCCCCCAATTAACTGCTGAGAGGTGTTGTGCGGATCCCACGGGGCAGCTAATGCAGACTCGGAGGAGCGTGTCGTGCTGGGCACTCCGCTGCCGCCTGCCGCACCACCGCCACCGCTGATGTGGTGTCTCGTCTGCTCCGACGGCGGCGTGCACGCCCGTGAGCCCTCGAGCACGCTCGAGACAGCAGGCGCGCTCGATGCGAAATGGCTCTGTCCACTGTAGGTGCTGCCCTGACCAGAGAGGTGCCCGCGTGACACGTCTGCGGGAGCCTGCTCGGAGTTAAGGGTGGGCCACGGGTGGGAGACGAGGTGTGGGCTTGGCCCTGGTGCGTAGCCTTCCGTTGCCGATGTACCCGGAGAAGGCGGCTGAGCAGAGGACGATCGAGGTCCTGCGGCGGTGTTCACCGTACTGCGCGAGGTCCGCATCGTCCGCTCCACAGCTGCAATTCGGTAGTTCACCTGCTGCATCCACTCCGTCATGGTGTTCAGCTGCACCTGAATGGCCTGCTGCTGATGGTAGAGCAGTCGCAGGAGCATGCGGTCATCCTCTCGAAAGCGAGTGCCGCTGCCGTCGTCATCGGTGTCCCGGTCGTCAGCCGCATCATTATTGCCTTCACCGTATACACTCGCACCCGCCACGTTTTGTCTGCCAGCGTAGGAAGTAAAGACGGGCGGCCCGGGGGGAGGGGGGAGAGGCACGGAATCTAAGAAGGGGAGTGCCGCCCCTCGGGAGGCGCGCGAACGCTCTACACCGCTGCCGCCGCCGCCACCGCTACCACTCGCGCCGCTTGCAAACATCAACGGTGAACAAAGCAAAACAAAAAAAAACACGCAAGGCTAACTCCTCGGGTGCTCTTCAAAGCTGCACCGCTGCTGGTTGACGCTCGTAGCCGCCACTTCAGACGAAAATGCTGTGCAGTGCTGAAAGATGTGGAGCTCAAAAGAAGAGAAGGTGACAAGGAACACAACGTTGTATTACACAGGAGCAACTTCTACGCCCATAACGCAGATGCAAAAGGCGAAGCGGAAATAAGAAAGGAGAACAAGAAGAGTAAAGAAGTAAAGGTACAGATAGTAGACGCGCACACCGGTGTCGACGGTGAACAGGAAAAAAAAAATACAAGGAAACGAAATATCCGTAGTGGTAACAGTAGTAGTAGGAAATGTAGAGAAAGAGAGAAGAAAAAGCAAAGAGGAAAAAGGCTTGTGCGTGTATTTGTTCACGAATGAAAAAGTGAGCAGGTGGGCGCGCGTGTGCGCTGCAGCTCTATCATCTATTGACGGGTTTCCGCTATCGCGAGAATGTGAGCTCTCTGCTTTTTGTTGTTGTTGTTTTTTAAGAAGTCAAGAGCGAAGAGAAAGCAAAGGTGCGGGGAGTGCATCGAAGAGTAGGAGGGGGAAATCCAACCACACTGCTTGCATCAGATGTGCTTACGACGCGTGAAGCGGCAGGCTTCGTAGACGGAGTGATGCGAGCTATGCACAAGAGCACCTCGGAACCAGAAAACATCGCAGAACGTAGTGCTTCTGATGCGCCTCGAGTGCTTACTGCTTTTCTTCTTCCTTCACCAGTCTATGTTGGTTCCGTCATGGAGCAGAACAAACTCAAGCAACGACACACGCCTTCGTAAATACACGAGTCAGGAAGCTTGAAAGCAGCCGCCTCTCTCACCGCGAGTTGGAAGTCTGTGAGAGCATATTTCTTTCTTACCGCTTAACGCCAGCGAGCAACACAGTAAAGGTATAGAGAAAAATCAAATAGAAGCAAAAATGGTTGTTGAGGCTCCCGCCCTCACAGAGAGCCAGAGCGCAACAACAGATCAAAGGCAGGGAGAACAACGACGAACGCCTTTCTAACTCAGAGGCCACTCACGTCAGCCGCGCCTCAAGTCGTTTTCATTCCTCCTTTTCTGCTATTTGTTGTGGGAGGACGTTGCCGATATTACGAGCGCTAACCGTTGCTGGCCGAGGCAAAGCAAGAGGAAGAAGTAGAAGAGAGAGAGAGACAGCAACAAAAGAAAAAAGAGAAACGCGCCAAAGCGGCACGGCGTGGAGGAAACCGTAAACGGGCAACGATAGAGGCAAAAGCAGCCTGCAACGAATAAAAACCGAAGAGTGTGAAAAAGATATATATCACGTTGGCAAGGAGCGAATAAAGTCCTTGCTGTTGATCACCGCCGTCGTGACCAGCGACACATGCGCCTCTATTTTGGCGGTATACGGCTCCGTCGAAGGCCCCGCAGCACCGCCGCCGCCACTGCCAAGACCGCGCGTCACCTGTTTGCCCAGGTTCAACAGCGCCTCTTGGTTGTTGTCCACGGTGCCGTCGTTGATCTGCGAGAGCAGCATGGCCTCCGCGTAGGTGATGCCGCCCACGTACACCACCACGATGTCCTTGCCACGCACAAAAGGGGCCTGGGCGGAGGAGACAGGGCACCCTGCCACCTCCTGCACCGGGTAGTTGTCCAGCAACAAGGTGCCGTTGTAGGCACGGTTGATGATCTTTTTAATAAGCGGCACGTGCTGCGTGAGCACGTTCTGCACATCCTTACCGAACTGACCGACCGCCTTGGCGACGGCCTTGAACATGTGGCCCGTTGATGTCTTGAAGATTTCGTGTCGTCGCTGCTCCTGACCCGCGCACTCGATGAGGCGATCGATGAGCTGCACCTTCTCCTGCGTGCACTGCCGCTGCATGAGCTCCTGCTTCAGCTGCGTGATGATGTTGCCGGCGGTCTTCTCGTAATGCAGCTGATACAGCATGACGATACGCAGGGCGTCGTCGACGTCCGTCTTGGGGTCCTGCACCACCTCCAAGACGAGGCGGCTGTGCTCGGTGATGTTGTTGTTCGCGATGATGTCCTGCTCCAGTACCGAGAGCCGCGTCAGGTTGCGGCCGTTGATCTCGGCGACCAACTCGCTGGCAATCGCGCAGTGTCGAGTCACCTGCGCGGATTGCTTGCGTGCTTCGGGGAAGCGACTCATGAAGTTTTTTATCTCATCAAGCGAGACGGTGTTGCGGTCAAAGTTGTTCATCTCCTTGTAGGCCTTCACCATCTCACTCACGGCAACGCACACCTGGCCCCAGTCATCGTAGCGGTGCTGGCCGTAGAAGGTGTCGGTCTGCGGCGTCAGCACCTGCAAACGGTCCTCCGGCTTCGCGTCGGGGTCGTCGATCACCACCTCGTTGCCGCGCTGAAAGCCAATCAGCTCGTGGATCATCGCCTCATACGTCCACGGCATCAGCAGCGGCGTGACGGGGTCGTCCTTGCGGTCCAGAATAATCAGGACGCTCTCGGTCGCCTTGAGGTCGGGAAAGGTGGCGTGCACGTTCTTCATGCGCGCCGCCACCTCCGTCGCCAGCTTCGCGCACACCTTACTGCCGTCGCGGTAGCGGATCACCGGCCGGCGGTTGGTGGAGAGCAGCATGCTGATGATGCCCTCCGACATCCGCTCCAGCGACTTGGGGTCCCACTGGCTGTACGTGATGGGGTTTACGAGAGGGGTGGGGGCTTTGGAGAGCGGGGACGGCTTCAGCTGCGTGAGGCAGACCCACTCCGTGAGCGGGATCGAATCGACGTAGATCTCACCAACGTGGGCGACCAGGTTGATGACATCCGCGTTGGCCAGCGACTGCACCAAGGCAGCGTCTAGCATGTACGTAAAGAAGATGTCGTAGGAGGAGAAGTTGCCCTCCGCGAGCTCCTGATACACCGACGCGAGCGAGGCCGCCGTCGGGCGGCAGACAATGACGCAGGAGAAGTGCTTCATGGGGTAGCGCTCGCGATTCGCCAGCATGTCCACCAGCACAATGTTGTGCTGGAGGAGCTGGTGCTGGGAGTAGGTCACGGAGAGGATGCTACGCGTGGCGTCGTCGCACAGCAGCACCTTGAGGCCACCGGTGGTGCTAAAGGCGGTGTTGAAGTAGGTCCACGCCTGCTCCACGCAGTTGCGACGACTGCGGTTCACTTTCGAAGAGGGCAGGTTCGACATTGCGGCTCTTCTACGCTTTCTCCTTTTGCTTAGGAATATTGCTGTTCAAAGTAGACTTTGTCTGCTGTCTCCCCTGTTCGGCTCTATTGAACGCTGGTGCTCGATCTCCACACCGTAGCGGAGGAGCAACTGCGATTTGGTAGTGGCGCAGCTGAATGTTTGTAGACGTATCACGCACAAGGTGGAAGTAAGTTGCTACTATGGAATTGCAGTCGGAGGGGGAGGGGAAGACAAGAAGAGGGGGAAAGGAATTGGTGGATGACTCGTGCAGACGATAAGCCGCCAATTAAGGCCATGTATGATGCCGAGAGCACCGTTTCCCAGCGACGCTCAGTTCATCTCGGCCCCGCCCTAGATTTTACGTTTCGATGAAAATATATATATTTACGGTTGTGACGCTTCCCACGCAATGCGGAACGACCCCTCCACGGTTGACTTGAAAGTTGGTTGCTGCGTCTTAGATAAGGAGAAGACAAAACAGTGTTTAACGCGTGCGTGTGCTTAGAGACAGCAGGCTGTTTAGGTCATACATGCACACACGCGCACGCATCGAACAGAAGATGCAGCAGCAAAACTTAACAGTAACAGCGATGACAGCGAAGCGCCACGAGCAACGAGTTCAGCATGATTCGCCCTCCAGCCGCGGCGCTTTATTGGCGGGTTCGGCATCCACCGCCGTAGTGGCTGCCTCCGCTGACGCCTCTCGCTTTCGCGACGCAGGAGGCCTCTCGGCCAGCAGCTCCAAGTGCTGCGCACACTTCTCCACCAGCATCTTCTCCTCGGCCGTCACGTCAAAGAAGTCGTAGCAGTCGGCGTAGCTGCGCAGATCGGACTGGACCACCGCCATCAGCGGCTTCAGCGCCGGGACGATGGGGAAGGCGCGGGTGAGGTGATACTTGAAGTTGTTGAAGACGGTGCGGTATCTCACGGAGTACAAGTACAGCTCCTTCATGATCGCCATCGCATAGTCCTCTGCCGCCTGCGGAGAACGTGTGACCCTCGCGCAGGCAGCCGAGGACGTCGAGTGGTGGAAGCAGCGCGCATCCTCGAGAGCGGCGCGTGCGATCATGGATGCGTCAAACCCGTAGTGCGCGCACTTCGCCACTCCATCCTCGCGCGACAAGACGGACCCGTTCAGCACAAAGCAGACGCCTGCAAAGCACGGATCGGCTTTGCAGCTTCGCACCACCGCGGCGGCGCGCTCGTACAGCGGGGGCTGCTCGGAGCGCTGGTCCGGCGTGCGGGCGTGCAGAGTAACGGCGTGCACCACAAAGTGCGCCGGGGTGTGCTGGGCGGCGGTCAGTACCGCTCGCAGCATCGCCACCGTCTCCTCTGCGGTCTCTTTCAGACGCGTTTTGATGCTCACGAGGAGGCGGCGCCCGCCACGGGCCGCCACAGCCGCCTCGTTGTTGGCCGCGTCGTACACGGCCCGCACGATCGCCCCGCCCACCGCCGGCTTCTTCATCAGCGCCGCACCGAACCCGTTGCGGACGCTGAACTTTTTGGGGCAGCCCATATTGATGTCGACGCCGTCGACGTCGTCGCTGCAGGCGGCGATGGCCGCGGCCCCTCGAGCGGGGTCTGCCACGCCCAGCTGCAAAATCACCCGGGGCGTCCTTTCCGCTGAGGTGCGGGCAACGGTCTCGACGGAGGAGGGTGGACTGCGCACCGGGGTGGCGAGCACCACTGTACGCTTGTAGGCGTTCTGGAATGCGTCGTACGAGACGTACTCCGCCATGGGGGTATCCACGGTCGGGTACGACACGACTTCCCGCTGGCAGGTCGCCAGCTTCGCAGCGACCACTTCCTCGGTGAAAACGAGATCGGCGCCGTGCCGCGTGCACAGGGCGCGAAACCCCGCGCTGCATACCCGCACCATCGGTGCAAGCATCACCTTGCCGTAAAACGGTGAGGCGTTTGAGTCCATCATTGCACGAGTGGAAGCCATGAAACCGTTAGCTGTCACCTCGAAGCAGCGAATGACGGAAGGAAAAAAGGAGAGGTGCGTTGCTACGTGCTGTTCTCCTTCTTTGTCGTCCACCAAAATATCACCTGCCAAGTGGAGGAGCTTCCTTGGGCACGGATGAGATAGTCTGTGCAACACAGCGATAAAGCGTGAGAAAGTGCAGAAGAACGAAAGTCGGGAGTGCCGAAGAAAACAACAAAAAGCAAGGATCGTAAAGGCACCACACCCGAAAACATAACATGCACTTCACGAGCACTTCACGAGGACTTGCGTAAAGCGCCTCAAGTTGAAGTGTTCCAGTTAGCTTCTACCCGCGACACGAATAGAGCGAGCAGAGGGCCACAACGTGAGGAGCACGGGGATGCCTCGTCCGTTTCAATCGGACGAAAGACGCACTTCACACGCGAGGAACGCCGTAAAAGACGCATGCGGGACGCGAGACGACCATGGAGAAGTGTCGTAGGAAAGAGAGTATGCGACATGCACACACCTCACTTACTGCTGCATTTCGAGAAAGGACTTTTCTGGTTACTTCACTACTGAAAACAATACGAAATGAAAGAGCTTCCTTACCCTTTTTTTGATGCGGCGTAAAAACATGGTGAATATAAATAAAAAAAAAAGAGTCGTGCCCTACAAAACAGAAAGAGGAAAGGCAATCCACCGCGAGGAACAGAGCTGCGCCATAACGGGCAACTTCGACTCCTCCTTTGTCTCTTCACACGGTTCCTACTACAACTACAACTTGTGAGAGAAGCCAGAAAAGGAAGCAGGTGAAACGCAAATGATATTTGCAAAACGGCCCTTTTGCTCTTTCATCTTTCGTTTCTCCTCTTCCTCGGTCCTGACTTTTCACGTGCTATCACGTGATATATATATTTTTTTTGGCCGCTTGAGCGAGTTGCCGGACAACTACGCGCCCGCTACTTTCCTTACTAACCACCAAACGCGGGAAATAAAAAGAAAATAAGCTCATAATGTTAGATAAGGGTAAATGAAAGAAATCAAATAATATAACTTCATCCACAACCACACATAAAACGCCACACTCGTAAAGAAGGAGGAGGGGTGGTCTTACTCAGCGTTGAGGTAAACGCCAAACTCGTGGAAATCACGGTCAAACTCCGCCTCGATCTCGGCGAAGGTGTACGCTGGACCCTCGTCCGCGGCCGGCTCATCCGTCCAGTCGGGGTGCATCACCAACCACGGGCGGTTGTGGACGTAGAACCACTGCTGGCACATGGGGCACTTCGTCTTGCTGTAGCCCTTCATCATCATGTAGTAGTTCGACTGCGGCACGTGCGGGGCGCAGTTACCGAAGCACAGGACCATCTGCTGATCACCGGGGTTACCCGTGCCCTCCACGCGGATCGGCCGCTCCTCGCTACCAATCGGAGGCTCGTAGAGGTGGTTCACGGCGATGTACGGCCGGTCGTTCCACTCCTCGCGGTCGTGCTCCTCGAGCATGAGGGTGTCATCGGCCTCGAACATGTGCCACGCGCGGGCAGGCTCCTGCCAATACAGACGGCCCACACCCGTGACCACATCGTCGTACACGGGAAGGGACTGGTCCATCAGCTTGCTCATGATGGGGCTCTTGCGCCAGTTCTCCGGCGGCTGCTCGAGCTCGTTGAGGTTGTGGGGCTGCACGGGGTACGACTTATCCTGGTAGGGCGTCGGGCCATGGTGCGCGCCGCCGCTCAGAAGCGCACGCGACGCCGCAAAGAGGGAGAGCGAAGTCTTGCGAAGCATAGGGAACTAGATGAGTTGAAGAAAAAAAAGCCAGGGTGCTGCGGGGAGAGAGCGACGAGTGGCACTCACAGTTCCTATTGTCTAAGAATTTCTCTTACTGTTGCACGAACGCAGCCGAGAAGACGAGAGAGAACGGGGAAGAGAAAGAGCGAGAAGATGAAGTGCACAACACCAAGAAGGAGCATGGCGTCTCGAGACACCGCAACGCAGAACAGAAAAAAAGGCCTTGTCCCTGGCTCAGAGTCATGACGCGCCAGGAAACAAAAAACGCGGTCGAGAGCACGTAACTGTAGAGGCAATTGCGATTAGCCATCCTTGCAGTGACGGGTTCTTTTTTAATCTTCATCGATATCATGGACAATTCGTGAAAGAGAAAGATGCGTTCAGCAAGAAAGGTTTACAGGTGGCAACAAGGAAAAAACTCAAGAAAGCACACGCATATATATATATAATACATGTCAAGCGATGTTGATGATGGATCCAGAAAATTGAACCAAAAAAAAAAAACATGAGAGTTGACGACGTGCCATCGCCCCTCTGTACCTGAGCTTTATGCGCACAAGTACAGCGATGTAAAGTACAGAGTTTGCCAGTAAGAAGCTCATCCCTGTTCGCTATTCTGCAGAATGGGAAACGAACATGAAATGAAAAGAGACAATACATCTCGCAAATGAAAAAAAAAATAGGGGTAGGACAGGAAATGATACGGGATTGCAGCGGTGGTGCTGCTCCGCCGGGCACCTGAATCGGCGCTACACATATACATCATGCTGAGACGCTGTCGTGCCTCCTGCACACAACACCAATACAAGTCAGTCGGGGTTGCGCTCCTCCACGGAACCGCGTACATATCGTGCCGTTGCGCGCGAAAAAGCGGAGCAAAAGCAAGCAAAGACAAAAAAAAGGGAAGCCCCAGCAACCCCACGTACGATGTAGCGACATGCATTCAGCAGTGAGAAAGGAAAAGGAAAAAGAAAAAGGAACGTGAAGGTGTTCAGGAAGAAAAAAAAGGACGTTCTTCACTTCTTTTCCTCTTCTTCAGCGTGAATGAGAAGAGGAATGCAGCATACGCGCCTATGCTAGTCCCATGGACTGCAGCATGCCAACGCTAGTGGTGTTTTCATTCAATATGCGACCACCACCACCGCCACCGCCACCGCCACCGCCCATGTCGTAGCCACGTCCACTGAACCGATCCCCCGTACCACCGAAGGAGCTGCGCTGCGGCGGTGCCCCGTTGCCAGGCCGCGTCGTCCCCCCTCGCGGGGGACCCATCGGTGCGGACATCTTTGCCTTTGCTGCTCGACCACCCGTGGCGATGTTCTGCTTGCGTGACTCGCTCTGCTTCAGCATGGAGGGTGGCACTCGCTGCGCGGGTGGTGGCATGCCGCGCGCAGGAGTCGCACCAGTGGCACTGCCGCCACCACCGAGCGTCCGGCCCTGATTTGCGTACCGGGGAAACGGTGCGCGCTGGGCCCCGCGCGTGGGTGCCATCGGCGCTCGATTTGGTGCGACAGCAGCAGACGAGTTGCCCCACATGCTGTGCGACTCCGCATCCGCCAGCTTCGCACTACGAATGGCCTCAATGAACTCCTCGTGCTGCTGGCGCCAGTTGGTCTTTGGTGCGGGGGCAGGCGTGTAGCGACTTGTGGTGTTGGCCGTGCCAAGTCGCCTCTTCTTCTTCATTCCTTTGCCGCCACCGGAGCGATCAAAGACGCTGCCAAAGCCGCCATCGTCCTCACCGGAGAGGCCGCGCTGTTTGCTGCTATCGAAGACCCGGCGCTTCTGATCGCCCTTGCAGACGCTCTCGTGGTAGGCAATACGGTCGAAGTTGAAGTTGCGCCCACACTTGGAGCAGGGGTGCAAGTTCATGTTGGGCGGCGCCTCCTCCATCATAGGTGGCATGCTAGGCGCGTGGAGGGAGCGCGCGGCGGCCACGCCACCGCCACACGGCTGGTCGTCAAACCCAACGGTGCCGGAGGCCAACATCGTGGTATTTCGGCCCGTGCCGCCGTTGCCACCAGCTTTTCCTGCTGGTCCTGCGTTTCCGCGCAGTGCCGGCATGACGGGTCGCGGTCCTACTGGATCCAGCTTCCACCGCTTGATCGCCTTCTCGTAGCATTGAGGGATGTGAATGTTAATGGAGGCAGACCCGAAGCCCTTGCCGCACAGCTGGCACGTGATAAAGTGCGGACGCGGCATCTCTTCTCCGTCGCCCGCTGCTTTTTTTGTTGTTGTTGCTGTTTCCTTTTGTGAATGGGTGCGTGTGCATGCAAGTGTCGGCGGAGGTGCGATGCTGTTGCCGTTGTGGAAAGCGGATGACTGTATTTTACACGTAGTTCCTTGTCGTTGCTTTTCTGCGTCTCGTCAGCGCGTGGTAACGAAGCGGGGTGCAAACAGAAGAAAAGAGGAAAAAGGTAAAGGTGAATCGTCGGAACGACGATTGCCCTCCGGGAAAAGTACCGCTCTGCCGCTAAGTACGCTTCGACCTGTCACCCGAAAGAAAAATAATAATAATAATAATAATAGCGATGAAACCGCAACGAGATATCCGAGGCGGCATTGAACAAAGGGGCCCCACAAAGCGCGCGCCAAAAGCAAGTGTCGACGAGAGAGGAAAAGGGAGAGAGGGAGGGTCGGGAGACAAAGGTGCGATAGGAAGAAAATGGGACAGACATCACAGGAAATGCAATGCAACAAGAAGCGCGTTTAAACGCATTCCTCCACGCGGGCTACGCCTTTTTTGTTATTATTCGGAATGTACTTCAATTCCGTTGGCGCTATCAAAGTTCAAAGAAAGGAAAAGAAAAACATGCCAGCGCAGGCAACGTGCGTTGGCAGTCGCAATGCAAATGCGATATACGGCTTCTCTGAGTGTCCCCTATCAAAAACAGTGCAAACTGAAGTCTACAACGAAACGATGCAAAACGTGTCGCACCATCACAGGCGAATTTGCAATGAAGCCTGTCTTTGTCGACTCTTTCTGCCTCAGCTTCCCCCCATAAACGAAATTTGTAGGTTTGCTATTGGCCTCACTTGCTTGTTTGTCTTCGCTGAGGTTGGTGTTCTCTCCGCTTTAGTACCGGTGGATTAAATGAAAGAGTTAGCATTCCCTTGTCCAGCCTCGCGTTCTATGCACGGGAATAAATACAAGGTGGTGCTCTGCGTAGACAACAGCAAGCACACATATATATTACAAATATGACAAAGAAAAACACACGTCGCACCGCCACAAAAACCGACCTCGACAGACCAAAGAAAGAAAGGTGGCACAAAGAATGATACAAGGCTGTCTTTTTGTTACCATTATTATTTATGTCGTTGTGTTCACAGCAAACACACCCAGCAGTAAGTAAATCACCAGAAAGTAACAATAAGCCGTCTCAACGGCGTTAGGCTTGTGTTTTCTCCCACACACACTCAGAAAAAAAAAAAGAGAAGACGGTGGAAGCCGGCTGTCATCTCGCCGCCACGGGAGGCGAAAATCCTGTCTTAGCACACGTTTCCAAGTCTTCGATTGAAAGAGAGGGGGACGTACACTTCTACCTCCAAAGGGAATCCGTTCGCTATCCTCACACTGCTCACGGGGATCGACTTGCGGAACCCTAAAACTGGTAGAAACCCGATGGGGGTCCACCGCGCGGACGTCGACGGCCACCAGCCGAGCCAGGCATCCCACCAAACCCCCCGGGCTGGAAGCCGCCGGCATGGAATCCGTTAGACGAGAAGCCGCCGGAGTGGAAGCCGCCGCCGCCGCCGCCAAACATCATGTTCATCACGTTCACAAAGTCCTCCTGGCTGGCGCCACCGAAGCCGCCGCTGCCCATGTTGGCACCCTCGACGTCGTTGTCCATTTGCCCGGAGTCGTACAGGCGCTTCTTCTGTGGGTCGGACAAGACGCCGAAGGCCTCGCCAATCTCCTTGAACTGCACCTCCGCGTGCGACTTCTCCTCCTCGCTCGCGTTGGCCCACTTGTCGGGGTGCCACTGCAAGCACGCCTTCTTGTAAGAACGCTTGATGACGTCCTGGTTGGACTCTTTCTGCGGCAGACTCAGCACCTTGTAGTAGTCCTTGCGCTTTGCCCGCTTGGCCCGCCCCTTCAGTTGGCGCAGCTCTCCCTCGAACTGCTTGTCCATCTCCGCCGCCTGCTGCAGGTCGCGGACCGCGTCTTCGAACCTCTCTAGTTGCTCCTGAATGCGACTGCGGCGGGCGTACACCTTCGCCGACGTCGCGCCGTTGTTTATGGCGTAGTCGCAGTCTAGTAGAGCACCTTTAAAGTCGTTCAGCAGCATCTTCGCTGCAGCGCGGTTGCTGCGCAACGTCGCATTCATGCGCGAGTTGGCGGGGTCGCAGTCGATGGCCAGGGTGTACGCGTCCACCGCCTCTTTCGCGTTCTTGTTTTTGAAGGCGTTGTTGCCGGCGTCCTTGTGTGCCTCGACGGCGCGTATTTTCTTCAGTAGCACGCGTGCCTCGGCGTTGTCGGGGTCCATCTGCAGCGTCTCGCGCAGGATGTTTTGCGCACTCGAGAAGCCGTCCTGCCCGCGGTAGTACAACACGAGCGCGCGCAGGTACAGGTAGTGCGGGTCGCTGCTGTGGGCGTACGCAAAAGGCGAAAGCACCTTGGAGGCCTCATCTGGCGAGGAGGCTGCGTGCGATTCGGCGTAGAGAAACGCCAACACGGCGCAGTCGGGGAACTCGCGGTACGCCGGGGCCAACGTGCGGCCCGCAGCCGCCATCGCGCCCTCCTCAATGAGCTGGCGGCCACGCGGCACCGCTTTTGACGCCTGCTCGGCACTCATCAGCAGTTCTCGCAGGTGCTTCGTGTCCTGTGGCGTTGCTCTCGGAGATGCGGAGACCGCTGCTACACCGGCCTTGAGCATCTCAATGGCGCGGTCAAACTTGCCAAGGTTGCACAGGGCGTTGTGCAGCCGAGAGTACACCTTGGCAAAGGTATTATCGATTTCAACGGCCTTTTCTGCATCGGCAGCGGCCTGCTGGTACTGCCCCTTCTTGAGGTACGCAGCGCTACGGTTAGAATACAAGACTGCCTCTACGGGGTTCGCCTCGATGGCGGCGCTATAGTGTTGAATCGCCTCCAGATAGGCGCCGGTCTTGAAGGACTGGTTGCCTTGCTCTTTGAGAGCTTCCCAGGCTCCTTTGTTGGTGGCCCCTGAGGGTGCTGCGTCCGACTGCGTCATTGAATGCCCACGTCAAGGAGAAACAAAAAGAACGAAAACAGGAAATTCTACGCGTGAGAAGGAGGGAAACGAGAAAGGAGAAGCAGCTCCCTTTTTCTGTCGCACAAAGGAAAGTAATGTCAAGGATAGACATGTAACGCGGAAAACAAAGCAAGACGAAGAAGATGCCGCGGAAAAAAGCGTGAGAGAGACAAGGTGAGCATGTATATATATAACGAAAGGGTTTAAGAATAGCTCGGGTTGAGAATGCCGCACGAAATCGTGCATTTCCGGCTAGGCTGCCATCACACACTGACACAGGAAAGAGTTGGCATGAATAGACGAGAGACCCCAAAGCCGTCGGTTTGCTGCTGCAACTCGGAAAATGAAAAAGCGCCTTCTCATCGAAAGACCTCGTCTTACCGAAATCTTTTTGAGGTAGTTGGGTAGATCTACACACTGTACAATGGTTGAGCAGGCAACACAATTGACTCACAGATTTCCAACAGTTCAAAAAAAATGAGAAAATAACGCTCCCAAGGAATTGATAGTATACAATTTTAATGCTTTCATTTCGATTCGAAACACTGGTAGTTTTATGTCCTGTGAAAGCTAGCGGATACAGGGTAGGTGAACTCGATGACGCAATGATGTGCAGCGGAGAACGCAGTGTCCGCGAACGTAAAGGGTTGAAAAAATAATAACAATAATAATAATTAGTGGTTTCCTCCGTTCGCCTCCATTTACTGTCACGTCTAAAAACCGGATTATAGAGTGTGGGATAAAAATGTCTTCCACCTCTCTTCGTAGTTTTTGTGCAGGCTTGCATAAGAACCGCAAAACTTTCATTTTTATTGCCGTCAGAAAAATCCACGTATATTACAAAGACACCCGTTTAAAAATAGTTTTCTTCGACGGCCGTGTGTCGCGCTGTTTCTTCGCTGGCAAGAAAGAAAAAAAAGATGCTGCACCGCGCCACCGCAAGTCAGCATGGAAGCCGGAGCCTTTCCCTCGCTCGCGCACTTTGACGTTTTTCTCCCGTTTTTAGTGGTGTGGGTTGGGATGGGGGGGGGGCACATACCTTGCAAGTTCGCAAATAATGGTTTGCCGAGACATACGGGAAGAGAGCGCGTCGTTTCTCCAGAATTCTTATGGAGGCAATGGGAGGGCTTCCAGGCTCTCGCTTTGAATAGTTATCCTTTGAAAGTCAGCTGAGTCGTTCAGTTGCATTCGCTACTGCCGTGGACTACGAGACTTCTTTTTCGTTGTGCGTGTCTACGGTGCTGCCGGCGAAAAGAAGAGCTCCCGAAGCATGTCGCTTCGTGCGGCTACAACAATGTCGCGGCACGCGTCGTTGACCGCAAACGAGAGACCAAACGTCAAGCTGCTCAGCGTGAAAGAGAAGGGCATCTTGCGGTACAAGAATGCAACACCCGAGGCGTTTTTGAGGAGCGGTTGAATGGAGTGATAGCCAAACTGCGAGTACACAACACGCTCTGCCTGACGGTTGCGCTTCACCACGCTCAGCGGGTACGTGAGCACGGAACCAGTCAGCCCCGATGTAACGCCTGCCGCAAGGTACTGCCAGAAGTTGTGACAGTTGAATCGATCTTTCAAATACTCGTACGAGGCAAACCCGATGCCGGCAAGAACGCCAACGCCCATCATAGAGACGTAGCAACCCTTCCAGAGAGACCGAATGCCGTGCCGCCGCGCCGTCGCCCGCAGAAGCCAAAAGTACGACTGAAAGCTTGGCACGGCGTTCACGGCCACCCGGGTGCGCAGGAGATCCAACGGGTAGACGATGGCCGTGCTGAACGCCGCCGAGGCCGCACCAGCGGCGAAGCTCGTGTAGGGCGTCGCCTCGTGCGAGTACATGAGCCGCTCCGCCACCATTTGAAACATGTCAAAGAAGCAGTACGTCAGGGCGCCATACGGTATCACGCGCATCATTGTGATGCTGCCGGAGCTCCACATGTTGGGGCTCTGCTTCATCACGTCGTACAAAAACTCCAAACCCTTTCGCGCGGTCGTCTTCTCAGTCATGCCAACCTGGTACAGAATCCTGAGCCGGTCAAACGGCAAGGTCCAGAACTTGGCCACACCAGCCGCTATGCCGCCGCAGACGAACGCCTCAGGCGGCGTGACCAAATTCGGCCGCCGCGAGTACGCGGCGGTGTTCTCGTGATAGTTGCGCGCGCGCCGCTTGATGAGATCGTTCACCGTGAAGCTTGTGGCGGTGGCGATGGGGCCCTTGATCCAGTTCATGGCAAGACCCTTGTACAGGCCTTGGCGAACCCCCTCCTCGAGATACACCGTCCGCAGCGCGTGCACCACGCCCTTGTATCGGCCGGGAGTGACCTGCATGCGGCGCCGCACGATGTCGAGGGGGTAGGTGGCAGACTGTGCCAGCAGGCCGGCCAGCGCGCCAGCGATAAGTCGCTGATAGGTGGGGATATCCTTGTCTGATGTCAGGTTGGAAAACTTGACAATGTAGTACTTGAGTGTTTCGAAGCATGCAAAGCTGCAACCTGCGTAGGGCACGATGCCGACAATTGTAGGGAAAAGCCCCCCGTAGAGCGAACGCACACCTTGCGCCGCCGTGGCCTCTTTAAAGGCGGCACGGTAACTAGGAAAGCGGCGCTTGCCGGAGCTGCTACGGGCCGCAAACCGAGCTCGCATAAGGTCTAGGGGGTAGGTGCATGTGGTGGAGGTTGCACCGGCCAGGGAGCCGCTGATGAAGCGCAGTATCACCGCGCGTCCCTCGTCGGGGGAGCCGTCCGCGTTCTGGAGCGCGAACGCAGTGCGGAGGCGACTGTGGTAGAAGTCGAAGGAGGCGTACGTGATGGCGGCGTAGGGAACTACGCGCAGCATGGTGGCACCGTTTCCGATCCACAAACCGGTGACACCAAATTCGCGCACGGTGGCGACGCCGAGGTATAGCGCCGCGCGCAGGCTGAACCGTCGGGTGGACTCCACCTGGAAAATGATCTTGACGCGATCACCAGGGGCGATGACAGTCTTGCTGACGGCGCCGGCAATCCCGCCCGCCGCAAAGCTTTCCACAAAGCGGATGGCGGACTTCGTGAAGGAGTGCGAGGCGTCAACGTGGTTGACATCGTCAAAGCCGTGCTTCACCACAGAGACGCTATACTCGCCGGTGCGGTCGTAGTCCAGAAGTTCCTCACCCAAAGTCGGGAACGCCTTGCGGTTTTCACTGCAAAATTTGGACCACTGCTGTTCCGTGAGGCCCCCGACGCTTGCTGTGTCGTAAGTCCGTAGAAGTGCCCGCAACTCGCCGTCGCGCAGGGCACACAGCGGTGCTATTCGCTGCACAATTGTTTTGATAGGAATGATGAGCACGCCTTCGTCCTGCCCTTTCCCTACTGCAGATGAGCTACCGATCGAGGAGGTCCCGCCGTACCCCGGTTGAGACGCCGGCAAAGAGATTCTTGATTCACCTCCTGACTCTGCGGAGACGCCACGAGAAGAGGAGGTAGCTAACGCCATTATCGTTCGGATTTCTACGCCACATAAGGCAGCAAACTCTAATCCTTAAGAATAGAGTAGAAACAATATAGGTGTGAAACAATAAAAACAGTGAAAAGAGTTGCAACTGCAATGTTGTTGGCAGTAGTAGAAAAACTGGTAAGAAAAACTGAGTCGCAAGAAAAGCACGCAAAAAGGAAAAACACTGAAAAAGGAGAAATGGGAAAATTTTTCAGCTGCGAAGCAACAGAAGGTATCATTAAATAATATAGAGTAAAGCTAAGCTAAAGAGGGGCCGCACTGCTCAAACGCACAGATAAATAGTCCAAGAAAATTGTTAATGATTCAAAAATGACAAACATCTGTGTAGCCCGCTTTGTCGACGATCACACAGCTGCATGAAAAGAAAGGAACAAAGGAGTAACGACGAGGGGGAAAGTAGTGTATGATCAACTACGGAAACGAAACGCATGAGGGGGAAAAGGGGAGTTTCTTTAGTCTGACAGTGCAAAATCAGTTGAAAATGGATACAACCGAGATGCGCCATAACTTCGCAACGCAGAACCCAATTTGTCACAGTGATATGTTCACATGGAAACATTCAGAAAAAGGCGTAAAAGCATCTCCAGTGCTTCTGCCTGAGTCGCATAACGAATCTTTATGACTTGCATGAAAAAAATGAAGACTGAATAAATATAGCTTGCAAAGTGCTGCCTTTGATGAGAAGGAGATAAAATGTACATAGCGGGAACAAAAAAAAGAACAACATAATAGCAATCATCTTGCTCGTAAGAGTACAAGATTTGAAGAGAAAATGTAGAAAACAAGCCTACAGAGCACATCAATGCAGACGGTCTAGCTTATCCATGTACGTGTTGAGTTCTGTCTTTAAAGCGCCGTATTCATTCTTATAGTCTTTCGAATCCAGCTCATAAAGTCGCAACTTTTCATTTGCTGCGGCAAGCTGCTTTCGTGCCGTGAGCATTTCGTTACGCGTGAGCTTTAAGTCCTGCTGTGTGCTGCGATGCGTCTCTAGCAAATTGACGTTCTCAGTCATGTTTTTCCTCCAACAGGATTGGAGGTTGTCAACATACACTTGAATCTCGAGTAGCGAAGGCATATGCGTAACTCCAGGGGCGAACGGCTTTGAATTGCGTGAAGGCAGACTTTCACGCCGAATAAGCACCTCTTTACAATGCTCTTCGGTCTTCTGCGTCAGCTGAGACACCACCACAGGCAAGGAGTCATATCTAGCGCCCGGCGTTTCGGTGTGACTGCTAGAGACGTTCGGTGCTCGTCGTACTCCCGGGAGAGGCACTGACTTATAAGGCACAAACGGAGCTACAATGTGCTGTGTAGCCGGGTCGTAAAAAGAGTTCAGCCATCCAAAGTGCGGAACACGCGACATGAGCTCTCCACAAAACACGGAGGCAAAGTACAAAATGCACTCATCACTGCTGTTGAACGGTTCGAACACATGATCCTTACGCTCCACATGAATTGTCGCAATTGGAACGCGAGACTGGCCAGACGACTTATCTCTTCCAAAGATAGGAAAAATGAGAATCGCACCCTTTTTCCCGACGTCTTCCATGAAACGATTCAACGCAATCGAGCTCCCAAGCACTTCAGCGTCGGCGTTACCCATGCACCTATAATGAATCTGTTGAGGAGGAAACACAAGTTTTCTCGCTACGTTGGCGATGGAGGCCATCTCATCTCCTTTTCTGACAAAAATGTGACCGTGTGATGCCCGGAGAAGGTTCACAGCACCTTCCAAAAGGTTGTAGAGGCAACAGCACAGTGACCGCGAAACCTCGCTTGAGACGTGCAACTGCGGCGTATCTATCTCCCCATGAGCCGAAGTTGGACGCTGTTTTTGCGAGCTTACTTTCTTCCCAGCTGAAGAACGTGCAGTGTCAACAGTAACTGGCGCTCTCTTGTTGTTTCGACTTCCCGTCAGTTTGATCACTCCCGCGCCAGCGTCCGCGTTAAGTGTGGGTTTTGACGAACAGGAAAAACCGGCAGCATTTGAAAATGTTGTTCCCTCGTTTGCAGTGATGGCATCGGCTGCGTTGCGAAGTCGTTTCGTCAGAGGTGTCAACTGATCTGCTCTGAGCGATTCATTCGCATTCAGCAATTTGTCGATGATAGTCGCCACAAGGCGAATCTCCTCTCTTACGTCCTCCATTAGAGAATAGAAAGGATTTTTTTTTCAGGACGCAAATGATCTCTTCTTTTTATTATTATTATTCTTACATATGCTTGAAATCTTTGGGAAGGCAAATAATTCTCGAAAAACCGCTGAAAGCTGCGAAGGGTGAAGTTCGTTCCGATACGCGCCTTTGACGGTGGACTGTGGAAACAAGGAAAGCGAATTTGTCAGCAGTAGCATTTTTATCGGTGTTATGTTAAAAATCGTTGTTCCCGTCGTTATGGCGGGTAGGAGTGAAGAAACAAAAACCGTAAATTAAACAACATAGGAAAAGAAAGAGTAGGAGATATACGAAAGAGTAAACGCACATTTCATTTCTCTTTTCTGGTCCCAGGGTGCCTCGATGTAAAAAGAGTGTTTACATTTCCAAAGTTTTGCTCGAACACTAAAAGTAATACTGTACAGCCTGCACAGTTAGCAGCACAGCTATTCAATTACATCATACATCCAATAATTGTTATCCCCAACATACCTTGTTTGTCGCCTATTTGAAACCTCGTACACTAGCTGCACTACTTTTTACACTGTGTTCTTGATTGCTAAAACAACCCTTGACGCATAAAATGGTACACAATAAAAACAGAGAAAAGTAAAGGAAGAAATGGGAAAACAAGCAGGCTTCACTGCTTCACATCCCTAAAACTAATCAAGACAACGGTGCACAGCAAAATACCAGCGCAAACATGAGAAGAGCAGCATTTACTTCTTCAAAGCTTCCAACGCGCTATAAAAACACGTCGAATAGTTTCATTACATGTGTATCCATCATGTTTGCTGTGCATTATTCAAAATGGTTTCAACCAGCCCAGCGAGACTGAGCGTTTTTCAATTGTCTTGATTAGAAAAAGGAGGAGCAAAAAAAAAATTAGCTCAAGAGAAAAAGAAAAGTTTCCTCTTCACCAGTGCATCACCAATTCTTGCAACGATATACATATACGGGGGTCAAAAAAAAAACACTAGTGAATGTATTTAAGTCACCATGTCGGAAGAAAAACAATAAAGAGAAAGCCACGCAGCATCAAAGCAAACAATCTAACCAATTCGGTGAAAAAAAAAGGAATATACTAATAATAATAATAATTCAAAACAAATCAAAACGGAGAAGGGAGCAAGCGCAGTTTAACGAGGCTGCGCGACGTCTAATTAACTCTTAAAAAAAGGCGGCTTGAATTCGGCAACGATGATGGTCATATTATCCGTTCCTTCCTTCACAGTGTTCGACTGTGCAAGACACCGATCCAGTACCTGCTCGCAAACAAGACTGATATCCACCGCAATTGGATTGCCGTGTTTGTCAATCTCATTATTACGAATAAGAGTTTTCACGAGCCTGCAACATTCTTCGTTAGAAAGAACATCCCAAATTCCATCACAGCCAATCACAATAAACTCGTCGTCGCTTCGCGACGGCGTTACGGTCACGTCTGGGAGAGCAGTAACGGCCTGCTGGCGCCAGTCAGTCGAATCATCAGATTTAAAATCCACATCACCGAGCGCACGACTAACCGCCAGCGTCATATCCACACGGTCATTCTCCACCTGACAACCGGCAGCTACAATTCGTGCCTCCTCGGAGGGCACGGAAGGCTTGTGGTCGACACTGAGCGGGACGACTTTGCCTCCACGGAACAGCACAGCGCGACTGTCGCCAGCATTTGCGCACACGATTTGCTGGTTTGCCAAGTAAACACAGTTCGCTGTTGTACCGCTAGATGCAAATTTCTGACAGATTTGCTTATCAATCGCCTTAAAAGATTCTTCAAAGGCCGTTTTCACATCACCCTTGTAGGCAGCAATATTTTTCAAGAGTTCGTCGAGCACGTGAGCGCGGCAATATCGTGCTGCTTCGTCCGATTGGTGACCGTCAAAGACTCCAAAGAAGGCTTGGTCCTTGTTTCCGTCGAGATTAAGTTGCGCGACATGAGCGTCCTCCATCGATTTGCGCCATCCCTGCATGCTGCAGCTCCCAACCCGCAGGTGCGAAGTCTCAAACACCGTCGAGAATTTTTGAGTTTCTGGCTTAGCAAGCATATCAATCAAATATTGGTTGTGAAAAAAAAAGTCACTTTTGGTTGATTCAAAGCTGCGAGTCCACTCAATAAAACTCGTTGACAGGCTTCTTTCCATACTTCAGTGTTGACACAAAGGAATAAAACGGTAATAGAATAACGAACAGAAGATCGCAGGAGAGAAAAGGTGAAAGCGAAAGTTAGGGAAAGTATTTTAAACAGTGAAAAGAGCAACTGACGTCGTTAATGTGGTTTAGTTTCGCATATTGCTGAAAAAAAAAAACGTTCGGTTGTTCAATTAAAAAAAAACATTATTTGGAAAGTGAACAGCTGCATGAATATAGAAAAGGAGCTATTAAAGCCTCAGTGTTTGCCGAGCAGTCTGACAACCATCTACAAAAGTCGATACTTAGTACTTCATTGCATATTTTATCTGGATGTTGTGGTTGCTTTTCAATGGTACTTTTGGCTTTTGATTTGGGAGAATAGCATCACTCTCTGGTAAACAACAGCGGAGAAATCGCAGCTCCACAAATGAACACCTCAAAAACTACTAAAGAGAGAAAAGAATGTCTTTCTTCTCGCGGATATGCGAAATAATACAGGTCCCCAGAGAAAAACGCGACGCCAGTGAAAAGCTGAACAAGCGCCAGTTCTCGTCTCATCGCTTTCGTATGATTCGTTTCAAAGCCGGAAAACTATCTTAGCAAGCAGAATCAACTGCTACCTCAATTTTCTCCGAAGCTGCTTTCCTTTGTTCGCCTTTGATGGTGCCTTTTTAACTCTTACCGGCGCAACCTGCTGCGGTCGCGAGCGCAGAACCGGAATGCGTTTGAGCGACTTTTTCAATTCTTGCTGCACCGCGTCACGCCGCCATTGCAATGAGGGCGCTGCTTTCATTTCTGGGGGAAGTTGAATGACGCGAATATTGGAACCCCGTATTGTAACCCGCTCACAAAAGCTGTACGACGAGTCTTTTGCTTGATGCCGGGCGTCACTCAACTCTACGTTTCCTTTTTCGGTGTCGTACGCCACAAGCTTGCCTTTGTATAAGCTTCCTTCCATCGTTTCTACAACGACTCGAGAGTTGATGGCTTCGAACACCAGCGAGGCGGGAATATCCTTCTCACTCGAGCTAGTAGCTGTCATTTTGATTAAACAGCTGCCACCTATTTTTTTGGTAACTATATGAAAGTAGTGATACAAAGTAACTTCAGTGCGTGTAATAGAAAACAAAACTGGAGAAAAGAGGAGAGGAGAGAAAAAGCGAGTAGAAGGCAACGGAGTACCTTTTAAACGAAGCCTGAAAAGGAAAAAAACTTGAGAGATCCATAAACAGCTCTGCCTGATGGAAAGACGAGTAAACACCCGGGCTGCAATCACAGAAGGTAATGCACAACTATTTCAAAGATGAACAATTTGAGGAACTTCATTTTTCTTCTGCTCTCAACACGACTCTATAGTTCCAGTTGCGATGTTGAACCTCGATGCCAGGGAGTTGCGATTCCGCAGGCTTGATTTGGAAAGCAAACAAACGAATCGAAACACAGAGAGGGAAAACGAGGAGAGGGCGGTTGTGCGGAAACAGCGAGGATGCCGTCGACACCGGCGAGATTTCGCGGGCGCGGCACGACGCGACTGTCTCCCCTCCCCCCCCCCCCGTATTTTCTTTTCCCTTGCAACAATCCGCAATCTTTGTGTGCGGCAAAACGGTACTTTTCAAGTTGTCATTCTCTTTCCCCGCTTCGCGCAAGAAATGTGTACAACGGCGAGGCAAAGAGCGCATGAAGTTGAACAACTCATACAGAAGTGGTAGCCTGCCGTACCGCCGCCACATCTGTAGCGGTAGAGGCAATGCAGTCTTGGTGCGACGTTCGTTTAATGCAAACGCTGCGGCTTATAAAAACGAGACAATAAACATTTCTTCTGTACGTTACTTTAGTGCGCGTTTGTGCAGTTTAGGTCGTTTTTATGGCACGCAACAAAGATGACAAAGAAGCAAAACGCTCTCCGGGTAACTCGACTTTTACGTTTCACACACTTTTCTGCATCTAGTACACTGTAGCTTTGAAGCGATATCAAGGCGCTTCGTATGCGGAGCTTAATGTGCTCCTGTTTCGCGGCTTCGTTTTGCCTCCATAAACTTTCATTTCTCTCTACGCTTCGTTTGACTCTAATTCCAGTGTATAAACCGCAACCTCTGCCTTTCTGGCTTCTGTTGAGCTTAACTTTTAAAAAAGAGTTTTCTCTGCTGCGCCGAGCAGAGCACACTTTCGTTGCTATTTCGTTTCGTTTCAAATCAACGCTTTCCGTTTTTTATGGTCATTGCAAAAATGGACTGGTATGCTCTCTCTAAAAACATATCAATCACTGAAGTGCCTTCAAACAACACGGAAACCAGTGTCAACAGGACCAGACTCAACTATGCGCAGACTGTCGTTTCTCTCGCGACTGCCATTGGCCTAGTGATTATCACTTTAGTTGACCTTCTTTATCGAAGCACATCCCGTCACAGTAAGTTGCTAAGGGTTACACGCGAAACCCGTTTTGACGGCGCGTACATTCTAGGCAAGCCACCGAAAAGCCGAGCTCGTACAATACTGGAGAACGGGCTGAAGACACATGAATTTCGTATCCGCAACCCTCCGCAGTACTCGCGAGTCATTCCTGCAGTTGTTTCTGACGCTCGTGACGCAAAGCTGGACTGTGTAGAAATGCTGAATAAGGTTCGAGTGATCCTTTCAAAATCTTACGGCAGAAGTGCGGAATTGATGTCGATGCGTTGCTGCTTGACATGCGTTAAAGGAGCACTTTCCAATGAGCAGTCGGAGCGTTTTCTGCGAATCTACGAGCGCGTCATGTTCTGCTCTCATCGTGTCAACGGAGATGAGAAAATTGTCACATCTGACGAAATCCGCTATATGCATGCTTTTTTCTACAATAGCGTACTGAAAGTAATGCAGTAACTCAATATTACTATTACTGTTACTATTATTATTATCATTATGTACACCTCTTTTGCTTTTCCTTGTCTATTTGTATTTTAACGGGTTTTCTTTTTGGCGAATGGGTGGCTTTTCATCCCTTATTTTGCAAGCAGTCTAAATCAAGGATGTTTTCACTTGCGGCCCAGTGACTCTGTAGTGAATCTCAGTAAACAAAGAGAATGTCCAATTTGGAAATTTGTGAGCTATTGTTTTTATGCGGCTGCAATCATCTCCACAGTGTGTAGTTGTTATGGTTTTCTTTTGCTTTTCTCAATACAAACAGGATAGAATGAAGTCCTTCGAAAATGGATTAGAGACACGAAACGCAAGTATACGTATTTTTATTGCACACAGACACACATACACAAAGTAAAAAAAAAACCTCCAGCTGGCATGAACGCTGCTTCTCGGTAGTATCCCTCGTCGAGGCAATTCTGTTGATAACACAAAAGGTTATATATGTACAATCTTTTTTTTTTTCTAACGAAGAAAGAGTTTTTAAACCGGCAATAGTGCCTTCTATGCACCTCCTTTTTTTTCCTTTCACAAGTCGCCCTGTTTTTTTCTTCTCATCTTTATTACATCTGGTTGCTTTAAATTATTCACTGGCTTTACTCGCACATCAACAATCGTGTTTCTCAAGAGTGATAATGAAAATAAAATTTGTTTGTTCAGTGTGCATAAAACAGAAAACTTGAAGATCCTTTCCCGTTAAATACTTGGTTGCTAAACTGAAATGGCGATTACAGTGAAGCTTGCTAACGGCACGCAGCACTCCGTAGATGTGTCAGACTTTGGTGTCACGGTGGCTGAACTGAAGAAGCAGCTATCCAGTGCGCTAGAGATTCCTGCCGACGAGCAACGGGTCATACTTCGCGGTAAGGTGTTGAAGGATGATGGCGTGTTATCTGCCGTTGGGATGGAAGACGGGAGTGTGATTCACGTCGTGCGCAGTAAGAAAGCAGCCGCTTCAGCTCCTTCAGCTACGCCGACAAGCGCTTCCGCCGTAACTTCCTCACAAACCCCTAGCGCACCAGCTCCGCCTACCGCAGCAAGCCAGCCTTCACAGGCAGAAACGCCGGCAAACCCGTATGCCGCGCTGATGAGCACTTTCGGTGCATCTCAACCTCAACAGCCCTTCGGCGGGGGTAATGCTTTTTCCGCGCCTGGAAATCCTTATGCCCAAATGGGCATGGAGGGTCCTGGAAATCCGTCGCCGCAGCAGGCGGCTGAAATGATGCAGAATCCCATGATGCAGCAAATGATGCAACAAGCACTTAACGACCCCCAATTTACGCAGTACATCATTCAGAGCTCGCCGCAGCTCGCCGCTCTTCCGCCGGCGCAGCAGCAAGCCGTTGTTCAAATGATGCGCAACCCATACATGATGCAACAAGCAATGGCAATGATGGGCAGCGGCGCCGCTGGTGGGGGCGGAATGCCTAACTTCGGCCAACCCGCAAATCAGCAAAACTCGAACTCTGTTGTACCAATGGCAGGTTTCAACCCTGCGATGTTTGCTCCGCCGCCACCTCAGGGCAACCCTCGTGAAATTTACCGGGAGCAACTTCAACAGCTGCGTGAGATGGGATTTCCAAACGAGGAGGCGAATATCGCTGCGCTTCAGCAAGCCCAAGGCAACCTGCAGTTTGCACTCGAGCGACTTCTTGGTGCGTGATCGACGCAATTATCACTCCCTAAATTCACATGCTAGCAACTATTATTGTTTCTCACCACCTTTTCTTTTTCTGTCTGTGCTTTTTGGCTGTTTTTTTTTTCTGCCGCGTTTTGTTTGTTTCTCTTTTAAGAACTGTTGACATCCGCAGCAACAACATATATGTTTTTGGATAGGTAAGCCGTTTTTTCAAAGTGATTTCTTATAATGGGTAGTTCTCGCCAATAACAACCAAAAACAAATAGAAGCAGAACAGCTGAAAAAAGATGATGCTGGGCGGTACTTCTCTTTGAAGTAGTAGGAACAAGTAGTCTCTAGACCTGAATATTTGTCACAGCGGAAACGAAAGAGCTAAGGATTGTGTGGCTTCTTGTAATAAAGCGTCAAAATATGGAAAAAACAGTACTGGTATATTTTTCCAGTTTTAGGTGCGAATAAGCCTCTATGTTTCATCTTGGCGCTTCTTTTGCTCTTACTTCTTCTCCCTGCCTCATGTGTTCTCTTGATGTTGCTCTGTTACACATAAAACGGTTTGGTAGTTTAATTATGAATTGATGCGCGCTAGCAATTTTGGTTTTATTTAGCGGTTTACTTTTGCAAACAAGCACACTTTCCCTTTTCTGTTCGCTTTCAGAGTCGTTTTTATCTTTTGACCTTTTTCTGGTCTTAAGCAATTTTTCTCTTTTATTTAGATACGCACTGTGTCTCTCTTTCTGCAATCAAGGTTTTCTGGTAGAAATTGCAGCTCTTTTTTTTTCTACGCTGTCTACTTTGTTGGGAATCAGAAAGCAACAACAACTGGAACCGAAGATTGTCTTCAACATCTTATTTATCAGCTGTTATTACTATTATTATTATTATTATTATTATTATTATTATTTGTGCGTTAGTTTGTTTGTGTAGCTTTTTTGGCGAACTAAATCCACAAGTAGGAGAACGCCGAGGTACATTAGAGTTATTTCTTTTCCAGCTATTGCGTACTGACTGAAATGTCTGCCTTTGGTCGCATCACCACTCGCGGTGCGGAAGCTGGTATGCGCGACAATCTTGATCGGTACAACCGCCTTGATGTTCTTGGCGAGGGCACCTACGGGGTTGTTTACCGCGCAGTCGACAAAATTACCGGCCAGTACGTCGCCTTGAAGAAGGTTCGACTGGATCGGACGGAGGAGGGTATCCCGCAGACTGCTCTCCGCGAGGTATCCATATTGCAGGAGTTTGATCACCCAAACATCGTGAATCTGCTGGACGTTATTTGCGCTGACGGGAAGCTGTACCTCGTTTTCGAGTACCTGGAGGAAGACCTGAAGAAGGCAATCGAGAAGCAGACTAGCGGGTACTCTGGCATGGAGCTTAAGCGCTTAGTGTACCAGCTGTTAGATGCACTGTATTTCTGCCACCGCCACCGTATTGTTCATCGCGACCTCAAGCCCGCGAACATCTTGCTGAACTCTGGAAATGTGCTGAAACTCGCTGATTTCGGCCTCGCACGCGCATTCCAGGTGCCTATGCACACATATACCCACGAGGTTGTCACGCTGTGGTACCGCGCCCCTGAAATCCTTCTTGGGGAAAAACACTATACCCCTGCCGTGGACATGTGGAGTGTTGGCTGCATTTTTGCCGAACTGGCTCGCCGCAAGGTTTTGTTCCGCGGTGATAGCGAGATTGGCCAGCTCTTTGAGATCTTCCAGGTTCTTGGTACACCGGCGGATGCAGATGGCTCGTGGCCGGGTGTTTCGCGTTTGCCCGACTACCGTGACGTCTTTCCGAAGTGGCCCGCAAAACGTCTCGGCCAGATTCTTCCCGAGTTGACTCCAGACGCCATCGATCTTCTGTCTCGGATGCTCAAGTACGATCCGGCGGAGCGTATTTCTGCAAAGGAAGCGCTTCAGCACCCGTGGTTTAACGATCTCCGTTGGTAAATCGAAGCAATACCGGGAGAATACTTGCATTGTTTTGCTTCGATCCAAGTGAAACCTTTGAAATTTGTCAACTCACTTAGATAGTGCTTTGGTTTTGTGAGAACCACAAGAAGCAAACTAAATGCCATTCTTTCTTTAGACTTTTTTTTTCTTAGAAACACTTGACTAGACTTCCGTTGTTTTCTCTCAATAGACATTTTTTTTTTTTTACAAGCTTTATACTTTGTTTTCTCATCGTTTCAGAAGACAATCTGCCTTTTAGATCTTACGAGCCTGTCCTTTTCCCCTGCCGTTCACGTTATCTTTTTCCTGGTTCATTGCAAGTACTTTTGAGTGGTGATGCAAGCAAGCAAAAAAACACAAACGGAAGCAACCAAATCGAAAAAAAGGTGATGATCAGTAACTGCGATCGCGTGCATTTCTAAATAAATGATAAGAATGCCACTGCCTTGGGTTTATACGGTCGATTAATTTGAGCGGATGGTTCTGCGCAGAAGTAGAGTTAATCGTTTGTGTGTTCGGCTATTTGGACAGAAATACAAGTTAATTGCTTAATTACGGTGATATGCTGTGCGGTGTTCCCCTGGTGAGCTTCGCTGACTTTTCACAACTGTGCAAACGAGCAGCGAACACGGAGAGGTTCTTTACGGCGACATTATTCGGGCTCCTTACCTCCCTTCTACCCGCTCCTCCTATTTAATTTTCATATTTGGCAGAATTGCTGACCTGCTTTTGTGTTTCTTGGCCACACTGCAGCCCCACAGAATGGCAAACACTAGGTTCAACGCAGACGTCGCGGCAGAAGCCGCAGAGGAGCACTACAGCCTGCAAAAGCGATTAGTCCGCTTGGAAGCCGAGGAGGAACAACAGAAACAGGCCGCTGAGCAAGCGGCGCGATACGAGGACTCCGTGGACACGAGCGGCGTGGATCGCGCAAGACGCAGGAACAGCGCCTTGCGGGAGGAAATTGCAAAATTGGAGGTGCAACTGAAGGAGTTGCAGACTATCAACGTTGCCGATCTCCAGCACGAGTATCAGCGACTTGACGGCCGCCGTGCCCACTTACTGAACGAGATCGCAAGCTTGCGTCGAGTCATAGCGAATCAGAGCAAGGACGTGCGACGTGCCACTCGCGCAGTGAATAATCAGCGAGAGCTGCACAGGCAAAACGATGAGCACCACGCTTCCTCGAACGCAGACATACAAATGTTCAAGGATAAGCGCGAGACCCTCGCACAGGAGACGCAGCGCCTCATTCGCAAAGAGCGCCACTTAGGGTTGGAGCTGGAAACCTTACCAGCGGCCGGCGAGGACAGTGAAGCGGTGACGAGCCGTCTGAGAGATGACAACGCAAAGAAGGACCAAACAATTGAACGCCTGGAAGCGACATTGCGGGAGAAGCAGCAGCAGAAGCAGCAGCAAGCAAACACGGAACAAAGCCCTGCTGCGACACCTGTTGACGAGCTCAAGCGCTTGCGGGAGGAGTACGTGCGCCTCAACGATCGGCTGAAACGAAGCAAACAGTAAACTTTCGGCGAGACATGAGTAGCTGAGCTTCCTTCTGCTGTTGGTTGTCGAGCGGCCCTTACTTTTTGTACGCATCGCTGCGAAAATGCTTTATTGCCGAGTACCACAGCCGCGCACGGAGAGATGTTAAGAACTCTCACTACTCTAAAACTATGTAAAATATGCTTGGTTTCTCTCGTTTTGAATTTCCCGCCCTTGCTGCGCAGGCTTCAAAACACGGTCTTGTTTCACTGTTTACCTCCATCCTGAGAAAAGGATTCTTCGCTGATATGTATGCTAAACACTCAAATCGTGGAATAATGATAGTAATGAGGAGAGACGTGGATCTCCAGTACAAGCAGCTTTTCTTCCAGTTATTGCTTCGAAGGACACAAAGCGCCTTGCGGTTTCTTGAGGTACCACGTCAGACACACGTGCCGTTGTGACCTCGCACGTTAGTTCGTTTTGCTTTGCTAATTCAGCAGCAGCAGCAGCGCGCATGCCTGTGACGTTTTTTTCCCCCTCTTGTTCACAGCCAAAGCTGGTGCCTTGAGCGCTGGGTTTTGTGACGGGACGCAAAACGTTTACTCTTTTTACAACTTCCTTTCCTGAATCCCATCTTGCTTTTCTACTGTCTTTTCCTCTTTCTTTGTTTCTTGCTTCATCTCTTTGCACGAACCCAACATTATTACTGAGGCAACTTGTTCACGAGGGTTTATGGTGCTCAAGCACGCTAAAGACGGCGCCGGCGAATCATATCTTTTTCTCATTTCTCCAGCTCTTCGTGACCGCGTGCTCTCACCTTTCGTCATTTGAGAAACCGCCGTAGAAGCACATCATGATGCGGAGAGGCGGTTTTGCCCGCATGATGCGGTGCAGCGTTCCGCTGCTAGCAACACCTGCCTTCCTGGAGGCGGTGAAGCACACGCGCAACATCGGTATCAGCGCACACATTGATAGCGGTAAGACGACGCTGAGTGAGCGCATTTTGTTCTACTCTGGCCGAATTGGCAAGATTCACGAAGTGAAGGGCGGTACCGAAGTCGGCGCCACGATGGACTCGATGGAGCTGGAAAAGGAGCGCGGCATCACCATCCGCTCCGCTGCCACGCAGTGCCACTGGAAAAATAGCACCATCAACATCATCGACACACCTGGCCACGTCGACTTCACCATCGAAGTGGAGCGCGCACTGCGGGTGCTGGATGGCGCCATTCTGCTCATGTGCGCCGTCGGCGGTGTGCAGAGCCAAACGCTGACCGTGGATCGCCAGATGAAGCGCTACGGCGTCCCGCGCATTTGCTTCATCAACAAGCTGGATCGCGACAACGCCAACCCGCAGCGTGCGCTGAAGCAAGCGCAGGAACGTCTCGGTATCAATGCGGCGTTCATTCAGCTGAACATGGGCACTGCGCAAGACTTCGAAGGTGTGGTGGATGTGATCGAGCAGAAGGCGGTGTACTTCGACGGCCCGTTCGGGGAGACCCTCCGCTACGAGGCCGTGCCGGACTACATCAAGGAGGACATGGCGGCCGCCCGCAAGGAACTCGTCAGCCGCCTTGCTGAGAATGACGAGGAGATGGAGGCGGTCTTCCTGAACGATGAGGAGCCGACGACGGAGCTGATTCACGCCTCGATTCGCCGCGCCACGATCGCGAACAAGTTCGTGCCGGTCATGGTCGGCTCCGCCTACCGCAACAAAGGAGTCCAGCTGCTGCTGGATGCGGTGGAGCGCTACCTGCCGTCTCCCGAAGAGCGCCACAACTCCGGCTTCAAGGTCAAGCGGGTGAAGGACGAGGACAACAATGTGTCGGTCGTGAAGGACGGCGAGATTGAGCTCCTCACCGACGACGAGAAGCCACTCGTCGCCCTCGTCTTCAAGATTGAGGAGACGAAGAAGTCCGGCTTGTCGAACTACGTGCGCGTGTACCAGGGTAAAATGCGCAGAGAACACCTCACGAACATCCGCTCGGGCAAGAACTTTCTTCCGCCCAAGCTGGTGCGCATGCACGCGGATAGCGCCGAGGTGGTTGATGAGGTGCGCGCGGGCGACATCTGCGCCATCCAAGGCGAGGTGGACGCCTCCTCCGGCGACACGCTCATGAAGGCCGGCCCGCAGTCTGGCTCGCAGCTCTTTTCCTGCGAGGACATGTACGTCCCACCGCGTGTCATTTCGGCTTCCCTCAAGACGAAGGACTCGAAGGACGAGGGCAGGGTGCGGGAGCGCATGGCCGCCTTCATGCGCGAGGACCCCACCTTCGTGAGCTACCGCAACGCCGAGACGAACGAAGACATCGTGGAGGGCATGGGTGAGCTGCACCTGGACATCTACGTGGAGCGGCTGAAGCGAGAGTATGGTCTGCAGGTGGAGTTGGGCAAGCCGACTGTGAATTACCGCGAGATCATCACCGAGCGTCAGGAGTTCGACTTTGTATTCAAGCGGCAGAGTGGTGGCGCGGGTCAGTGGGCGCACCTCAAGGGCTACATCGAGCCGCTCCCCATCGACATGTCTGTGGAGAAGGGCACGAAGAACAAGGCCACATCACGCTGCTCCAACGGCGACATCCGCGAGTCGCTGCAGAAGTCCGTGATGAAGCAGTTGGAGCGCAAGATCTTTGTCAAGGGGGAGCTGATGCACGCCCCGGTGTGGGGTGTGCACTTCCACCTCAACGGTGGTGGCATGCACGAGGTGGACTCGAGCGATCAGGCTTTCAAGAACGCCACCCAGGAGCTGTGGGAGACGCTGCTGCCAAAGCTGAAGCCGACGCTGGTGGAACCATTCATGGATGTGGAGATGACCGTACCAGCAGCGAACATGACGGATGTGGCGACCGAGTTCTCGAAGCGCGAGGGCGTGGTGACGGAGACGGTCGTGGACGGCCCCGATGCGGTAATTCGCGGTGAGACGGCGCTAGACACGATGTTCGGCTTCATTTCTGACCTGCGCCGCTTGACGAAGGGCCAGGGCGACTTCAGCATGCAGTTCCGCGAGTACCGCCCTATGCAGCATTACAAGGCGCAGATGCGCATGGATGAACGCAACCGCGACCTGAACCGTAAGCCCTATAAGCTGATCGAGTAGGCTCGTGCGAAAAGTGAGGTGCGCCACCACTTCTTCACCCTGTTCTTGAAGTAGTATTTTTTTTTGTGTGTTGTTGATGATGGCGGAGACGTTAGGTAGGTATGCGCAGCACGGCCCTGTTGGCGATGTGGTGCGTTCTTCACATTGGGTTTCTTTTTCGCATCATTTGTTGGGAGCTACACATCATACAGAAAAGGCAGCATCATGGGAGAAAGTGGGGTTGCTTTTCATTACAAAGAAAGATGCGTTTCTGTTGTCTGAGATGCAGTTTTCGCAGAAAGACGAAAAGACAGGCGTGAGGGCACGCTGATGTAGCGCAATCGTAGGGTTTGTTGACGGCTCTTCTTTACTGTTTTTTATTCGTGTTCGCCCCTTTTTTTTTCGATCTTGATCACCTCTTTTTTTGTTTGAGTGTACGCTCCTTTTTTTTTCCCCTCTGTTCCCTTTGTGGTCTAGTACTACTATTACAATTACTAAGAAAACTAATCATTTCCACACGCACATAAAAAGGAAAAAAAATATGGTGTATGTGCTCATCAACTGCAGGACAGAAAGCACGTAGGAAAAACGACCTGTTTCCTTTTCAGCGTTTGCTACAAGAAAGTTGATAATCGGCCTGGCTGAAAACCGATTTCACGTTTTCACGCCACGCATTGCACGTCGGCGGAAGAAGTAGTAGTCACGTTTGCCTGTGCTTTCTGTTAGGCAGTGACGGCATCGCTCTGCTTAACGGACGAAAACAATTCTCTTTCTGTCCTCCGAGAAGCCCAATGCTCCACTTTAATTCTGCTGTGACCGTTTCTCTTCTACTTCCTCTCATCTACTCTCGTTCGTTGCGTGTTGCTTTCTTCATGCCTTTCATGTGTGTCCGTTGTTCATTCCTGCTCCTTCACGAAGGCGCGTATTGTGGTCGGGTATTCTTGCTCCAACACGCGAAAACCATCAAAAAACTAAAGCAGCAACCACTCACACGCTGCAAAGTAAACGCGGACGCAAAAGATTCTAGTCGGCAACTCACCGCTATTGTTTTCTTTCTCCTTTTGGGTCTTGAGTTGTTCGCACAGATCCTTTCGTTAGCTAATCCAGTTCAACAACAACAAAAAAACCACCTCTCTTTTCGTTTGCGCTGAGCATCTGTAGCTCTGCTGCTTTTGTGTCGAAGCGAGGTGCCACTTACGTAAACAGATTTCGCTCTCTGTTGTCACCTCATTCGAAATTCACAATCGCACGCACGTATTTCTTTCTCTCTCTCTCATTACCTTTTTTTTTGTGCATACTGCTTTTTCTTTATATTGCTGAACTGCTTGCACATCTAACGAAAAACAACGCTGTGCAACGCAGCGGCTTTCTGGCACTCTTTTCTCCTTCCTCTTTTCCTATATGCAACAACGTGAAGACGTTGATTTCTTCTTTTTCAGGTTTTTTGGTTATAAATTGAAAGTCGTGGAAGCTCTTCTCAACTTTGGTTTTGACCCTGCCTTCGCCATTCTCTTTTCTCTTCTCTTCAACGCGTTGTTTATGTTCTTTTTGATCTTTTATGGAAAGTGTGTGCTTTAGCGCCGCGCGTAGTAACGCTTCTGCATTCGTGTACCGTTTTTTTCTTTTCCTTTTAGCGTACGGGCTACGCTGAGAACAAATTCCTCCAGTAAGGTATCTCTTTTCGAATGCTAGCGTAGCCTTTCTAACGTTTTCTTGACAGGACAAAACTATCTCTTAACCCACGAAGGAATCATTTCGTAGTTAAGCAGCATAGCAGAACAAGTTCGATCTCTCCAGTGCAGCACATGTAAGAAAAGGAAAAGGAAAGAAGTCAAACTCTGGTGTCGAGAGAACTGCAAATTGGGAACACAAATAAACTGCATTTTTGTATATATCTGCGCAGCAGGCAGGACTATTTCTGCCTACTCAGCCCTGATACCTCTCTATTCTTGATGCTCAGCAACTTTTTTTTCCGCTACCATCTCCGAGTGTGTACTTTATTTTCTCCTCTTCTATTCACCAGCTATTTATTGCCTTTTTTAAATTTTCTTTACCTTCTGTACCACGGTCGTTATTTACATCTTTGTAAATACGGTTGTTCATTAAAAAAGAAACTATGAAAATATGTACATTACTGTGCTCTTCTTCCTAAATTGCTAGAGAGGACTGGTTGCCGTTGGAAAAGAAAGGTACTCACCTCCTTTGCTCCTACAGTCCCGCTCTCTCTCTTTTTCTTATTTTTTTTTTGTCTAGTGTTTGATTCATTCTTTACTGCTTTGCTTTTATAAGGTCGTCGACGTAAGTTCGTTTTTCTTTCATCGACACTTATTTCTTTATTTTATTTATTTGCTGTTGTGCGTACTATTTTTGCTGAAAAGCGACCTTGCACCACTGCGAGTGCATTGTTGCGCTTTCATTTTTTAGGTGCGCCTGTGTAGGAGGGCCAGTCTTGGCCGTGCTGCCTCTCTCTTCTTCTCTCTTCTTTCTTTTCTTCGTAGGCGCCTCCCTTAAAAAAGAAGCCGCTGGCATCTTTTTTTCTTTTGTGAGCTTTTTACGTGCTGCCGCAAAACTCTGTTTTTTTACTCGTCCTGTGATTCAAATCAAGACGAGTGTCTGAATCATCTGCAACCTCTGTGAGCGGCGACTGCAAGACACGATTTATAAGTAAGCGTTCTTGTGCTACGGACAGAAGCCTGGCAGACAATCTTCTTCTTTTTTCACTTTTCCTCTATACATCAGAATGGGCTGCGGATCTTCGCGCGAGGCGTACGTGCGCGACCGCCGCGCCTATCACGGTGTTGCGATGGCTCCTGCAGTGAGTTTCGTCGCAACCGGCAGCTGCGACGTCGTCCACTCCGCTGCATCGCACAACGTCAGCCCGTGGGAGACGCACACCGGTGCAGACAAGAAGGCGGACGGCGACTTTTCCCTCGGCGTCAATGAGGCGCTGCATCGCCGTATGCGTCGGGAGCGCATTATGGAGTGGTGCGATGCAACACTCGGCGTCATGCGGGCGAAGCAGCGTGTACCTGCGCACAAGCCGCGATACGACCACCTGACCCAATTCCGCGGGTGTCACCTGGGGATGGTGGATGAGCTCTCTACCTGCATGCATGTGGCGGAAATGGCGGTGAGCGACGGGGCAACGCGGTCGGAGGACCGCAGCCTGCCCAGCTCTCTCTCCACAAGCGGCTGCACCACCTTTGTCAACCACGCTAGCATCGATCTTGACGCGAGCATGCTCAAATTCGTGTCCCACGGCAGCGGAATGGCATCGCTGAACGCATCTTCTGGACCGCCGGGCAGCCGTGCACGCACGTCCAGGTCCTCCACGAACCCATCTTTCTCTGTTAACTCGAACAGCTCCCCGTCGAGCCACAAGATGCACTCGCTGCAGCGCTACAGGTTGGATGTGTGCAACAACGGCCACACCCACCGCGTCAAGCTCGTGCTGCTCGTCCCGCCGGGTGACATCCTACTTTCGAGCTCCACGGTGGACCGGCACATGGTGGCTTATCACCTGCACCTCAAGGAGGAGGTCGGGCACTTGATCGGACACGATGACGTTATTTTAGGTGGTGCAGTGAGCCCAGACGGACGACTGGTGGCGACGGCGTCGCGTGACTGCACCGCCATCCTGTGGGAGCTGCCCTCGTGCAAGCAGCGCCGCTCTCTCCCGCACCCGTCCGCCGTCCACGCATGCCGCTTCTCATCGTCCGGGACGCAGGTGGCGACGGTGTGCGCGGATGGGCTGTGCCGCGTCTGGACTTGGTCTGACACGGACGTCGTACAAACGCTGATGTCTCTCGCGACCGGCATTGACGGCGCTCTCACGTCTCTCGCCTACACGCTTGGCGACCGCCATCTGGTTGTGAGCGGGGCGGCCAGCAAAGTCTTTGTTTGGGACCTCCACCGTGCTGGGGAGGCGGGCACCGTCTTCCGTCAGCACCACAGCATCGTTATCTCGGTGGACGCGTCGCGCACACTGCAGGACATCGTGGTCAGCGCCGACGAGCGCAACGTGTACCTGTGGAACAGTCAGACATTGGCGGTGCTGCACTGTATCAACGTCGACCCGTTGTGTCTGCCACGCCAATGCCCACCCAGGAAGCTGAAGGCGAAGGACGCCGCCGCAGACGTTGAGCCGACCCGTGCCGCGTCGTTGCGTTCGTTTTACTGGACCACCGTCCAACTCGTTGACTCGTGCTTTGGCGTCTTTGTCGTGGCGGCGGCGAGTGACAAGTGCGCGCACTTCTTTGGGATACGAGATGCCGCACAAACACAAAATGGCGACAAAGCCGCATCGTTGAGCGCACACGTCTCCGAAGTTTTGTCGCTGCCGTTTTCCTCCTCTCTCAGCAGTGTCGGTGGTGGACCGTGGAATTCAATTGTCCTCGGCGACGCCTGCGGCAATCGTCACATCTTAACGCTGATGTGAATCGAATCTCCCTCTTTTCTCTCTTTTTTTGTTTTGTGCCTCTCTCTCTCTCTCTTTTAGGAGTGTTCCTGGTGTGCGGCTTAAAAATATGGTTGAAGTTACGCTTAAGGAAAAGCGGCATAGCCACGTTACTCCCACGTTTGGAATGTGGAGTATTAAAAAAAAAACCCTGTTGTGATTACAGTGCCTCCTTTTCCCTCTTCTTTTTCTTCTTGCTGAAGCAGGTGAGCCGCTTTCGTTTTTTTTTAAATTTCCTAATTGGTTCGTATTAAAACTGCGTCTTCTTTTGGTTTCCTATCGACTGTTTCGTGTGATGATTATTCAATTGTGTGATTACGCAAGGCTAAGTGAATCAGCCGATCTTTCCTTTCTATTATTTGACGCTTCGTCGATAAACGGTATGTCATTTCCCTTCGCTTCGGCATCTTCTCTCTTCTTCCTCCTCTCCGTCTTTTTAAGTTTCTTTTTTTTTCCGACCAACAAAAGTACGATAGCTAGCTTAGGACTAGTGTACGTGTGTTGTTGGCGGTGAATTACACCCTTTTGTGCGCATGGCAAATCTGCAGCGAAAGATGAAAGCGAGATAAAACGAAAACGACCACCTGTACCCAAAGAAAAAAGTACGGACCATAGTTTCCTCTGAGTTCGCGGTTTTCCTATGTGTGATGTAAATGGATTAATACGCCAGGCAACGTAAATAGTAATATTTGTTTTTCTGTTTCCGACGAGAAGAAGACGTCTTTGCTCAAAGCTTTCTCCTTTCCTTTAAGCCTCGTTGTCGGGGTTTTTTTTTGCTGTTCGCCTTCACGTTTTTTTTTTTGGTTATTTCATCGTAATGAACATCGAAGTACATATCCTCAGCAAGTGTGTTACCTGTCACGCAACGGACTGATGAAACCCTATCAATGGTGATAAACGAGCAGCGCAAACACTGGGTTTCCTTCTGGCGTTGAAGGCTAGCGTGTTGGTTGACATCAAGGGTTGTGCGGTGGAGCGGCGCTTTACCAACCTGAAGTCACAAAAGGCAAAATTGAGTGCAGTTGGGGTAATGCGCAATAATCTGCAGCTTGACAGAATACCAACCAAAAACGAGAAAACCACGTCGCCGACTGTGACGGTGTTACCTCGCAAACGGCCACGGCAACTCAAACCTTTCCTGCTGAATCCTTGCCACCGGATCACCACCGACTTCAGCGTCTTCAACGTTTCTTCCCTTTTTCCTCCCTCCCTGCTCACTCTTTCACGAATGCGTCCTCGACCGCACAGGAAGGAGCAATCGGGCACACGACTCTCCTGTGCCACCTTTCCTTCTCTGTCCACACCACTCTCATCCCTGAAGCATCCGTCCGATTCTTTCTGATCAGCAGTTTAGCGGGCACGAGTATTTTCTTTCTGTTGCTGAAGACCTACGAGCTGTGAGTTGCCTATTCCTCTAACGCACTCACACACACCAACGACAAGCTTGTCGCTCTCCACTAACTTCAAACAACGCCTTTTTCTAAGACTATTTAGCTGCTCTAAATTCTTTCTGTTGTGAGTTTGATTTGTTGGTGTTTCTTTCTTTCTTTCGTTGCCGATTTGCGTATTGTATATACTCTTCTCTCTGTTTCGGCTACATAGGTTTTCTTCTTCTTGCGTGTGTCCATTGATCAGGCTACACTGACGAGTACCTCGTTTGTGACGCCCTGCCTGAATGGTGTGCGTGGGCGACTTGCTCTTTCAAACGTGAGACGAATAAGGCTTTGTAGAATCTGCGTGGGTTTCTCTATGAGAGCCGCTTTCAGCTGGTAGTCTGCCAGTATTTCCGCGATAATCAAAGGAAGCAGCGTGTGTCGCCTTCCATTTTGTTGGGCGATTTTCGAGGACCGCACTCGCTAGGAAGAGGCAGCAGCGCATACGCACGTGCACGCACACCGATTTACAAGAATAAACTTTGTGCCGGGAAGAAACACGGAAAACAACAACGAAAAAAATGTCTATTTCTGTGTCGCTTAGCTTCGACCATGCCAAGGTCGGGATGCGTGTGCAGGACTACTGGGGCCGCACCGGCACCATTCGCTGGAGCGGCAAGCTGGAGAAGAAGGATAATCCGCCGAACAAGGAGACGGGCAAGCACTTTGGCGTCGAGTACGATGAGGAGAGCGAGAACCCCCTCCGCAGCGACGGCACGTGGGGCAGCCGCCGGTACTTCACGTGCGAGCCCAAAAAAGGCTGCCTCGTCAAGCCAGGTGAGATCTACCCGGAGATAAACGACGAGCGGGTGACGATGCTGCGGGAGCGCTTTGGCGAGCGGGTGGCGTCGTGGCACGACTTTGAACTCGTGAAGTTCTGCATCGCTCGTCGCTTTGAGATGGACAAGGTGTACGAGATGCTTGAGAAGCACCTGCACTGGCGCGAGGTCTTCCAGCCCTCGGCGGAGGAGTACTTCCCGCAGACGATCAAGGACGACTACCCGTGCGGCTACACGGGCACCACCGACTACGACGAGAATCTGATCTACTGCGAGCGTCCGAGTAACGCCGGTCACTGCCACCCATCGGAGTTTGTACGCAAGTACACGCTGCCGGTGATCGGGCGCTGGCACGCGTGCGGGATGGAGATGGGCAAGCTGCGCATGCGTGCCACCGACTACCACTGCAAGCGTGTGTGCTACGTTGTAGACCTGCTGAACGTGAAGGCCATGACGCGGCCGATGATCGGCTTCGCACAAACGCTGGCGACGGTGGAGCAGGACAACTACCCCGAGAACCTCGGCCGCGTGTTCATCGTGAACTGCCCCGCCTTCTTCCGCTTCGCCTGGAAACTTGTGAAGATCTTCATTGACGAGCGAACGAATAAAAAGATCAACTTCTGCGCACAGGGCAATGCGGTGGAGGCGATGAAGAAGGTGATGCCAGAGTCGGAGATCCCAAACTTCTGCGGTGGCACGAGCAACAAGTGGATGGAGACGGCGGGCGGCATTATCGGCTCGACGGATCCGGCGAACGCCTGGCGCGGCGCGGGCTACAGCCTACCGAACATGACGGATGAGGAGCTGAAGGAGATGCAGGTGAAGCTAGCGGACGAGAACGAGAGCCCCATCGAGAGTTTCCGCGAGGGCGAGACACCGACCGCGACGCGCTCCGTTGGGTCCGATTTCGGATCAAACGCCGCGGCCTCTACCACGAATGGCAGCCCCAACGTGAATGAGCCGCGGATGAGGAAGGATGGCGCGTACGGCCCGAGCGATACTAATGGGAAGGCGTCGCCGAACGAAGCCTCCCGCTGAGCCCTCGTTAACGCAGCGGCTCTTTTTGGGCTCGTGGTATACATAACCCCTGTTTTACGCACGCCTGAAAAAGTGTGTATGAAGGTGGCGGCTGTGTGAGTTGAGTAATGCCATGTTTTTTTCTTTCTTCTGTGCGTATGAGAAGCCTGAGTGAGTGGAAGTCGATGGGCTGACTTGGACGTGTGAGGTCTGCATTTGCTTATCAATGAGGGCGCGAGGGGGAGAGAGAGAACGAGAGACGCTACAGTAACATCGAGGCTGGGAGAAGGCTGGGAGGGCGGAGGTGAAACCGTTTATAATGACAGAAAGCCTAGCAGGAGAACTGGCAAAGCTATTAAAATTTTTTTTTCACCTTAGCGTTTCTTTTTTCGAGCGTTTAAACGCTTTCTCTCTTCCTTTTTTTCCCCCATTTTAACGTGGAGAGTAACAACTACTGTTTTTGCTTTTCTCCTCCTGTTTTTCCCTTTTCTGTTACTTTCGTACTAGCATGACGATCTGTTGTCGGCGTCCACAGCTCGCTCTCACGTGACAGAGGACGCGGACGATTGGTCCGTTACGAGTGCTTTCTGTATATCATTGGAGAACGCAGGTGCTACGAATTCCACTGTACCGTACTTCTTTTTTTGTGTTGTTCTTGTTGTTACTCGCGGTGCTCTCTCTCTCTCGTTTTGACCTTTCATTCCGCTTCGGATACGACGCTCTACGCGCGTGAATGTCTTTTCCTTCTCTTTTGCGTGGAAAGATACACTGGCACCCATTTGTTGTTGTTGTTGTTGATGTAGGCCCCTCTCGCTATGATGAGTTCAACTTCGCGCACTCAACAGGGAACTCTTCGTTCTCACGTTTTACATATTTCTCAAGATGGTAATACTCGGCGTTACGGTGCATTTGTCTTTCCCCCCTCCCTTTGCTCCCGCTTCCTTAGTTCAGTGGGAACACGTTGTACATGTGGTTTTGATTCAGGGGCGTTCAGGTTTCTTTTTTTTTTTCTTGTCATGTCGTGCTGCAAGCGTGACCCCCTCTTCTGTTTTTTTCTCTTCTCTTTGTTTACTCAACGCAATACAAACATCCCTCGACCACGTTTACTTTTATTATTATTATTATTATTATTTTTTGTTCTTCCCTAATATATATATTTCAGTCTCTTGTAGAAGTGGTGCTTGAATGGCAGCGGAGACGCCTTCACTATTTTACACCTGCGCACAGGCGGGCGCCACCTACGTTTGCGCCGTAACGACTCTAAACAAAAGGAGGTACAATAACTATTTCAAACTGCGTCAACACTGATGCCGAGATCAGCTTCAAACCTCACCGCAAAAAGGAATCGTTACTTCGACGCACGAAAAGTACACAATGCTAAGGTGCGTTACGCGCTAAGCTCTTCACGATAAAACATCATGTATCCGCCACGACACCGTATCGTATGAAAGCGAAGCAACAACAATAACACACACACACACACACACAGGTGACAACAACACCTGGTGATTGTTACTCGCAGACATCCAAGTGGATGCCTATCGCAACCTTCTGCCTATTTATGTGGGTGGACGTTCTGGTATCTGCACACGAAACAGCCTCCCGCTTCCCTCCCCCTTTCCCTCGTTTCCTCTCACTTTATTTCTGTGACATTAACATTGTCTTTTGCATTTGTGTGTGTGGGTGCGTACGGCGGACACCAGGTCCTCTTCACAACAGAGTTAGCAGTTAACACTCAGTCGGGGTGTACGCTTCACCACGTCCAAACGTTAGCATAACACCGCTTACATTGTAATAGAGAAAGAGCAGTGCTACTACAGCTTTTTACCTCTCTGCTTAAGCCCTAATAAACCACCCCAAAAAAGATAGCTTGAGGGTCTCGCCTACCGTGCCTCTCCCGCTGCTATCGTTATCGTAAAAAGAAGCCAGCAGCTTAACCCCAAGAAACAGAGGAAACAGCGCTCCTCCTGCTTTTGTGTTTGGGTGGGAAAAGCGGGTGCCGTCCAGGCTACATCTGTGACATTATTGCTATTATTGTTCTTAATTAAAGTTACGCTTCTCTTCGTTTTTCTTCCATTAGCTGGTCTGCCCTCTTTCCTGGACAGCATTTGGCTTAATTCAGCTTCTCTCCTTTCCATTTTAACTCCTTGTTGGTGCAGCTGGTATTGTTATTCTGTCTTCTTAAGGTTTTGGGCATCGGCTTCGCCTTTTGCCTGGTCTAACGAAGTGACTAAAAAGGAAGATAAAAGCAACGACAATCAAAACAAACCATGTCCTCGACGCATGCCCTACGAGATAAGTGGTTTGCTAGCTTCCTCCCGCTGCTCACGGCGGACATGGTCAACACCGATTACAAAGGCAACTGGCAGCTAGCATCGCAGGAGCGCACCCAGAAACTGGACTGGATCACGTCCGTCGAGGAGCTGTGGTCCACCATGAATTCGCTGCCGAAGGTGCATCAGCTAGGCATGGGCAGCACGCTCATATTCGCGCGCAACAAGAAGGAGCCGCCGAGCTACGAGTCGCTTCCGAATGGGTCGCGTATTACAATTAATCTGTTGCGGCCGCCCACGACGGACGGCGGGCTAGAGCTGGTGCTGGCCACTGTGATGGGCGAGACGGTAGCCGAGAAGGCTAGCGGGGGCCGGCCGGTGTGCGACGTGTTGCGCATTGCCGCACGGCCCAGCCGCGAGCACCCCGAGCAGATCCGCGTGGAGGTGTGGCTGAGTGACTCCACCTGCTCGCACGCCGTGACGGAGTTCCTCGCGGAGGCGATGAGGGCGAAGGGCCTGGCCGCCAACACGTATAGCATCTCGGAGAGCACCTTCGACACCGCCTCGCCCACGACGAAGGAGAGAAAAGGGTCGTCGATGGTGCTCAGCCCGTCCTCGCCGGCCATCGCGAAGGAATAGTCGCGCGGGCTTTGTGGCCGATGGTAGGGTGAGCTGCAGCGCGCGCCTTTTCGGCGATAAATCGCTACACAAGAAACCCCGAAAAGTAACGGTATTTGTAGGCTCTGTTTTTCTTTTTGTTTTCTCTCTGGATTGTTTTCGTTCATAGAACCTAATACTTTTACGTTTAAGCAGATACAAGCAAAGCAGGCTCAGCAAACAGTGTAAGATAAAACGTGTTTGCAACCACTCAATTTATTTATATTTATTCGTTAGTTTTGATTTTCTTGGGTGGGTGTTGGAGCTTTTCGCTTTCTTTTCTCTTTTGCTGTTATTATTATTATTATTATTGTTGGCTTTTGTTTTTGTTTATTTCCGTTACTTTACGAAGCTTCAAGCGAAACTGTACGGGCGATGCATCGCAACTATTCATGCAGTACAACCCTCACAGATGATACTAAAAGAAAGCGAAAAGGGCGACACCGAACAACGAAAAGGGTAAATGAAAAGCGGGTGCGTGACGCACGACCCGCGCCATTCTCTCTCGCTCTCGCTCTCTCTCTCTCTTCCTCTGAGAAGTGCGCAGTGTGATGAAGGCATCATCACGCTGCTTCATCGCCGTTGTTTCGTCTCTCCGCAACTCCCGCATCGACTTCCGCTGCCGCGAAGAGCCTGTAGGAAGCGAACCAGTGCACGGCGACGCTTTCCCCTGTGTGGGATATCTCCTGCGTCGGAGACGGTGGTCTCCGCAAAGCGGTGGCTCAAAACGTCAAATGCGAAGGGAAAGGTTGTTTTTGGCGGTTGCGAAAGAAATCCACGCGCGCCTCCCACTTTAGTCGATATCGTCTGTCCTCTTCTTTTGTCTTTTCTGACCACTTTCACTTGCTTTTTTTTTCTGTCTCCCCGCTGCCCCAATATGTGCCGCTGCTTCCCTCATCACTTATGTACTCCCTTTCACCACTCCCCCTTCCTCCCCTATTCATCAAAGAAGAAAAAGGAGAGATGCAGATCTTCATCAAGAACGCCGCCGGCCGCACGGTGGCGGTGCGCGTGTCCGCGGAGGACACCGTGGCCGCCCTCAAGGCGCAGGCCAACGTCGCGGAGGGCAACCTCTTCTTCGCTGGCATGTGCCTCGCCGAGGAGGAGACCCTCGCCGCCTACAACCTGGCCGCCGAGTCCACCATCGACGTGGTGGTGCCGGTGGAGGGTGGTAAGGGCAAGAAGAAGAAGAAGCGCATCTTCACGAAGCCGAAGAAGCCGACGCACCGCCACAAGCTGGAGAAGATGCGTGCCCTGAAGTACTTCAAGGTGACGGAGAACGACGACGGTTCCTACAAGGTCGAGCGCACTCGTCAGGACTGCCCGCACCCGCAGTGCGGCGCCGGCGTGTACATGGCGCAGCACAAGGACCGCCAGTACTGCGGCAAGTGCCACCTCACCTACAAGTCGGAGAGCAAGTAGGACGGCGACGCGGTGTGAAGGAAAAGCTTGACGTTGGCTGCACTTGCCCCATGTCCATTACCTCTTCCTTCTATTTTCTTTCCTTTTTATTTCTATCCTGATTTCTTTTTGGGTAATTGCAAAAGCAAGCAAACGAGCGAACAGACAAGAGAAGACTGTCACTTTGCTGGCGATGAGACGAGAAAGGCGCTTGAACGCCGTTGTGGAGAGGGTACGTCGTCTCAATCTACGAGTTTGACTTGTCCGGGCTGGTAAGGGCGGTGTCGAAGCAAGGGAAAGCTGCACTGAATAGTCACCGTAACGCCTTGTTGGAACAAGAATGAAGGAGAATTCGAAAACGTGGCTCTATGCAGGAGCAAAAGGCTTTTTTTTTCTTTTCACATGCTCATATGGGTTCTCGTGATTCTTATACCCCTGTGTTGCTTTCCATCTTTTCCACCAATCTCGGTTTTCTCTTACTCTTGGCGCCCCTTCGGCCTTCTTCTCCTCGTCAATTGAGTTTTCACTGCTGAGGAATCGAATTGAGAGCAGCGCATCTTTTGCCATTACAACACACAGTCCTTGCCAAGCACAACTGCAGCACAAAAAGTAGTAAGGGAGAACACTGCGCTTTCGAGGGCAGCATTCGCCCCTTATTTATTACCATCATTGACTCCTGTTGGTACCCATTGGACTTTTTCTCCTCTCTCCTATTCTCTTTTTAAGGTGGGGAAACATCAAACAAAGATCAAAGGCAAAAACAGAAACAACTGAGTTTCGCTGATATCATTAGTGCTGCTATTTTTGCCCTTTGTTTTATACGTACGCCGATATTGATTAACAAGTGTGGTAATATATATTTCTCTATTACTTCTATTCGGAAGTTGGGCTTTTTACCGTGTATTCTCTAATACTCTTTGCCGCTCACTCGCACTCCCTTTCTTCGAGTGACGCGGCGCTCTGCTCTGCCGACACACAACTCGCCAGGCTCCGCTCCATTTCGCGTCTTCCGCGTGTGTAGCTCTTCCAGACAAAAGCAGAGCAGCAAAAGAAAGCAAAACGGAGAAGACCCTTTGAACCATGGGTCTCTCCGACATCGACGAGGATGAGCCGGTGACGCACTCCCCGACCCGTCCCATCGTCCTCGCACCACCTTCCGCCGCCACCGCTGCAGTGGTCCCCACCGGCACCCCTCTCTACGATGAACGCGCCAGCACGAAAATCAACCGGCAGTTTAGCCCCTGCGCCAGTGCCAGCGCCGGCTCTGTCCTCGACGACTTATTCGGCAGCGTCGACATCAGCGCGTCACCGAGCTCCACACGGGCCAACGCCTCGCCTGTGTCGACGTCGTCTCCCAATACGGGCAAGCCGGTCTCGACCACCGCGGCGGCAGCACCGAGCGTGCTGGACGATTTGTTTGCGGCTCCTGCGCCACCCGCTGCTGGTGCTGGTGGTGTATCGATGGGGGCGGACAAGCAGAACGGCCATGCAGTTACGGAAAGCCACGCTGTTTTATACGTGGACGGCAACGGCTCCGGCGCGGGCGACGACGGCACCAACCTCTTGGACCTCTCCAAAGGAGCGAAGAAGGACAAGTACCACAACGCGGAGTCGTTTCTCGACGCCTTCGAACGTCAGGGCAAGAAGGGCGCTGTCCGCGGGGATGAGGGCGAGACGCTGGCGCATCTCACGCGCAACAAGGACGATAACAAAGTGCGGGCTCGCCTGCTCGCGTTGATGAACTACTACGACGTGCTCGGCGTGGCGCAGACCGCTTCGGAGGAGGAGATCAAGCGGAGTTACAAGAAGAAGGCACTGGAGCTGCACCCGGATCGCGTCGGTCGAGGGCAAACGCAGGAGGAGGCGGAGCTGTTCAAGGTGATCACAAAGGCACACGAGGTGCTGACCGACGCGGAGCAGCGCCGTAAGTACGACGAAAGCCTCTCAGGCGGTCAGCCAGTGGCGACGTCCGCCAACGACTGGTGGGGCCACGTGAACATGTGAGAAGGTGCGCGGCGAAGCCTCAGGGCCACCCGCACGCACTGTTTTCCTTAGATATCCTCTCGTGCTCGAATTGGCGGTGCGTGTGTGTGCTTCGTTCTCTTTTTCTGTTTTCTTACTCCCCCGCTGGCCTCGCTGCGTAAGCCTGCGGAACGGCAATCAAGTGACTCTAAAATACAAAAATAAGCTGGGGAAGTAACAGTGCTGGGTGAGAACAGCAGTTCCTCAGCCTGTAGAGTGGAAAAGAGTATCTCACAAGCGACTCACAGCTCAAAGGTGAGAATCCGATTCGTGAAGCTACGCTGTTGACGCGTCGTGCAACCGGCACCACGTATTCTTGCTTTTTTTTTCCCCTTTACATAAAGGATGTATCCATGTTTTTTTATCCTGGCGACTCCAATGACTGGCAGGCGCTTCTTTCGCTTTTCCTCCGCTTCCCCGCTCTTCCATCGACTGACCCCTTTGCTGCGATCTCTTCCCTTCAACCTTTCACATCTCAACACGCATGCATTATCTGTACTACATTTTCTCTTCATAATCTTCACAACATTTATTACGGACGTTTTCAGCTTCGTAACGCGCCATCGCAAAGTAATACACAAACGCACCTCTTCTTCACCGATACCCCTCTTCAAAGATGCTGCGTCGCTCCTTCACGATGCTGAACTGGCGTGACCAGGGCATCAGCTACGTCAAGTACCTGAACGTGTGCACAGAGACGCTCCACATGACCGTGAAGGAAAAGGCGCAGGGTAAGTACTCGAAGTTCTCGTCGCCCAACTACGTCGCGATCAAGTCCGACAGCGCGGGCGGTGTGGAGGAGGTGAACAAGGTGCCGATCTTCACGAAGGACTACTAAGAAGAACACAACATATACATATATGAAAGCTTTTCCTTGACGCACATCTGATGGGCGTTGCACGATCGATGCGTTGCACCTTCCATCGGGTGGCGCCGGAGGACGTGATTTGTTGACGTGGCGTCTCTGGGTATCACATTAGTTGTAGTAGAAAGGAAGATCCTACGCGCGCGTGTGCGTGTTCTGTATTAGGGGAAAAACAGCAACGAAGAGTAATCAAATTAACCACCATAGCTTGCACCACGATAACGCGGCATCAGAAGTCAATGCTCTCACTTAGCTGCGGGGGACTTTTCTTTCTCCTTGACGCAGCAGAGGAAAAAGGAAGAGGTCGTTTCTGCGCTGGAATGCTCCTTTTTGCTGTCGCGCCAATGCAGAACGTGAAGGAGCGCGATGACCGGGTTTACTTCTCCGACAACGCTCACGTGCGTGTTTTGCGCGGCGCCTTGCGCTTTTAATGCAAGTGAAGGATGAAGACAGCCTGCACATTTCCTATGCGTCCAACTGCGGGATGTTGTTGCAGTAAAGAAGCAGCACAAAAAACCCCCTCGCTCTGGGCGTTGTTAATGTCGATGCCCCCATTCGGTTTTCAATTCGTTTCATGCTTTGCCCCCCTCTCTTTTCTTTCCCGTCATTGGGAAGTACGTAAGAGCGTGGTTACTGCCCTTCGGCAACAAAACGTCTGCTGTTCAATTTTTTCGGAGAAGCTTGAAGGAACGCTCTAGCCCGCGCACGTCGTTGTTTGTAGCTCTAAGTTGGTAGCGTCTCACCGACTTGCTCCACTACTAGCGGCGCTTTTGCGAGCCCCGAGTGCGAGAGACGCCCGTTGCAAAATAAAAGTGGGATTTCTTTACCGAAGCGAAAATACTCACAGACACACAGGCTGCTTTCTCCTTTTTCATTTCACTTCTCCACAGCGCGAGAAGCAGCAACCCCGGGAAGGGAAAAAGGATGGCGTGGTACTTGAGTCCCTTCCGCGTGGGCTTCTGCGCCGTTTACGCTTACTTTGGCTACGTGCAGGTGCGCTGGATCGCCGCGGCGGAGGACCGCTATCGCCGCTCCAGCACCTGGAAGCCGGCCGTCGGGACGATCTTTGACCACAAGGTGGTCATGACGCGTGGGGGGTCAAGCCACGTCCAGTACAAGTTTAGCGTCGACGGCACGGAGTACATCGGGGATCGCTTCCGCAGTGGCGGCGTGCACAAGGAGGAGATGGTGACGAACCCCACCCTGCTTGGCGCGGGCACGCAACTTGTCATCTACTACAACCCTGCCGACCCGTCGGAGAGCGCCATCAAAATGCAGACAGATCGCGCCGCGGAGTCGGTCTTCGTCGTCGGTGCCATTTTCTCCTTCCTCATTGCGGTTCGCGCGGTGCGGTGTGAGACAATTCTGCCAAACATGTTTTACCGCTTCCTCGGCGTGAACCGACGCGTGGGCGGCATCTCAGGCCTGCGGGAGGCGCGCCCGCACGCAAAGCAGCGCATGAAGTACGGGAGGCAAACCGGGGCGCTGTAAGCGAGGAGGCATGAGAAAGATGGCTGCTGATCATTTTCTTCCCTGCTCATTGCTTTCTCTTCCGTTGCTACTATTTTTCAGCACCTCAGCCCTACATGGCTATGAGCCTGCTGTGCGTCGGCCGAGAGAGAGCTGTCGAAGTAAAGAAACAAAGAAGAAGCAGCTTCTTTGCGTTCGTCTCGTCTTGTTTTTCACACACTTCCTCACGAAGGAAGGCGCTCCAAAGTAGTACGCAGCTGCGAATGCTACCCGAGGTCCCACCACTTCGTCGTATCCAAGGGGTATCGATCCCGCGAGATGTGCCTGAGCGGTGCCACGTAAAGCAAGCGCGTCAGCCCCATGCTAGCAAGATTCCCTCTGTTCGCACGAGCAGATCTGTACGTCGCCATCCTGCTTCAACGAAAGAGCTACGTTTCATGCGAAGAGGATAAAACGAGAATACCGCTCCCTGCTGTCAATGCCCGTCAACGTTTCACCTGCCAACGACCCGCCTTCTTCTTCGTTTCTATTACTTCTCCCCTTTATAAAAAAGTCGTACAATACAGAGACGCACATCGTCGTTGCTCGTCTCCGATCACAACGCCTGAAAAAAAAAATAATAATAACCAATCCCACGTAGACACAAATGACGGATACGCCGTCTGCTCTCAGCGCACGGGCCTCGGTGCGGCTCAGCGGTGCCAAACGGCCGCGTGAGTCACGCATTGAATTCAGCGTAGATGAAGTGAAGGAGTCCCTCGGCGTTGGTGACGACTGCGTCGTCCTCGGTATCGATGAGGCAGGCCGTGGCCCCGTCATTGGCCCAATGATCTACACTGGCGCCGTCGTAGCTCTCGCCGAGCACGACGACCTCGTCCGGCTGTGCCACGTCGCCGACAGTAAAGTGTTAGACGAGCGCCACCGCCTCGCCTCGCTGCGGCAGCTGCAGCAGTTAAAGTCGTTTCGCGCCTTCACGGTGGTCGTGTCACCGCAGGCGATATCCTCCACCATGACGGGGCGCAGCGGGCGCACCTTGAACACGCTGAGTCACGAGGCGGCAATGCGCATAGTGTCAGAGGCCACGTTGGCCTCCGCGGGCAAGCTTTGTGCGGCCTACGTAGACACGGTGGGGCCTCCCGAGACGTACCAGGCAAAGCTGGCGGGGCGCTTCCCGCACCTGCGCGTGACGGTGTCGAAGAAGGCGGACTCGAAGTACCCAATTGTGTCGGCTGCCTCCATTGTCGCCAAGACGGCGCGGGACGCCGCCATCGCGGAGCTGGGGGAGAACGTGGGAAGCGGCTACCCGAGCGATCCGCGAGCCGTCGCCTGGCTGCGCTCTCACGTGCACCGCTTCTTCGTCTTTAGCCACGCTTACGACTACGTGCGCCACTCCTGGGGTCCCGTGATGCAACTCGCAAAGGACCCCGACGTGTGCGTCCCCGTGGTGTTTGCGCAGGACCTCGAGGCAGAAGAAGCGTCACGGCAGGGTGGGCGGAGGGAGGCGAACCAGCCGAAGCTGAGCTTCGCCAAGCCCGCGGCGAGGCGGCACACAGTGTACACCCACCTGCTGAAGCTTCGATACCCCGCGAGTCTGACAGACTAGCGGCTTGTCGTATTGTCCAGCTCTCGTTCTTATTGCTGCCGTTTCTAGCCGAGTCAAACGGAGGGGTCGTGCGATGGCCTGTCTGCTGTGGAGCGCACAACTCCTGCTTGCTTTCTGTCCTGCTGAGAGAGTCACCCAGGCGGATGCGAAAACTGCTTCACCGCGAAGCAAGCCTTTGCTGATGTTGTGATTCTCAACGCATAGACTCACACAAATACGCCCGTTGGAAGTGAACGCAAAAAGACATCGCACTAACCGTTCTCCTATGCTTTTCTTTGGGGGTTTTTGTTTGCTTTGCACCATGCATCTTTTGACGAAGATGCGAAATCTTAAAGATAGGCGTGAGTTAAACGGACACAGTGAGTTGTTTTGCATAGAAGTTTGTAATTCATACTGCATAGATGCATTTCCTTTTTTTTTTCCTTGGAGGTTCCTTTGCTTGTTGAGCGAAGCAGAGGAGAACTGTGAGACGCCGAAAGCGGTTTCCTGTTTGGTTTTCGAGGAGCCGTCGAAGTGGAACATCGCACACCCCGCTGTTCCACCGTCTGTTTTTTTTTGTTCCTGTTTCGGTTGTCTGTATTCGCTCCTGCTTTCACTTGTACTTACTGTTTTTATTTTAAAAAATCGAAAGGTAAAAAACCGACAAACACGAAGCGTTGTTGGAAAAAAAAAAGAAATCCACCTGAACGCAATTGATCATCCGCTGCTGTACCCTGAGACTCTTACGAAAAGCTCTCGTCGTCATTCAAAGCCCCACGCAACTGCTGTCCCTCGTTCTTTCTTATTGCCTCCACGACACTTTGGTTGTGCGTGTAGGGGAAACGCAGGCATTTGCGCACTGTGTGACTGCTTCACCACTTCTTGACAGCCGCACCTCCTCTTTTGCTCTCGAGCATTTCTCTTTTTATTTTCTTCCCCATTTGCTAGGTATATATGTGTATAAGATCGATTTTGTTGTAGTCGCTCAACAGCAGTAGCAATTTTCATTCATAGCGACGACATTGGAACGGTCGGAGGAGAACGGACGACATTGAGCGGGTCTCACCGCCGCAGCAACCATGTCACCGAAGACAACGACCGCCACCGCCGGTGCGGCGCAGATGCCGCTTCACGGGCGAATCGGGCGTGTTCTCCTGAACCCCCTCGTCGTCTTCATCATCACCTTCGGCATCCGCTACGGTCTCTTCTCGTTTCGCTACGCCGTCGAGCCGTTCCTCGCCGCCCCGGTCATCCCGCACCCGACCGTGGCGGAGTTCATCGGCTCCGACAGGGCAACGGCGTTGCACTACGGAGGCGAGTCCGCCTTTGTGAGCGGCACAACCGGGGAGCGCCAAGTCACGCCGCCGCCGGTGCACTTCAGCATGTGGATCCCGATGACGGAGGCGGCGACGTGGAGGGAGGCCGTCTTCTGGCGCGAGCGCGGCTTTGCGGATGCGCTGCCCTACTACCTACAGGCCTTAGCTCCTTGGTACGTCGCCTTCATCCCTGCCGTGCTGGCCACGCCGCCGTGGACGGGGCTGGTGCTGAGTGCGATGGACGGTGTGACGGCGGCGCTCATCTCGCAATGCGGCTCCGCCAACGCCGCGCTGCTCTACGCGTTTTTTGTGCTGAACCCGCTCGAGGCGTTGACCACCGCCTATGAGTCTCTCACGGCTTTTGAGTTGCTGCTGCTGACTCTCACCGTGCAGTTGTGCGCGCGCCGGCGCACGTCGGTGGTGGCCCACGCTGCGGCGCTGCTGTGTGCGTTGACTCTTGGGAGTCACTTCATTGCGGTTCCTATTGCGGTGCTCGCCCCTATCGGCACCTCGTCGAAGGCGGCTGCGTTTGGGGCTGCCGTGGCGGCCACGTTTGGCGTGGGTGCCTACGCGATAGGTTACCTCTACCTCACCGAGGACTCGCACCGGTCCACCTCGCTCTACGCGCCACCGGACAACGGTGTGATGTGGTATGTGCGGCAGCTAGTCCTGCCGTCGTTTGGGCGTTGTCTGGAGATCTTTATGTTGCAACTCGCGCCGACTTTGCTGGTTCCCATGGCGGTCGCGTTCCCCACCAGCTACGTTCGTGGGCGACTCGCAGGACCACAGTCGTTAGCCAAGAAAGCGACCGCCGCTGCTGCTGCTGCCGTTCCGAATGTGGCGGTGGAAGCGGTGTCGTACCCTCGTATATTCCCCGACGTGCGAGTCTTCTTTGTGTTGATGGCGGAAGGTCTCTCACTGCTTTTCCGCGCCCAGATCACGCTGCCCTATTGCTTCCTGTTCGTGCTCCTCTTTTACTCGTGCATGAACCCGGCGGCGAGCAAGACGGTGACGCTAGAGGATAAGCGCGTTGTCACCTACTCTGTTTACCAGCGTGTGCGTCTGCTGGTGCCGATTTTTATCCAACTGACGAGTGTTCCTCTGCAGGTCAGCTTCTACGCGGGGTGGGCGTTGCGCGAAACCGCCAACGCGAATTGGAAGTTCTTCTCCGACATCGGCTTCCTCATCGGGTCCACCGCGTTCTGTGCGATGTGGTACGCCGAGGTAGTCGACGACGCCATCGCCTGCGAGAGGGCGATGGGCGAGGTAACGGTAGATGCTGCAACGCCGGCTGATGATGCTCCTGCCGCGACGCCGAAGACGGAGTGATCGGGAAACACAAGCGACGAAGGTGTCACGGAGTCATCGTATTTTGCAATACTGCTCTCCTTTTTTTTTCTTTCTGTGTGCGGTGGTATCGATGTGCCGTGCTACGCGAGGAAGAAAAAGATGTGTCTTGCGTTTCTTCACGATAGCACAGGTCGTCCTTGTATAGAGGAGGGCTGTGCTATTGCGGATCTTTTTTTTTCACTTGGGCTGTGGAAAGTGCGAATAGGCTGCTTCCTTTGATATGTTCCCTCTTCCCTCCTCTTTTTTTTAAACGTTGTCTGCGAAAGGTTCCGCCGCGTAGGAGGAAAAGCATGCTGCCAATGCTGCTGCCTCGTTCATTTAGGGGAAGGTCGCATGCCCAATCATTCAATAAGAAAAGCAGAAGATAGAAGCAAGCAGAAGAACCAAAAAAAAAAATAAGCTTCACAGAATATACTACTGCGACGCGCCTCCATTAAAGTTGATGAATGTCTCTTCCTTTTTTTTGTAGATCTGCTTTGCTCCACTTCACGGACCCCACGTTTTGCGTAAGTGCTATCGGGAACGGTTGCATTTGTTTTCGCACGGTTTGTGTTGTTGTGTTGATCCACCGATCACTAAAAAAACAACGCGCCTTTTCTCTCCTCTTACTGTTTCTTCATCCCAAGACGACTGGACTCGCCTTTCACCCCTGATGTGAAGCAAACAAACAAACTGGTAAAACACACTTCTCTTGTCAACCCTCCCTCTTTCTTCCTTCCACTTGCACACACCGCACACCCATACCCGCGCACGTACGCGCATGTGCTGCGTTCCATCACTCTGCCGAAACAACACAACCAAAAAACCTCGTAGTGTCTGATGTGAAAGAAAGGAAACAAGCCTATTCAAACCCTTAAGAAAACACACCTTTCAGCCACTTGTTTTTCGTTCTGCTGAAGTGCCTTTAGTTCGCGATACTTTTGAGACCCTTTTTCTCAACTAAACGTTTAGTGAGACAAGAGATACACCGAAAAGCTGAAGCGCTGCAATAGCAGAGTAAAATTACTTTTCCACATTAGAGCGACATTGTCTTCTTCATTTCAGCTGTTGTTTTGTGTTGTGGTAAGAGAGATCTTTTCCTCTCTCGTAAGACCTCTTTACTGCTATTTATGAAAAAGGAAAAACATTGAAAAACACTAAACACAACTAAAGAAATCATCTTTGCACTCGGTTTTTATCTTTTTTTATCTCTGTTGTGTATCTTCAACTACATCTGTTTTTTTCTTGTTTTTTCTTGTTTCTTTTTGTGAAGTTTTCGTAGGATGTATGACATTTTTTTCTGAAGAAAACTGTTTTCTACAGCAACTAACTCTTTTCACCTCTCTTTTCTTTCTTTGATTTTTCATTTTTCATGCGTATTTGTGTGTTCTGCGTCTTTTCCCGTGCTTGATCTATTCTTCTTTATTTTTTTGTCTCTTTTTCATTTAACCCCCACGCACGATAAAACTCTCTTTGTGCTTTCGGATACAATTCGTGTAACCACAGGATTTTTGTCTAGCGGCCTTTCTCTTTTTTTTTTCCTTCCTCTTGCAGCTTTCCGCGTGACGTTCACTGGTGGCTAAGTGAACAAACGACGAGGCGAAAAAAGAAAGAACACATCAAAATCAGAAACAGGAAACGAAGAAAGATCGCAAGCACGTGACTACACACGCGAGAGCCCGACATACTCTTGGGTTTTTTTTTGGTTTCTTCTTCTGTGTCTCAAGTCTTTTCTTCTTTTATTATTTTAAGAAAAAAGGATACTATCTTCTCCTGTTGCTCGCGAGAAAGAAAAAGGTCTACTTTTTTTTCATCGGCACGATTCTTTCTTGCCCCTTCTTTTTTCTATATATTACTTACGTGTGTCGTTGTGGTTTGGGTTTCTTCGACAAAGGGAAGCGGCAGCGTACCCCTCTCTTCGATCTGCAGCCGAGTACTTTCGCCTTCAGAGAAAGAAGAGGTGAAGAAGCTGTCGTGCCTAGTAAACGTGCGAGCCTTAACAAAGAAAAAACCCTAATTTCTTTATTTTTCCTTTTGTGAGAGAAACTGTAGTTCAGTTGCGTAAACGCAGAAAACACACGAAGAACAGCGGTGTTTTCCTCCTCTATTATCATTATTTGGCCCTCGTTTGCTTCACCGTGGTTATTCGTGTGTGCCATTCTGTGTTGTTTTGGGCGCAGCACCACATTTATACTTCTATCCTGCTGCATCGTGCGACGTCTCTCCTGTTTTTGTTTGTGTAGCATCTTTTTTCATTTTCTTCTGTTGTTTTGCATCTGCTGGCAAAAAACAACAACATCACGAGTCCCTCAACACAGCTTTGCGGTTGTCGACGCTGCTTTCCTTCAGCTGAAGCGTTTGTTTCCGTCCCCCTCCTCCTCCTCTTTTTGTGTTCGTTGGACTCCTCTTTCTTCCTCTTTCGTTTTTGCCCCCCTACCCCCCTTTTTTTTTTCACCGATCAGATCGGCTGTAGTCAGCGTCAAGAGAAACCACACGTCGAGCAAAGTAGGAGAAGGAGACACACACACGACCGCGATTCAAAACCCTTGTGCTAAGTGCTTTCAAGAGCCGTAAAGGAGCTAGCTTGTCTATATTCATTTTTTTTTGTTTCTCACTCCGCACTTGATTAACTGAACGGCTTTTGTGGCTGTGGTTGTTTTCTTTTCTTCTTCCTTCTTGTTCACATCGCTTTACCGCCTTTTTTTACTTTCTCGTTTCTCCCTCTTTATAGCTTTGCTTTCCCGCTAAGGCTCGTCTGCTCTTATTGTGCCCTACATCTTTTTTATTCTCCGTGGTGGCACTTCTTTTCAAAAGGTTCAGCCCTTTGTTCTCTTCTCTTCTCTTACCTCGCTGCCGCTCACCGCCCCTTTTTTTCTGCTTTTTTACTGTAAAAAGCCGGGGAGAAGGGCCAAGGAACTCGCTCGCTCTGTTTTTGCTCTTCTGGTTCTGCAGGTTGCAGCATGCCAAGGACCGACCGACGCCCCACGCATGTCCGCTCACGTTTCTCTCGGTGCCTTTTTACGACCGTGATCGCCGTTCTCCTCCTGCTGTCTCTGCACGGCAGCTCGATTGCCGGCACCTACCCCCACCATCTCAGCAAAGATACACCAAATACCACAACGGATCCGGCGACGCGCGACGCGCCCCTGCCGCCGCCGCAGTCGTCGCCGCCGCCCAGCACCTTCGCCGCCCCACAAAGGGGCTCGCCGATCGTCTCCCTGCAGGGCGCCTGCCGCTCGGAGTTGAAGCTGTACTGCCATGACGAGCCGACGTCGCCGCTGCGGTGCTTGGTGGGGCAGTTCTACCGCCTCAAGTCCGCCAGCACCGGCAGCCGCAACGCCGAGGAATCCCGTCGTCCCTCTGTCTTTTCGGATGTGTGCGAGGCGTGGCTGACGGCCCGCGACGTCTGTCTCTCGTTTGTCCACGCGCACGGCAGAGATCTGTGTGGTGCCGCGGTGCAGGACGCGCGGGAGTGCCTGCGGCAGATCCCCGCCGTGTTCCTCCCGCCAAAGTGCGTGACGAGCGACTACTATGAAGGGGTGCGGCTGGTGGGGAAGCTGCGCCAGCACCAAACGGCGGATGCCCGTCTTCGCCGAATTCACGGGCAGTGAAGCACAATGAAGGACAACCAGAGGAGGGGACCGAAGGTGGAGTGCTGAAAAACAATTCTCCTCTCTGTGGAGCCCCGAGAAAGTCGCTCCACGCGCGCTCTCGCGCCTTTCTTTTCGTTTGTACGCCTGCGCTTGTGCCTCGCTGCACGTACGCGAGGCCGACACACGTCTCATTCGTTTGCTTTCGCTGCTTTCACACGTAGAGTAATCGACGTCTCCGCCCAAAACAACAACAAGAAAGGGGAAAAATAAAAAGCTAGACTCAAAACTACGCCGTCATACCGTTTCCGCATGAATGACACCTTTTTCCTCCGTTTTTTTTTCCTCTTTCTTTCTGTATAGCCTCTCGTCACCGAGTATTGTTTACACGTTATATATGTATATATATATATATATATATATCCATGTAGATGCCTTCGCTCAACATTGAACACGGCTCCTATTACTTGTATGCAGAGGAGTCGGTTGCATTCGAGGAGAACAGCGACAACAGAAAATGAAAGGACCAATCGATGCAATCAAACAAGTCAAGAAACAACAAAAACATTAAATTCAAAAAATGAAAAACAAACAAAAAAATAAAAAAGAAGAGATAAACGCAGACGCAAACGGACCTGTGGAAGGAAGAGGGAAAGAACGGGAGAGATAGGGGATTGACGGATTGAGAAGCGCCACGCAAGGCTGACATGACGGAATTGGCTCGTTTATTATTACTTTGTATCGATGTTTTTTTTTTCTTCATATGTACGTCTACGTCGCCCCTCATTTTTTCTGTCTTTTCGTTTGACTCACAGTTCGTTGTTGTTTTGTTTTTCTTCTGTGTTTCTCTCTCTCGCATTTTTAATTACTCTTCTCCGTTCTGATATTGCCTTCTCTTTTTATCGCTGAAAAGAGCGTGTGTTCTTCAACTCACTTCGATTTCTTTTCTTTCCGTTTTTCTTTCTTTTCACCTAGAGTTGACGGCTGCCGAAAGTTCTACCTGCCAGGGTCAGCCCTGATTTCCTTCTTGCTTTTATTTACTTTTCCCCAGCGCAATTTCGATTTGCGCTTGAGGCACAGTCGGAGAGCAGAAGGTATTGCGGCTTTCTGAGATTGTCTCCTTTCGTGCTTACTCATCAACGCCGCTTTCGGAACTTGGTGCGGCACCTTTGCGCGAACAATTCTTCGCCGTTTTTTCCCCTTTTCTTTACAATGCTTTTACCGCTTCCTTTTCTCATAAGTTGACTTTGCAGTTAACGTCCATCGATGCTTTATGGGACAACAAGGAGCAAAAGGAAAAGAAAAAAAAATCGTGCGCTCGCTCACCTGAACGCTTAAGAGAGCACACCGATCTATGTAATGAGATGAGTGACTGTGTTACCCCTCCCTTTTTTTTTCTTTCCTTCACCTTTATATCTGTTACTGCATTTAGAGTCACGTTTCACTGGGTCCAGTAGCTGATTCGGAGGAAAAGAAAAACAATGATGACGGGAGTTGCTCGATCTACCTGAGTAGCAGAAGAAGGGGTGGTTTGTTGAACCTGCGTGTGTGTGTGTGTGTGTGCTTGTGTGTGTTGGCGGACTTTCTCACCGGCACGGCGACAGCAGCCGCAGCAGCGTTGCCGAAGGTTGTTAGAGATGGTCACAGTCAAGAAACTTCTTTTTTCTTGCCGTCTTCCGCAGCCGCCGAACATCGCACGTAGTGCGTCTTCATCGCTTTCTTTTTCTCTTCTCTCTCTACACACAATAAACTGCTTTCTTCTATTTGAACTACAAGACCTTTTTTTGGTATTTTTCTTTATGTTGTTTCACATTACTTTGAAGTGGGCCGCGGAGACGAAATAGGCGTAGTCGAAGTATACAAGCAAGACGTGAAGGGAGATTAAGATGCATTCGAAGGAAAAAAGGTGGCTGAGGGAGATCAGCCGATTTAGAATCAATCTTTTTTGTTGTTGATGGTGTATGCAGGCTTATGTTTACCTGCGTATTTGCTTTGTCATGGTATCCCTTTTTTTTAACGAGTGAGTTCTTTCTGCTTGTGTAACATCTATGCAAGGATGAAAAGACCCCCAAGATGATACCTTCCCTGTTCTTCTCCCTTTATTTTTCTTGTTCTGTCCGCCCTACTCCGCCTTTTTTCCTCTCTCGCCCGAATATTCCAGATGTTTTTTTTTTCTATCTAGTTTGTTTTCTTTTTCCTTTTTTTTTCTTTCATTGGTCACCGTAGTGCTGTTTTGCGTTGACTTGGCTTCACGAATGGAAGTGGGAGCACAGTCCTTTCGCCCTGCTCTCTGTAGTTTTCTTTCACACCGCTGATATTCCTTCGGCTGCTCCCACCTCCTTGCTTTTGGACATCAAAGCCAGTCAAATCTCTTTTTCCCTTCTGTTGTATCAGAGAGGCTGTGCTTTAACATCTGATAAAAACGAACAAACGTACTCGATCCCATGTGAAAGCGGGCTCTCTGGTTCGTGAGAGGGCAGCCCGTGCTGCGTACGAGGCGGAACTGGGCATTGGTTAAGAGCTGGTTTGAAAACAGAGAAAAAGGAATCGCAAGACCGCGGCCTTTGGCATGCGCTACCTGCCTCAAATAATAATAATAATAAAAAAACAAATGGCGCGTACTAGGAGACGTCTCTCATGGCTCTGTGCATCAGTTCGCGCTGCAAGGCGAAGGCGGTGCACCACATGCGCATGCGCAGCAGTTGCTTGTACACTTCCTTTGTCATTTTCTTTCCTTTTCTTTCTTGCGTATGCTTCGTGCAGTACCCTGGACACGGCCCGGTGCGGTGCGACCCCCCTCACAGCGCTAACACGCCAGCACACATCTTTGCGGATAGCACCCGTTGGAAAGAAAAGAAGAAGACCATCACCGAGTTTTGCCCCACCATGGCCGCCACCGTATCTCACACCTTCCTTGTTGCCTTGGCGGCGCTGTACCTCTTCTGGGGTACTGCGCAGACTCTCAGTCTCAAGTGGGCCGATAGCATCGACGTCTCGGACGGTTTCGCAGGACCTGTAGACAACGGCCCCGTCAACGGCGGCAGCGATGTGGTGATGTTTCGGCTTCTCTACTCCTTCGCCCACCCCTTCACGCAGGCCTTTTTCATGTTCTGCGCAGAGTCGTGCTGCTTTGTGGTGTTTGTCGCGATGCTGGCCTGGAAGAAGTACGTGGCACCTCGTGTGAGTAGTGGTGCGAGCAGCGACGGCAGCCCCGCGGCGACCGGTACGCTGACGGCTGGCGAGGACTACGCACTGCCCTGCAACCCCTGCGTGTGGCTGCTGCCCTCCGGTGCCGATTTCTTGGCCAGCATCATTCAAAACGTTGGCATGACGCTCACCTACGCCTCTGTTTATCAGATGCTGCGTGGCGCGACGGTGGTGTGGATCGCAATCATCTCCTACTTTTGGCTGGGCCGCCGCTTTACGAAGGTGGAGGTGTGGGGCATGGGCTTCGTCGTGGTCGGTCTCTCCTTTGTGGGCCTCAGCAGCGTCCTCTCCGGCAAAGCCGCCTCCGCGGAAAACGACCGGCACTCGAACATGATGCTGGGCAACCTGCTCATCATCTCCGCACAGGTCCTCCACGCCTACCAAGGCGTGTGCGAGGAGCGCCTGGTGCACTTGTATAAAATCCCTCCGCTTCAGATGGTGGGCACCGAGGGCGTCTACGGCATTGGCATGACGCTGACACTCCTAGCGTTTCTGCAGTTGATTCCCACGGCCACCTGCGGGCACAACCTTGTTGCGGTGGAGGAGTTCTCCGGTGCGACGGGGGTCCGCGCCGTCTACACCAACGTGACATGGGTGCAGCAGCTGCAGCCCGCGCTGAAGGTGCCGTACGACGACGTTGTGCTCGCCTTCGCGCAGGTGCGAGAGTCGTGGCTGTGCTGGCTGTTCATCCTCATCTACGTCCCTGCCGGCTTCTTTTACAACGCGTGTCAGATGAACATCATCAAGTACGTTTCGGCTGCGGCCACCGTCATGCTCGGCTCGCTGCGCAACGTCACGGTGTGGCTTGTGTGTCTGATGATCCCCTCCATCTTTGGGGAGCACTTCAACGTGGTGCAGTTCTTCGGCTTCTTGCTGCTCGTCTTTGGCAACGTGCTCTTTCAGCGCGTGTGGATCACCCACTTTGACCAAGTCCTTCCCGCACACATTGTCGAGGGCTGGCCGGCACTCTTCCAGGACCGCGCGAAGGAGCGTCGTGAGGAGCAGCTGGAGGACGCCTCGCCGGTGGTGGAGATGGCGGAGCGAGCGAAGGACTCCGCGTCTGCGCCGCCCGACGTTCGCCAGCATTCGAAAGCAACGTAAAGCACTATCGGTTGAATGACCACCACAGGAATGCATTTGTGTGAGCGGATGAATAATAATAATAATAGTTTTTGTTCCTCGTGCTGCCTCAAAGATTGTTGTCAACCCGCACGAACACGTGTGCCTTTGTGTGCTTCGTGTCTTGTCGTTGAACTCGCGTGCGTTGAGCCCTGTGGGGCCAACCGGCGGCTCGATAACGGAGGGCAAGAGGTAACCGGCGAGTACGCCGTCCAACTCGTGGCGAACCGAGCACCCCACACTTTTTGAAAATCTCCATCTCTATTATCAGTATTTAAATTCCAATTGTTGTTAATGCCGGGCTTTTTCTTTTCTTCTATTTTTGCGGTTTTATCGCGAACCCAGATCTGCTTGAGCTAGCTTTGTAAGAAGATAACTTTACCTGCTTTCGATTGTAGAAAAGAAAAAAGACCTGAAGCTGCGTCGGGGCTCTTCGCTGACTTGTGCTGTATCGCTGTGCTGCATCTTTTCTCCCCCTCTGCCCCGTCCAAATAATACTGTGAAGAGGCGTGTGTGTACACGCTGGGGAGGCGGGCTGTTCTATTCGTCAACATTCACGTCCAAACGAATTATTGATATCCAAGCGCAAGGGCGAAGCGTTCGCCTCTCAATCTGTTTTTCTGTTGCTGTAGTTGCCTGAATGATGACGGGGGTGGCCTTGGGTGGATGATCTGAACGCGTCATGAGAAGGTGCCTTCGGCGCACCGCTCTCTATCTAAAAGCTACCGCGCTCCACTTCCACAACCGACAAAAGTGAAAAAAACAAATGAGCGGTGCTTTTGGCCCTCGCTCTCGTTTCGAATGCACACATCTGTTTCCGCAGTTCACGCTGGCGCATTTTTGCCGCGGTAAAGCAAAACCACCACAACCGAATGAGGAACCGCGAAGGAAAACAATAGCCTGTTCTGCCATGCATGCTCCGAGCGAAGCGTGACACCTGCGGCAGCGAGGACCTTTCGCGGTTGCGTCGTTTGTGTCGACACTGCTGTACACTCCTCTCTTGTTTCGTTGTCTTATTTCTTGCCGCTCTCTCGGTGTTTTCTTTATCGGCTTCCTACGTGGTGGAGTTTGCACCTCCGTTGCTGCCATGACGACGGACCCAACGACAACAGCCTATTCCTTCTTATTATACAAGACCTACATATTCTTTGACATCACAGACCGCAACCCCTCCCCCTTCTCCCTTCCCCCCTCCTCCACACACGCAGCTTTGTGGCTGTTGTTGTACGACGCGCTTTTGGTCCACGTGCCTTTCAAGACTCCAATTTAACTTCGTCTTCCACTTCGGGTGAATCTTTCCTTCTCCATCTTTTTCTTCTTCCTGGCTTCACCACTTCAATTCGTTGCCTTAGACGTTAGATTGCATCGAACTGCGCTGAGGGGACACACGCACGCCCGCACGCACGTAGGAAATACCTTCTGCACCGCATTTCCTTTCATCGCTTCACCCTCCCTTTCTTGTAAAATTAGAAGTCCTCGTTGGCACATCTCAAACGTCACCTTTCTGCTTTGTTTTTCTTGATGTGCTTAACTGACAACCGGACATTAGAACTCAAATCTTCTTTTTTCTTCTTTGCCTGTGCACATTGCGTTGATCTCCCCCCCTTCTGTTGAGCGCAAAATGTTTGCAGGTCTAGTGGCGACGGCGTCGAGCCGATCGAGCAGCGACAGCAGCACCACACCCGCCTCGCCGCTTTCTTCTGAGGAGCGTTTTTGTCCCGACAAGGCAAGCACTGCTGATGGACCTGCTCCGTCCTTTCACTCCCCTCTCCACACGGATGCGTCGTCGTCATCGTCGCCGCACACGGCCGGCCGGCAAGTGGCGCGGACGTCTTTAGAGTTCCTCAGCCCGTTTAGCGTTGGCGGCTACTCCAGCCCCTCTACGGGTGTCCGCTATCGTCGTCCGTACACGGCGCAGAGCGACCACAGTCCGTCACTTCAGCGCAGCTGGGAATCCGTCGCCGCGGGTGAGGAGGAAGGGAATGAAAGAGGTGACTTCGCGGGAGAGTACAACGCCGACCTCTCGCCGTCCCCTCCACGGGATCACGGCAGCTATTTATTCGAAAGAGCGGCCCAACAAGAACACGGAAGGGCACAACACATGAAGGAGGCGGGTCAGCCTTCATGGGAGGTGCCTGCGGAGTGCCGCGCTACTCTCTCTCCGCGTTCACCGTCTCGTCACTCCTCCAGCTCACAGGAAGGTACAAGACTGGAGAAGCTGGCGAAACAGCGCTCCTCGTCTTCTTCGTCGGTGTCTTCCGCCGCCCCTCGTGAAGGAGAGTTTTTTCATGCGCAGCGCGAGCCACAGCAGCGCCGTCTGCCCCTCCCCAGCGCCTCTCCGGATACGCTTTCCGGTCCTCGGGCGGGTCCTTGTGTCACACCCGGTCGGGTTTCTCTGTCGTCTCGGCCGGTGATTACGTCCCCTCCTCCCCCGACCCACCATGCAGCGGAGCAGAATGCCGTAGTGCCGGAGGATCTGCTGTCGCCTGTCACACCCCCTTCCCCCGCCGCTGCTCCGCACTCTGCCCCCACCCCAGGAGATCGCGGTGCTGACACACACCACTTCGGTTTGAGGGAGCGAAGTGGAACGCATGAGGGCAGGACACTGCCGAGCTCCACTCCTACAAGCTCTTCTGCTGCCGCATCTCTCTCGAGCGTTTCCACCCCGTGCGCACCACCGTTTGACTCCCCGCCGGACTCCGCAATGAAGCGACCACTTGACACGGTGACGACGGAGGCGGCAGACGCGGTGCCCTTCGCGCCGTCCGCAGAGACTGACGCCCCTGTATTACAAATGACAGCGGCAGCGGTGCCGAACAGTCATGACAGCAACCCGCTGCTCTTCGGCGTTCAGTACACCGAGGAGGAACACCGCGTGCAGCTGGAGACGCAGGAGACGGAGGAGCGGCGGTGTCTTTTCCGTGCCTACAAGGCGGTTCTCACGTTGTACCGCATGTGGGCGGCTGAGGCGGCCGAGAGGGCGGCGAGCAACGCGGAGAACGACGTGTTCATGCGGATTGACGGACATTCCTCCACTCCGCGTCTCGTTGCGGATCGCGCCGGTGCCGTCCATTTTCCGTCGTCTTCCTTCGATAGAAAAGCGACGGAGAGCCTCAACAGCAGTGCGGCGAGCACGGCGGAGCGGGTCCAGCGCTTTCTCCACGCGTCGATTGACAGTGCTCGGGAGCGGCGCAGCGGCAGCGCCACAACGACGGCTACCGCAGATGTCACGGCAGCACCGATGCGCCGCTCCATCACGCCCACCATCACCTACGGTGGCAGCTATCGGGAGGAGGAGCGACAGCTCCCACATCCTCAAGACCATCCGCTGCCGTCTGCGGCTCTGACACACGCCCTTTCGTCCAGCGCGGTCTCTTCTTCCTCATCACCGCAGGCGTCGCGCTTTCTCGAGTACTCCTCGATGCTCGCGCCCGAAGCGCGCGCACCGCCGACCGACTCGTCCAACAATCCAATCGGGCTTCCACATCGACAGTGGGCGCGGCTGCTGCGGCGACAACCCGCCCGTCTTTTCTCTCCGTGGCGCGTTGACGAGTCAGAGAGGCGCACGTCACCTCGAAAAGAGACTACGTCGACGGAAGCAGCTCCGGCGAGTTCTTCTTCTACCCGACGTGGCAGCGGGGGCACCCGCTTTTCTAGCCCGCTCATTCCGCGCATTCGGCGTACATCACCGCTTGGAACACGCATTGCAGCTACGGCCACCACCACCACGCCGCCGCCGCTGCCGTCTCCACATTCCTTTACGTCCGACGATGAAGTGAATCGTGATGCGTGCCGGCGAGCGGAGGAGCCTCGTCCGTGGGCCTCGCAAACATCGCAGCCGCCACCGAGCTCAGCGATCCCTGACGCTTTCGTGCACCTCTGGAGTCGCCGCGCGGAGGCGGAGGACGACAGACGCGACGGAGGGGCACCGGCCGGCTCCCCCTTGTACGGGGCGTCGCTGTCGCCCGCGTTGGTGCGTTCTCCGCGCGTTGCGCTGGCCGACACGTCCTCGGTGTTGCCGCGCTCCACGCGTCGCCGCACACCGCCGTGGAACCCGAGCCCCAATCTCCGCTCCACGTCTGCGGCCAGCCGAGGGGTTTCTGCGGCGGCGGACGATGCACCAAACGACGGGCTGCCAGCGCCGTTGCTTGGCTTCGCGCCCAACAAGGCCTTCCACCAGCGGCAGCGCGCGACATCTCTCAGTCCCCCGTCGAGGGCAAGCTCTTTTGAAGAGGCCGTTGCGCCTACCGCGCACACGACTTTGTTCTCTTCTTCCTCCGCGCGGACGAGCGAAGAAGGCCGTCGCCGTCGGGAGCGTCTCTCGAGCTACGTACAGTACAAGCGCTTCTTTGATGCGGTGTATGGCGCCGATCGCCGCTCCCCTGTTCGCGCAAAGGATCAACGACATCATTCGCAGCAGCAATGGCCACCGTCTTACTCCTTTTACGCAAGCGCGGAAGGCGGAGAAGGACATCGGGTCCTTGAACAGGGGTCGCCCTCACTGCCAAGACACTCCGCGCTGCGGTACGCCGATCGTGGCCACCAAGCGATTTCCGCCTCTTCTGTTCCTCCGCAGCACAGCACCGTCTTGACCTCGTCTCGCACTTGGTCTCCTGACGTGTATCCGCGACGTGCGGTGCCGCACCCCGCAGCTGCGTGCAGTGAACCCTCGAAGGTGCGGCCGTCTGCTTCCCTGACACCGCCCTTCGGGTCTGGACGAGCAGCCCTCGGATGTGATGCTTCCCTGAGCAGTGACATGTATGCCGCACGGCTTTCCCGCCTCTGCACTCTGGAGAAGCTGTGCCGTGCCGAGCTGCAGCGTCGTTGGCTGGAGGACCAAAACGCGCTGCTGCACCGCTTCATCATTGAAGGCACCGTCACCTTGCAACGCGCGCGTGCGGCATCGGAGAGGTCAACCGTCGTATCTGCTGCTGCGTCGCACGGGCGAACCTCCGCGGGAGACGTTGTCGCCAACGCGTGTGCGTGGACGTTCATACCAAACGAGGTGGAGTAGATGGTGCTTTACGAGGAAAGAAAGAAAGAAGAAGTACAGAAATCACACGCGTTTTATCGCGGCGCCTATCACACTGGAAGGAAGAGCATGTCGGACTGTCAACGTATTTTTTTTTTTCGGGTTTCTCGTCTCTGACCGCTGTCACGTCACACGCCTTCGCAGCGGTGCCGTTTTTCTTCGGTTTCTATTTTGGAGGGCTTCATCGTAAAGAACGCCGTGCCGTTCCGCAAGAAGGTCGCTCGAATGGCCCGCTGTCTGCAGAAGGCCGCCAATGATTGGTGCGCGTTTTCTTTTTTCTATTTTTGATGTTTGCATTGTTATCCCTTCTGCCGCCCTCCTCTCCCTTTCTCACTCGTGACGCTCGTCTCCACTGATAGAACAAAATCACAAAGAGGGGAAAAAATAAGAAGGGCCCATCACAATGTTGTGGAGTCGCTGTACGCGTAACACCAACCGGAGGATCCCCAAGCTCGACATGCCGCTGCGGGAGGCGACGCGGCTGGCACGCAACGTTGGCTGCCTTGGTGCACCGCCTGCCCCTTCCTCTTCATCCTCTTCGGTTCGTGGAACGCCACCGCTCAATGAGGCAGCTCTTCGTGACTTTCACAGCGTGGAACCGTTGCGTCGCTGCACCGGCCCCGACGCCCGCAAGGACGTCGCCTTCAGACACAGCTCGTCCTTCTCCGACGGGGAGTGGTGGACGCTGCAGACTCTCCAGCGGCACCTCTTCAGCGACGCCCACGCCCCGTCGGAGGGTGCCTCCATCGCCGTCTCAGCGGCCTGCGTCAACACCATCCACGTCGAAGGCACCGTGCAGGCGCTGCAGTGTGGCCACTTCGCGGCGAACGTCGCAGGCCCTTCCGGGCATCTGAAGCCGGGTCGACGCACTGCGTGTGTGGTCGCGCCGTCCCACACGGCGTTTCCCACGGTGCTGCTGTGGCTAAGCATGGCAGACTCGTCTTCTTCTTCAGGTTGTCTGTTGGCGGTACGGTGTCGGTTGTCGCCAGAGGTTGTGGAGGCGCGCTGGCGTGAGCAGCAGCAAGCGAAGAAAAGCGCAGAGGCAGTCCCTGGCGATGGCCATGAAGCCGGTGAAGCAGTTGTGGAGAACGAATCGGATGCAAACGCGGAGGAGAAAGAAGCCTCGGCAGAGGCAAAGTTGCGGTGTGTGAAGGCGTGGGTGAAGGCGTCGCTGCTGCACCGCCACGTCCTCGTGAGCGGTCAGCTGCGCATGGGGGAGGTCTACGACGGTGACCTGGGCAAGGTGGTATCCGTGCCCATCATCGACGTACCGCAGGACAACCTCATTGGTGGCGTGACAGCACTCACTTTTCACTGAGAGGCCACTGTGTTGTTAAAAAAAAAACGAAAAGGGGCTCGGGGAATGAGATGATTCCCTTGCTAAAGCTGTATGGCCTGAGCACGTTTGTGTGTGTGTGTGTGACAAGAGACCCCAGCAGTTGTGGTGGGGTTGGATTTAAGACTTGAGTTACCTACCGCATTCATCGGAGGCAAGGAAAAGGCGTGAAGTATTCGAAGCCGTTCGTGGATGTTGAACGGCTCTCCCAGTTGCGATCTGTTAAACTCACACAACATCCGTGTCATCTATTCAAGGGTGCGAGCATATGAACCTCTCGAAGAGGAAAAGGACCTTCAGCGGCGTCGCAATCCTCTTCTGGTATTCGGGTTTGACGCACAACTCTTCCTTGCTGCGTCGCTGCCGCGTAGATGCCCACCATTGTCTTATCAACTCCCTCACTTCGTTAGCAACTATCCAAATGCGTCTTCAACGGTGTCCACGTTTTCTCATTCCCCCCTTTTTTTCCTACAGAGCTAACTGAGTGTATTGTGTTGTGTTCTTCTCGTCTCTCCTTCGACCTCGCTCCTTTATCATGATGCTGCGTCGTTTTGCATCCGCCACGTTACCGCTGGCTCTCAACGCCTCCGCGCAACGCTGCGGGGTGGCTCGCCTGCCGCGGGGCGGTCTCGGCCAACCAAGCTCCTTCTCTCTCCCGACTCGCACGTCCACGCGTGGGTGCAGCAGCAGCAGCAGCAGCAGCGGACCGTCGACGTCCTCGTTCACCGGCCTCAATGCGCAGCGACCCGGTCAACGCGAGCCCTCCATTAACTGCGTCACGCTCGTCGGTGTGGTGCACGACATCCAAACCGGCTACGTCTTTGAGGATGCCGTCACGCAGTTCACGCTCACGACGACGAGCCTCGACACGACCAACCCCACCCAAGAGTGTGTGGTGGAGAAGGACCATCACACCGTGCGCTGCTTCGGCGACGTCTTCTCGCAGGAGGTGCGAAATAAGCTGAACGAGGGCAACGTGGTCTGCGTGAATGGTCGGCTGCGGTTGAACCCGCAGCTGGAGCCGTCGTGCAACAAATACTACTACTTCCCTTATATTCAGGTGCAGCCCCCGCATGGACAAGTCAGCATCGTGTACGGCGATCGGCGTGACCCGCCCGCACCGGTGAGCGCGGCGACGGGTACGGTGGACAACAGCAGCTCCACCGATGACGCGAGCAGCGGCGGCTCGGAAGGCAAGAGCGGCTAGAATATGGAAAAATGGTCATGCGTGCGTATGTGTTTATACGTCTCCGTCGGCGAGCAGTATGGAAGCTGCCTCTTTGCTGTCTCTACAGAACTTCGTGGCTTATTATTAGTGGGAGAACGGTGGGTGTTGTTGATAACGTCTTTATTTCGTTTGTTGTTCTCACAGGAGTGGTGCGCAGTCCGTTGGATTCGTTCGTCAGTGCTCTTCGCGTGCGTGGGTTCACGAAGTCGTTACGTAACTTCTCGACGTTAATAACAGAGCTACACCTTTTTCTTTTCTTAAATTTCCACATTTCAAAATACGAATGCGAGTGGGCGGCAATCGCAGGCGCTTGTTTCTTGGCTTAATTCGCTTGATGAAAGCGGTGAAGCGCGGGCCTACGCATCACCGTTAACAAGACATGAGGGACACCAATGCATAGAGAAAAAAAAAAGGACAACTGCGGCATCTTGTCTCCCTTTCGAAGGTCCCGATAACACCCAAGAAATATCGACCCGGAAGCAGGCGTCTTCGACTCCCCACAATGCTCATTTCCTTTTTCCCCTATCTCTCTTGTTTCCTGGCCGCTTGCGCCTCTCCGTGCTTCAGTGGCATCTTGCCAACAGCTCGCCTCGGCTCCCAACGCACAGCCCATATCTGGTACCTCTCTCCACTACATCCACAGACACACGCACCCCACCAAAAGAACACCAAAGAGAGTCACAAACAATCTTCGTGTCAGTTCCTCCTCCCTACGCAATTCTTATTCGTTTTCCTCCCTTCTCTTTTGCCGCTCGTCGTGCCGACCCAAGTCTCGCACAGGTGTTTTTCTCCTTACTGGATAATTTGGAAAAAAAAGAAACGCACGGCTGTGCACCCCCTCACAGAAGCGCACGCACCGTACATGTGGGGTCTCCGTGTTGTGACCAAAGGAAGCGTCTATTAAGATAATAATTAAAAGCAAAAATAGCTGTGTTTTTGTTGCGTTCTCATTGGTGATTCTTACATATATATTTAACTCGCCGTTCAAGGATTGTCAGCACCCATCTTCAGAGAGAGAGCGAGCGAAACGACGAGAGAACGATACGACAACCTGGATTTACGTACAGGCGTCTATATTATCCAAAAAAAAGCTTAGTTGCTTGTACGGAAAACAGAAAGAAGTAAGTGTGTCACAGCCGCTGCTTCTTTTGTTCTTTCTGGTGGAAACTCCAGGGCTTTAACTTTTACTTGGCGTCCAATTCGACTTGTTGCCTTCTGTCGCATTATCTTTTCTTTAAAAATATCTTTACTACCAAAAACTGTCGATATCGGTTGTAGTTGTGCCGTCTTATTATTATTACTTCACCCACCTTCGGCTCTTTCTGCGTGTTTGGAACTGTGGGTTCTTCGTTTAATCTTTTTCTCTATTTGTTTGGTTTGCACCAATTGCTGGTAGCGGTACTCGTTGGCCTTTTTCGCATATAGTCTCATTTTTCCGCCTACTTCCTTTGCGTATTATTGTTGTTGTTGGTTAGAGCAGAGTCGGTTTTCTTTTATCTAGTTAAACGCTTCTTTTTTTTTCTTCTCTCTTCTTACCTTCCACTTTTCAATTGAAGAAAGCACAGCTGAGTGCCATCGCGTAATGACCACCGAAAAGGTTCTCACGGAGAAGCTAGTGCTGGAGAAGACGAAGGCGAGTAAAGTGGAGGATGTGCAGCGGCTGGATCTCTGGGGTGAGGGACTGACCGACATCACTTTCTTGTCAAAGCTGCCAAAGCTAGAGGTCCTCTCACTCGCCGCGAACAACACCTCTTCGTTAAAGGCGCTCCGGAAATGCACCTCGCTGCAAGAGCTGTACCTGCGCAAGAATAAGATTAGTCGACTGCGGGAGGTCACCGTGCTGAGCGCGATGCCAAAGCTGACGGTGCTGTGGATGATGGACAATCCATGCGCACAGCATGAGTACTACCGCGATTTTGTGCTGCACTGCTGCCAGAGTTTGCGCCAGCTGGACAGCGTCGAGGTCACCGCCGCGGACCGGAAGAATTCAGCGAAGCGGCTGACGTCGAAGGTGCTGGATGAGATTCTCGAGCGAAAAACCGCCGCCGCTTCTTCGCCAGTGGGGGATAAGAAAAGTAACAGCGGCGGGACAACACCGCAGGACAGCCGTAACGCTTCCGCTTACTCCGCCCGTGAGCGCAACGCGGTGATTGAGGAGGCGAGCACGAGTGGTCGCGTCGTCCTCTTCACGACGGCGGCTGCACAGCGTGCCATGCTGCTCTCAATCGTGTCGCTGCTGCCTGAGCTGACGGTGGAGTCGCTGGAGCTGCTGCAGCGGGAGGTGCAGGAGCGTATGGAGAAGCAAAAGGCGAAGGTGACGAAGCTGTCGCAGGATTCTGTGCAGTCACATAGATAGGAAACAGGCGAGCAGTAAAGAAAAAGAAGGGGGAAAAAAGGCTTCTAATGGATACGCTGGTATGTGCTGATGCTTAAAGGGCAGTAGGCAAAAAGCGGCGAGGTTTTTTTTCTTCTGTTGTTTGTGTGTGTGTGTGCTTCTTGATCGTTTCTGTCTCGTTACGACTGCATTCTTCTTATTAATTCTCCTCGTTGTTCCGCCTCTCGGTATCTTTCCCCGCCTCAAGCTTTGAGAGAGAGAGATACGGTCGGGCAAAGGTAGGCGCAACGGAAGGTAGACGAGCACACGAAGAACACCACTACTGGAGAATCATTCCGACGCTCCACACACACACAAACTCTGCGTTGTGAGTTCTTATTCATGCCATCACCGCCCCTCTTTCTTTTTCCTTTTCTTCTTGTTGCCGTCGCTCGATCGTATTGCGACAATTCCAGCTCTATTGCACTATTTCCCTTTGCAGAATATATATATATATATATATATATATATATATATT